TGGGGCTTGAGGGGGCTCGAGCCCCCTCAAAAAATTTTTTGGGGGGGCTCAGCCCCCCCAATAATCTCGGGCGCCGGGGGCGGGGGCTCCTGCCTCGCTGCTTCGCAGCACCACCGCCACTGCCAAGGCACTGCCGGGGGGAATTTCCTTCCTCCTGGCGGTTTCAGCCCCCGCGAGAACAGGGGAATCCCGACTGGCCACACCTCCCAGCCAGCCAATCGGCTGGCTGGGGGGGCGTGGCTTGCCCTATTTAGGGCCGGAGACACTTTATTTGCATATTCATGAGCTTATTTATTATTCATGAGCTTTCCCGGCCCCCCCCCCAATATTTTTTATAAGTCCGCGTCCCTGATTCTGTTGCAAGGTGGAATACAGACAGGAAACACAGTACTACAATGAGAATTATAAAAAGATCAGTTTCATTCATTCATTCATTCATTGCATTTATATCCTATCTTTTTCTCCAAGGAGCTGAAGGTGCCATACATGCCCCTGCCCCTCCTGATTTAAGTCTTACAACAATCCTGTGAGGTGGATTAGGCTGAGAGGCAGTGGGTAGTTCAAGGTCACCCAGTGAGCTTCATGGCTGAGTGGGGATCTTAACTCTGGTTTCCCCGGGCCTAATCCAGCACTCTAACCACTGGACCACACTGGCTCTTATATCAGTAAGAACCAGTTGGCAAAGACTCTCAGGTGTGATATCTACTTTATTTAAATGTTGCTTAACATTCACCCTGATGGAAAGTTCTGGTGGACTCAAAAGCTTGCTTGTCATTTTGCAGCATTTTGGTTGGTCATAATAAAGTGGCTTTAAAAATTTTAAACACCACAATTTAACCCTTAGCCATTTGTGCAAATGTAATCTATCCCTTCCTCTGCTTAGTTTATTTGGTGGGTTCTCTTGCTGGGGGGGGGACTTATTTATTCAGCATGCAAGAGACTGGCAGATATTAACAGCAGCAGCACTGCTGTGAAATAAGTGGTGTGCTTCATCCCTGCCTGTCCCTGCTCCACCTCACCAGAGCTGCTATCTTAGCTTAGTGACAGATAAGACACTGTTGCTTACCGGAAGGAAAAGGGAGAGAGAACGAGGTGGTGAGGATGTCAGCATGGTGCAAACACACCAGCAGTGCCACTAGATTGGCTCCGCCAGTGCATTTACACTGTGCTGACCTCCTCACTGCCTTCCCCTCCTCATCCTGAAAGATGAAGTGACCCACCTGCTGGGAAGCTGGAATAGCAGCTCTGCTCTACCCCATGAGCCACTTCCAGTGGGATCTACTTTGTTTCTAATTAGACCCCCAAGATTCACTGAGAGAGTGCCTGGTGCAAAAGACATACATTAAATAATTCTGAGTCCAGGACTTTGTTTTGAGTACTGGAACCGAACAGAGCTCACAGTCCTTCCACCCAAACACCCATTCCAGTTTACCCCCCAATCTTTCTTCATTTCAAGTAGTATAATTTCAGGTGGAGAGGGATGATTCTGTTGCTGTTGTTGTCAAACAATTCATAAACATAATTCCTTGCACATCTACTGCAAATGATTAGAGATTGACCAGCAGGTCCCAATGTAACAGAAGCTCACCACTGCAAAAGGCAATGAGCTCAAGCAAATTCCATTGAAATAAGTCAGACACATTTCTAAGGAAACAAATACAGTCCTAGGCATATGCTGTGTATGAATGCCAACTTACTTGTCTCACAGACCTCTGAGATAAACTACCCTACCAGGCTTCTCCTGTGCTGCCTGCCATGCCTACAGGATCCATCCATTGGTGCCAAGTTGTATATGTGTTTGCTGCCATCATAATGGCTTCCACTGCAGCTCCCTGCCTAGGTAATTGCAGCAAGCCATCACTGTCGTGTGTAGGCCCCAAAAGGCATTGAACTAAAGGCTCTGGATAGGAAAGGGGTCATTATGAAGGAGGAAGGAGCAACCATCTGCCTTTGAGCCAAATCATAGTCCTTTGCAAATCCAATTGGACAGAATCAGTGGGATGTGGCGAGATAACTTCTATAGTTAGGCAGAGGGGATGGAGGAAAACCAGGAGAAAAAGGCATCAATTCAATAAGATGTGGGGCAAGTATTAACCTATTTGGAAAGCTGTCAGGATGTATTGACACTTCTGGCTGGGAAATCACATTCCACCAGCTGTGTTTTCCCTGGATTGACGTTTGCTCTGATTTAGCACTAAAGAGCGGGGGGTTTTCCTGGGAAAAGAGTGGGGTAAGGGCAAGGGTAAAACTAGTGCCTCTGAACTTCATTTGCTGGGGAACATGAGTGTGGAGAGTGCTGATGTGTTCAGGTGCTGTTTGTGGGCTTCCAATATGTATCTGGTTGGCTGCTGTGAGAACAGGACACTGAGCTACCAGTATATGGGTCTTTGGCCTGATCCAACAGAGCATTTATGTTCTTTGATATGCAGGGAAAGGAACCGTATAGCATAATGGAGTAAGTAGGTTCATCCCTGAAGTCCCTAATTGAAAGCTTTCCTGGGCACACAAGAAGGCCTTAAGGCTAGCCTCCATGGGCAACAGAGTTGGGGAAAGATAATGTGATATAGTAGGGTTCTGAATTCAAATCACTGCTCGGCCACTCGCTCTCTTCTAGTCTAACCTATGTCACAGGATTGTTGTGGCAACAACATAGGAGCACTTTGTTCCTCCATGAAAATGCTGTTTTCTATGGTCTTGAGACTTCCAGCAGATCCCTCATGGGGTGATTGCATGTCAGATTGATTTGCTATAGCCCTGCCCACGGGTCTGACCAGACAGCGCTTTGTAATAAGTGGGTGCAGTTATTAGTGATGCATTGTGCTGATTAAATAGGCTGCGCTGATGAATGGAAGCCCTTTGCTGTAGGAACAGATGGAAGCTGAGCAGATAAAGGCAAAGTGATAGGAAGGAATTTCTCTGACAAACAAATCCAAATGTTCCCTCTTCTAAAGGATTATTGGAGATCCGATCCATCACAGTCTAAGATCCCAAAAGAAAAACTGGATCTTGTTGTCTCTCCTCTGGTTCTGGATGAACGCGCTGCCAGTTTTCAAATACTTAAAAAGACAAAAGGGTGGAATCTACACACATATAAAAAACGCTGTGAAAATGCTTTTTTGAAAAAAAAAACGTTTTGAAAAATACATTGAATTTGGCAAAGCTCACTGTTGCCATCTAGTGTCACATTTGTATGTTGCTCTTTACAGCACATTTAAAACGTTTTATTTACAGCTGTATAGCTGAGTCCAAGAAAGCAAGCTATTTACCTCATTCACTGAGTTTTGACAAGTTCAGAGCCAGCATAGCACAGGGTTTAAGAATATTGGATAGTATTCCGCAACATGTGCTTGGCATAATAATAGTGTACTAGGCGGTGCATTTATTCTGCTTTATTAACAGTCCTTCTGATGCTTCTTAATGCTACCAGTTATGCTGTCCAGATGGACTATACTGCAGCAAAAGCAAGCCATGAAAACCAGAGCATTTGTTCTTGGGGTGGGGTATGGGTTGTCCTCCTTTAGTTGTGCTATAGCCCCTACAGCAATAATGTGGTGGATTTGAAGAAGCATCACAGAACAAACCAAAGCTAGGCTGAGGGGAGCTGACTGGCCCAAGACCACCCAGTGAGCTTCATGGCTGAGTGGAGATCTGAACCATAGTCTCCCAGGGCCTAATTCAGCACTCTTAACAGCTACACCACACTGGCTCTCCTATAGCTCGTATGGCTCTCTCGTACAGCTACTCCCATGGCATCAAGAGCACAAATCCTCATGACTGTGCAATGAAAAGGAAGACTGAAGGGCATCTTTAGTTACAAGCTGAATTACAGTGGAGCAAGGGAATGGCAGTGTTGTGCCAAATGCTTTAGAGGAATGGTGGGCTTTGGGGAAGGATTTAAAGAAAGGGAAAGAGCATCACAGAGATGTTCAGGAATGCTATATCATGGGGGCAGCAAGGGAGAAACTGCAAAGTCTTTGGAGGGAGCAAGAAACCTCCTAAGATGGTGAGGGATGGAAGAGCTGGAGGAACAAAGATATTAGGCAGGGATATATCTGAATATAAATGAACCATGCCACCTATCTCCCACTGCTGTGGTCAGGGGGAATATGGAAAGGGGCAGTTGTCTGAGCTGTGACAGGCACACACAGAAACTCACACAATGGTGATCTACTTTTCCTTACAGTATTTCTGACTGGTGCTTAGCACATGCAACACAAGGCTTAGGGCAGGGGTCAGCAAAGTTTTTGTGGCTTGGGCTGGTTCATGGTTCTGCAGACGCCGCGGTGGGCCGGAGTGCGCACGCACGCATGCGCAAACGCCATTTCCGGTGCTCCTTCCGGCATGGAGGAGTTGTGCGGAGCTTCCTGCAGCCAATGGGAAGCCAGCCAGTGTTGCAGAAGGTGGTCCCCGCTCTGCTCTGCAGTGGTTTAGTGCAGCGCATGGGAGCCGACAGAGCAGGTGGCCAGGGTCCCTGAACAGGTGGTGGGGGTTCATGGGCTGGTTAAATTTTCCCCAAGGGCCACTTGTGGCCCATGGGCCTTAGGTTGCCAACCCTTGGCTTAAGGCCTCCTTCGCCCACCTGGTGCCCCCCCCCCAGCTAGCTGGGGCTGGTGGGAATTGGCATCCAAAACATCTGGGTTGGCATAAGAGAAGCCACGCTTGTTTTCTTTGCCTGCATGTGAGGGGAAGTAGGTTAACCGTAATCAAAGCGAACAGGCTACTCCTTGCCTGGGGCACCCTGTAGGGTGAGAGAACTCAACTCAGCCGTCTTGCAAGGTGTTTATTTCTATAGTAAAAGTGAGGAAGGCCCAGCAGGCAGCCCAGTGGGAATGCAGTTGAGAAGGCACTATGTGTAGGAGGCAGAATAAAGAGAAATGGCCGTGATGAATTGGGATGACGGTTCATGCAAGGGTTCCCTTCTCACCCTTCCTGCAGGCCATCTGAGTTCCTCGTGATTCCATCAGTGTTTGGCCTGAATGAATTTTCCCTTTCTTTGGCAGGCCTTTGCACTGAAGCCAAGTGAAGAACCTTATGATTGCACTATCTACGTAACTCAACTCAGATAAGACTCCGCTTAGGAAAACAAGCAGCTCCCGCCCTTGGCAAGGAATCCGTCCATCCAACACTCCCCAACTCGTGCTCCTGCCTCCACACCAGCTTCCACACGCTCAAGCCAGCGCCTACAAACTCATCCCCGCCTTTCGTTCCCAAGTCCACCTCTGAAATAATTCTCCAGCCATGTTCCAGCGCCTCACCAGCCTCTTCTTCAGTGACAGCAGTGCACCTGAGGACCTTGAGGAACCTAAGCCGTTTGTCTCTAAAGAGGAAGAAGAAGATGGGTGGCTCATTATTGATCTTCCAGGTGAGAAATATGAGAGGGAATGATCAGGGTCAACCTAGAACGGGTGCTGGGGCAGGGCACCTCTGGCCCTCCAGATGTTGCTGAACTTCAACTACCATCATCCCTGGCTGTTGGCCATGCTTGCTGGGGCTGATGAGAGTTATAGTTCATCAACATCTAGAGCAGGGTTTCCCCAGCCTTGGGTCTCCAGCTGTTTTGGGACTACAATCCCATCCCTGGCCACTTTGTCCTGCTAGCTAGGGAAGATGGGGGTTGTAGTCCAAAAACAACTGGAGACCCTGATCTAGAGGGCCAATGGTTCCCTATCCCTGACTTAAGAGCCATAACTCTCAAACTGGAGAATTGAGGAGTTGTGGTTTGTTGCTACTAGATAATAGAGCTCCTTCCTGAGGGCTAGCAGCTCAGCTTTCTTCAACCATAAGCAGTTGTTTCTGTGGGAAGAGTAGTGTCAGTGTGTGGAGGATCTGAAGCTCAGTCTGGACAAGATTTGCCTGTGGGGCAGCACTGGCCAGGAAGGGGGTAGAAAGAGGCCACCAGTCCTGAGCAGGAGGTGTGGGGAGCCTCCAGGCCCCTATTCGCAGGCGCCATGAGGGAGCCATGGAAAGAGGTGGTGGCTGGGGTCAGTACCATTTAGGTGTGTGGTTGCTTAGTGGAGTCCTCTCCAAACAAGTTTGTAAGTCTGTCCCAGCCTCCCTCTTTGCAGCTTACCATTTGTGTTTGCATTTTTCCAATTCTCTCCCACGAAATAATACTGGGTGGTATTCAACTATGTTTTACTCAAAATAGACCCACTGAAATTAATGGGCCAAGCTTAGTCATGTTCATTACTTTAAATGGGTCTACTCTGAGTAAAGCTTAGCTGACTGCTACCCCTAACGCGTACTCTGTCTTCCCCTGTTTCTTATTGTCTCACACCCACATAGTCTCTGCTTCTTCAAACCTTCAACGCTGAGCACTAAAACTAGAACTCAGCTGTAAGCTGAGCTACCCTTGGCTTTGGTAGTGTTTCCCAAAATTCAGATCAGTTTGCAAAAGGCAGTTTAAGAGGTTCCACAAAAGGCAGAACTTTCTAAGTAGTTTTGGTTCTCTAGGTTTTGGAATGAAAGGTGTTACTGTGCCCTCCACGGATCAGGGGATAACTGAAAAATTTCTAAACACACACACACACACACACACACACACACACACGATGAGAAGGTCATGCGGCTAACTACAGCTGGAGACCGAATTCTGGACTGCATGGACCTTTGCTATGGCCTAGCAAAGTGAATGTATCCTCATTTTGGCTACACTACCTAGGGTGGAAGATGCTTCTGTTCTGCCTGGAAGTCACAGCTACCTGCAGATGCCGGAGTGTCTCACAAACCTGGTTCTGAATAAGGCACTCAGGTGTATAGTGCCACTTTTCAACCAAGCTAGAACTCTTGTAGCTCGATGAGTCAGTTATCTTGCCTGTTGCCTGTCTTTTCCTGCTCCAGTGATGCGGCAGCCCAGCTGCCTGTCCTTCTCCTCCAACTATCCTGGCCTTATTGCTTGCATGATACAGCAGCAAACAAGGGAAGGAAAGCAGGCATCTGGGCAGTTGCTTTTCCCTTGGGCTCATCTTATGCAACAAACACAAAACTCCCTAGCTGGCTATTCCTGACTTATCCTGTTCCCAACTTAGCATGTATTTCTCTCTCAGTGCTGAGCCCGTTCTATATGCCTAAAATGGAAGCAGAGAGAAAGAATGAGTTAAGGGTTGGCAGCCAAGTGCAGCCAGCAGATTAGCTCTGCCTTTTGCAGGCAGATCCAGGCTCCAGGGTGGATCTCAGCTGGCGAGTGAGCTACCTCCTTGCTCATCACAGAACAATTGTGATAGAGGCTATCCTTGCCATTAGGGAGCCTTGGCTTTAGGCTGGCTATAATTTTGCTCTGATCTTGTGTTCAGGATTCAGTTGTGCCATTGTTCCTAATCCATACTCTTAATTCCCAATCCTGGCAATAGCAGCACTTGCTAGAGCTTCATACATCAAATGCCCTGTTCTTCCAATGAATGGGCTGGCACCAATGAATGAATGCACCAGGCTGATTTCATAAAATCTGAAAGCATCATGTCGTCTTTCTTGAAGTCAAACTACAGTCAGCATTTTTATTTTTGAGCATCTGCTTTATGCTAAAAAAGCCACAAGTACTTGTTATTTGGTGATTGAATAGCTTTTTTTCCTAGCGGCTGAAAGTATTTTTCTCTCTCTGTCCTTCCTTCTTTTTGAGTGATGAGGTCTATTTATAAGCATCATCTACCTTGATTGAATGCAGCATGGCTGTAGTTCTTTATTGATTCCTTAATACAGTGGAACTCTGGTTACCTACTGTCCTCCTTACAAACGCTTCAGGTAATGAGCTCCGCTAACCTGGAAGTAGATGCTCCTGGTTGCGAACTTTGCCCCGGGATGCGAGCAGAAGTCACGTGCCTGCAGCACAGCAGAAGCGGGAGGCCCCGTTAGTAAAAGCGCGCCCCATGTTAAGAACAGTTTTGGGTTAAGAACGGACCTCTGGAACGAATTAAGTTTGTAACCGGAGGTACCACTGTATATAAACAAAATACACAGAAGTGTCAAAACTTCCAGACATGAAACCTGATTCTAGATCTACAGCATACTAAGTGAAAGTTGATCCATTTGGGCAAATGAAGCACTGCCCCACCAACCCAGTGGCGGAGGAACGGTATGGAGTGCGCACGTGCGGCATTCCGTGCGTGCGCAGTCCGTATGGAATGTTGCACATGCGCACTCCGTATGGGCTGCCGCTTACATGGTGTCCATATGGGCTGCTGCTCGAGCAACATCCCATACGGACTGCGAATGTGCGGTATCTTGTACGGACGCCGCATGAGCGGCACCAATACGGATTGTGCACCAATACGGATTGTGCACAGCTGAGGGGAGGCAGGGGCCATCTTGTCACCCCCCCCACCGAGTGGCACACGGGGCGACCCGCCCCCTCCACCCCCTTCCTCCGCCCCTGCACCAACCTCAGTCTGCCCTCAGACAGCCCCACCTGCCTAACTTCTTGCTTACAACCAGTCCAAGGGATAGCACTGCCTGTATCTCCTTCTCCTTAGTCTCAAGTGTTGCCCTTGTAGAATTCAGCAGGAACGAGGATAGGGGTAAAAGTAGAATTATTTGGCGGTGCCTGTTATTGGCTCTGGCTCTTCCTAGCATTTATCTCCCTGCTTTCTGCCCTATCAGCCTTCTTCATGGGCTCCAGCTTTGTGTTGCCAGCTTTTGAATCCATCTCTGTTGCTGTTCCTTTAAAACTGGATTGATCTGGAGCATCTAGCAGGTGATCATGTTTAGCTTTAGCTGCTGGTTTTTGCACAGGTGTCATAGAAAACAGCTTTTTCTGAAAGCAATTCTTTCCAGTACTTCTCTAGGAGAACTTTGTGCTTTCTTTTATTTTTAAAAAGATTGGCTTGATATTGTTGATAACTCACATGACATACCACTTTTAAAGAATCAGTGCTAATTCAAGGTCTCCTTCACCAAATCCAAAGAAGTTTATTCAAAACCTACTCCCAAGTAAGTGTGTTTAAGGCTGCATCCTTCGCTTTGAAGGTCTTCGTAGCTGCCTAGCTGCTAGTTTCTCAGGCAAGTGAAAGCTCCTCCATCTTAGTCACTGATTTTTGCCTTTGCCATTTTGCTGAGCGGAAGTCAGATGACTCAACACCCAGTGGCAACCAATCTATGACCCTTTTTGCTTGCAAATTTAGCAGAGAGAACCCAAGTAAACTATGCTGTGTGTTGGACAGATCCACCCTTTTCTGTTCCTACTGACAATCCATTGCCATGTGTGTGGGGGGGAACATTCACCAGGCTCATGCTTGTGTTACAGATATTTTTAGATAGCCTAAGAGGGAGCTAAGAATAAAGCTACCTATCAGTTGGAAAGCAAGCCCTGTTTGTTATGTCCTCAAAATGCTTTTTGCCTGGTGTTTGGAGATTGCCTGAGGGTCCCTGCAGACTGAGGTGTTTTGTTTTGTTTTACAGGTGTACTTTCAACATGTCATTGACACAATGATAGTACATTAGTGGTGGATTGACTTGACTATCCGCACATCGCTTTGATTTACCAGTTGTTCTGTGATGTTTTCCCCAGTGTTTTCCTGCATTATAGCAGGAAAGGGCGCTCTTGTGTAACAAAAGTGAGACAAAAAATCCCAGGGATTAAACCTGGCAGGTGCTCTCCCCCTGGGTCATCCCCCAATGTGTGAATGTTCAGATAAGGGGCAGGAAGAGCATTTCTCTTCTCCTAGTTCACTGCACAGTAATAATGAACATGTGGGCATAAATCTGACTGTATTCAGTTGGGATTACTCTCTGAGTGGGTTTAACATTCTATCCTTGATAATCTGAAAAGGCCTTGCTCCTTTCTCAAAGCTTTACAGTGATCAGAAACTCAGCTTCTGTTTTTGCTCATCCCACTCCCTCTCTCAGCTTCCACAGCCCAGACTAATAACAAAACAAGGCTGTCCCAAGACGTTTGCTCCACACCAAGAAAAACACAATTACCTTGGAAAACCACATCTAGCAATACTGCCGGGCAACAGATGCCGCAACACTGATTTCAGCTTCACTTCCTGTCCTCACCTTTACTGTATGCAGTGCAACTTGTTGCACACAGAGAGGGAACAAAAGAGACTGGCCTGTATTTGAGTGAGAAATACATCCGGTGTATTCATTAGTTGCATGCTTTGAAATACAAAGGTGCCTAGTACAAAGAAGGAAGCCCTGGCTAGGAAACTGAAATGTGGCACACAGGAGAAGGTGGAGAAACAGAGAAAGCTAGCCATGATGGCTGAGGTTGATGGGAGTTGGAGTCCCAGCTACATTTGAAGTACCTTAGGTTTCCTTTATCTGATCTAGAGCCATAGGAGCCAACTCCTAGGCAGGCCCCCACAAAGTTGATGGGCATTCACATTCAAACGGGGTGTGTGCACTGCATCATGTGATTGATTATGTCAGACGGGGCTCACCTGGGCCCCCCACAATATTTTATTCAAGTTGATACCCCTGTCTAAAGCACAGCTTAATTTGAACCAGGGTTTGGCCAAGGACTTATTTCTAAAACCTGGCCTCTGGGAGGAGAAGCAACATGTTGCCATTGCCTTATAACACAAGTTAATGACAGTCAGTCTGTGCACATCAGGGATTAGGAGAGAGAGAGAAAAAAATTCTGAGGTAGAGGATGTAGCTTCTAGCCTTGACTGATATTCCGCACTTCTATAAAATAGAAGAAAGGAATTGGGCCGGGCCTGCCATTAGACATAGCGAAGGGGACACCTCAGGCAGTAGATGCTGGGGTGGTGGGCAGTGGTGGGCAGGGGTTAGAGGGCAGAGCTTTGTGTGCCACCCCATGCAGCCCGCCCCTAACTAGTCTGTTGCTCTCAGGTGCGGTGAGGGATGCTGTCCCATTGCCAGAGTCTTGATGCCAAAATCAGAGCCTTAATTAAAGATCTCTGTGAGCACTTAACCATGGGTGCCATTTTCTCCAACTTCTTAACTGCTATGCTGTACAGTGGTACCTTGGGTTACAGATGCTTCAGGTTACAGACACTTCAGGTTACAGACTCTGCTAACCCAGAAATAGTACCTCGGGTTAAGAACTTTGCTTCAGGATGAGAACAGAAATTGCGCTGCGGCGGCACGGCAGCAGCAGGAGGCCCCATTAGCTAAAGTGGTACCTCAGATTAACAACAGTTTCAGGTTAAGAACAAACCTCCAGAATGAATTAAGTTCTTAACCCGAGGTACCACTGTATTATTCCAATTAGCCCATGTTGTTGACAATGATGTTGTTAGCAAAATATGGCATGATGAGCAGGATTAGTGAGACTGATGGGCACATCAGGAAAATGCTTGAAGGAAAACAGTTTCCTTAATTTATCTAGATTAGAGGCACATTTTGAAACTTTTAACACAACAACCCCACTCTTTTCTTTTTCCCTTTGTTTCGAAAATCTAAAAATACTTCAGTTCAAGGGGTGGGGGACCTGTGGTCTACCAGATGCTGTTAGGCTCCAGCTCCTGTCAGTCCCAGGCAGTGCAGTAAATGGTTAGGGATAATGGGAGTTGTAGTCCAGAAACATCTAAAAGGCTGCAGATTCTCCACTCCTGCTTTAATAACACTTAACATGCTTGTTGGTATTTTGATCTGTGTGTTCATTCAGCTACACACCCTGCCAAGAAGCGATGCTGTTTACATTTTCTTTTCTTTTTTAAGATCCTGCATTCCTCCTGTCAGTCAGGGCTAATTATTGCCACCTTCTTCCTGGTACTGGAATTGCACAAGCCCTAACCAAGGCCCCAGTGAACCTTTCACTGAATTATATCTTTGGTGATGAGCTAATACTGTCTAGATTGAGTAACATCCTATGAGACACAGGGCCAGTTAGCTGGACCAATGAGATGCAGCCGTGTTGCCAAATGTTTGAGAATTCTTGCACATATGCATGAATAAGGGGCATCCATAAGAGGAATGAGACACTTTGCATTCTCATACTGAAATATACAAGATTTTCTCACAACAAGCTACCCCCAACTTGGCAACACTGCAAAACTGTGTGTGTGTGCACGCGCATGCACGTGTGCAAGGGTTTTAAAAACTATTAAAACTATTTTTCCCCATGATCAGTCCTCAATTAACCTTCAACAATGGATCTCCCAAGTAACCTTTGACTTTAAAGTAGCTGCGTGGGAGCTCTGATTTTGATTAGAGGAGTTGCTCTGTTAATTGACCTCTCTCTAGAGGGCCAAACAGAAGCTGGATAGAAGGGACATTGTGTTTTTCTCCTAGCAGAGCTAATAGCAGCTTGGGGGCGATTTAGAACAGGGAAACTGCACAGGGAAAAGGGTTAAACACATGTTCCTCCAGTGCAACTGCTAATCTAAACTGGATGGACCTACAACATTGTTCAAGTAGCACCCTCACCCCCCCCCAAAAAAAAGTTTGGACATCCACTCACAGATCTGCCATATGATGTCATTTTGGCCCTCTAACCCATTTTGCAGCCCTCAGGCAGTACCTCCCCACATATCTAATAATAGTGTGAGATCCAGTGTCAGATGGCATGATACCCAGTGTGGGGAGGCTAACTCAGGTCTGTCACAAACACTTTGCAGGCATGCCTTTTGACATTTTGGTCATGTTTTGTGAGATGACCTAGGATAGCCAGAGTAACTCACACTGGCAGAAAGAGAGAGAGAGAGAGAGAGAGAGAGAGAGAGAGAGAGAGAGAGAGCGAGAGGTCACAGTGCACCAGGAGATTGTATACAGAAGTCACATCTACCAATACATTCAAAAGACTTTATCAGTCATGGCTCCCACCCCCCAAATAATAATAATTCATGGGAGTCTTAGTTTGTTAAAGGTGTCAAGATTTATTAGGAGATAACTCAAGGAGCTACAATTCCCAGCACCCTTAACAAACTGGAGCTCCCAGGATTTTTTAAGAGGATGCCTGTTAAACTGACATAAGAGTGCTTTAAATGTATGGTATGGTTGTGACCTAAGGCCCACTAAAATGAATGTTATTTGCATATTTTGCCATATTTTGAAGAGCAAAAAAGAGGACACATTTGCCGGCTTCTACTTTTAACTATGGATCGCTGTGATGACTCTCATTTTACATACCCATGAAAAAGAGGACGTGTCCTGGAAAAAGAGAACATATGGCAACCTTAATTTGCCCAGGAGCACACATTAATCTTTGTATGTGATACACATTATCATCAATGTAAACTTTGCTGGATAATGTAAGTTAACACATGGGTCCCTGCTTGGTTTATGTTTCAAGCAGAGGAGGCAATAGAGAAAGGAAGAGGCAAGGGCAACGGGAGATGAATATTTGCAAATATGTTTCTGTGTGCTGATACAGGTTGCATGAATGCAGCGCTTGTGCGAAGGAAATGTCCCACCTTTTCCCCCTGCATGCCCTGCGAAGCATCTCCTAAGGATCAGGGTACCCCCAGGGAAGGCCTGGGGTGTGGAGTAGGGGATTACAGTCTGCATGGGAGAATCGGATGCTGGGAGCTTGTGCTTACTGCTCTCCCAACTTGATGGACCTTCATGGTATTCTATTGCTCATCACTGGTCTATGAGCTTCTGCGTGGCTATTTTTTAAAGCCGGTTTCCCGTAAGCTAGTGGGAAGTTGCAGAACATGTTCTCCACACTCTCTGAAGGTTGTGCATTTGCAGAACAGGTTACAACAGTGTCCGGGTTACAACATCCAGAGTGTGACGCTTCTGCTGTCTTCTTGACTAGGCTGCTGCTTCATATTACAGCCCCTAGTGGTTAGCTAGTTGCCAAGTTTTCCGAGTATGCCGATGTCCCCTTAATTATGACAGCGGGAAGCAATGATTTGTTGTGCCCCTCGTGAACTAGTGAATTCTCTCCATAGTGACTGGCAGTTGCTCTGCGTTCCAACTCTACCGTTTTTGGCACCCAGACCTGCTTTGCTTTCCCTCCTTTACCTGGAGGTTAGAGATAAGTTTTTCTCGCTTTCCCATAATCTTCCAAAGTTGGAAGATTTAGGATAGACAAAAGGAAGTCCTGGTGGATAATTGTGCTCACTCAAGTGGATAATATTGGTATTAAAATATTGTGTGTGTGTGTGTGTGTGTGTGTGTGTGTCTATATATGTGTATGTCAGTGGGACTTGGTGGCACATCACTGTGTGTAGGGTTGTTGTCTTAATGTCAAATGGAGCATTTCTGTTTTCCCTCTTCCTAGTCACTGTGTTTGGATTTGAATCTGTTGGGATGGATTGGAAAGGGAGATGAACTGGTGAGGTCTCTGTCTTCTCTCCTTCTCCATTAAGGGGATGCCATCTGTACCAGCCTGCCTGTTTCTTGTACCTTATTGTATTGTTTTGCCATCCATTTCATTCTTCCATTACTTCTTTTCTTTCTTCTTTTGAACCAGTAATTCCTTTTAAATATGCATACATTTAAATATATTAGCACATGTGGGTATGATATGTCTGGTTTTCACCATCTTGGGAGAGCTAGGCACTCTTACTATTTGGCAACGCTCTTTGTAGCTCCACGTTCCTCTGGCGCTTTGGTAACCCACCATGGGAGGACTTCTTTGCTTTGCTTGTGGGTCGTCACTCTTGTTGATTCCCCTCCTTCAACCAGCATGGTGGCCCACACTTTTGCAAGGCTGGACTGTGTGTACAAGCAACCCCAGGCGTCTCTTGGGGGCCGCCATGTTTTTAGGGGCATTGACGGGGCAACAGACACTCTGAGAGGAGCACCTCCAGGTTCCCTGCCGTTGTTGCAAAGGATGCTGGGAAACTAATCTCAGATGGGGTGCAGCTGCAGTTGCAAGTGCTGCTGGGGCTCACCGCTTGGGTGGCAAGGCGCAGCTACCTGGGTGGCAAAACATCTTGAGCCAGCCCTGACTCCTCAGGGAAGGTTTTGGGATGAATTACAAAAATGCCTTTGGGGTGTCATTTGTACTAATAATGCCCCCTTTCTCTTCTCCCTCCCTCACCCCTTCCTTCCCATCCATTGTATATTGAATGTGTGTGCCACCTCTCCCCTCTTAATCCTCTCCCCACCCCTGCACTGCCTTGCACAACCCTTGCATGGCTTTGAACAACGGTAACTACCTTTTTTTTTTTTTTGCTTTGGTTTTGAATTTTTTAATTATTATTTTTGCTGTCGTTGCTCTTGTTCTGGCTGTCCTCCCGTTTTTGTGTGGGTGGTGACTCTTGTTGTCTCTCATTAGATAGTTACGCTTCAGCCTCCAGTAAGGAGCGGCGGGTAGGTGAGAAGGATTCTGTTTGTGCTTCTCGTTGCCGCCGTGGGTCCCCTCCACCTACCACGTCTTCGCCCCACTCCCTCAGTGACTGTGTCAGCAGGTCCATGCCCTCTCAGCCTGACCCCTGCTTGATGGACGAGAGTTGGTTTGTTACCCCTCCCCCCTGTTTTACTGCAGAAGGTCCTGACCCCGTCAGCATGGAGAGCAACCCCATGGAGGACCTTTTGATTGAACATCCCAGTATGTCCGTCTATGTCACCAGCAGCAGCATCATTGTGGAAAGGGAGAATCCTGAGGAGCACATCCCTGAAGGGTAAGCTCAGATCTTTCAGGGAAATGAGCCAAGACATTGGCTACTAAGAACAACCTCACCCACTATCAGATTTCATTACCATAATAATAGTAATAGAATTAATTTAGGCAAATGAGTCTTGACTGATGATCTGGGATCATTCTAAAATTAATTCATTAACTGATGAAGAGCAAATGCAAATAGTGTCCAAAGTGACAATTGCCACAATCTTTAGAAATATAGATGTCTATGAAATTAAGTATTGTGCGGGTGGCGCTGTGGTCTAAACCATTGAGCCTCTTGGGCTTGCTGATCAGAAGGTTGGTGGTTCGAATCCGCCAAATGGGGTGAGCTCCTGTTGCTCTGTCGGAGCTTCTGCCAGCCTAGCAGTTCAAAAGCATACCAGTGCAAGTAGATAAATAGGTACTGCTACGGCGGGAAGGTAAACGGCGTTTCTGTGCGCACTGGCTTCTGTCACAGTGTCCCGTTGTGCTAGAAGCAGTTTAGTCATGCTGGCCACATGACCCGGAAAGCTGTCTGTGGACAAACACCGGCTCCCTTGGCCTGAAAGCAAGATGAGTGCCGCACCCCATAGTCACCTTTGACTGGACTTAACCATCCAGGGGTTCTTTACCTTTACCTTTTTTTACCTGTGTGGAAAAAAATAGTGTTCTCCCTGCTCATAATGCTATGTGAGAGAGGGGGTTATTTTTTGTTTTGTTTTGTTTTATTATGTATTTTGTGTTCTTATTCTGCCCTGGTATGAAGGGGTATACAAATTTAATAAATAAGAATAACTCAGGAACATCCACTGAAGCAGAATGTTGATCAGTTCTGTACTTGTGCCTTTTCTGCTTCTTCCATCATTGAACATGATAACTTCATTTTAAAAGAATTGGGTGTGTTATTCTTGCATCTGACTGTTTTGATGTTGTAAATGCAAACACATTCAAATATAGCTGATTTCCTACACACACTTTTTTTTATTATTTAAGCGACTAGGGTGTAGAAATAGTCCTGAGACCTGGAGGATGGCAGTGAAGCTCATATGTTCCCACCATGTATACAGTGTAATGTGTAACATGTTCAAATGCACAGACAGTTCATTCCATCCCTATCCCTGCAGAGAGGAGGGAGATCGCATGAGTTGTCTCTGCATACAACTGGTTCCATGTTTTGTGGCAGGCGCATTGGGAGGGCACAACTATTTCTGCTTCCCCGCTACACTTATGAGTGGACTGTTTTCGGTAGCTTTGATGAATAAGGCCTTTTGCAACTTTAGCGGAAGTCTCTTTTATGTCCTCTCAAGTACGCCTAATCCTGTCAAGAGCCTTGAACCACCCTGAGTCTTGTGTACCTTTGTTTCTGCAGTGAGGTACCTGAACGCCGTTTGCAGCGCCATGCCCCTCACCACTCCACCTCTCTTGCCACCAAGGCCGCCATCTTGGAGAAGGTCAACCAAGTGCGTCGGATTCAGAGGGCAAAGCAGCTGTCGGAGAAGCACAAGTTCAGTCAGAAAGTCATGCAGCGGCAGAACCGCACCAGAGAGTGCCGCCCACGACGGGCCAAACACCAAGGCAGCTTTGTCTACCAGCCATGCCAGCGCCAATACAACTACTAAGCTACTTCAGGAAGTCTACACTGTGGGGCATTATCCTTTTAACTTTCAGCTTCACCAGTTCCTCACAATGCTTTCTTCAGCCAAGAGGGTCATCTTCGTCCATTTTCTGAAATAAACCCACTCCCCTCACCCCTTTGAGAAAACCTCCTACGTTCTCCTGAACTGGCAACGTTCAATAGTTGTTCTTTTGTGGGCTTTTCATGGGCTTTATATCTCCACCCCCACACCCCCTTTTCAGCAAGAAATACATTTTCTGGTCTACAGCTTCCTTTTCTTTTTGGGTTTAATCTTCCCCATTCCCATCCCTCCATCCACGAGCGTGGATTTTGATTTGGATCTGAAGGTGAGAGAAACCCAACATGACCCAGTAAAATGTCCCAGTAATAAGGCTGCAGGTCTATTTTGAAACTCCAATGTGGGTTGTTGTTGTTTTTAAAGAAGTGTTGGAGAAATATGTATGCCTCTTAGTTACCAAGAAAGGCCATTTATCTCTGGTTATATTCTTGATCACCAAGCGGCATGAAATCACACACTGGTTATTGTAGAAATTACCAGTGGTAGACTAATTGATGCTTCCAGTGAATATATCACATTTCAATTTCTTTCCAGTGCGTTACGTACATAGTAGGGCAAAATGGCCTTGTCATTTCCTTTGGTCCCTTGTTGTTGCACTAGGGAGCCTATGACATCAGTGCCTTTCTTTATGACATCACACTCTCTACAGTGTGGTGTCACAAATTGAGATACCAGGTTCATGTGCAAACTGGAACACAAAAATAACAAATAAACCAAACAAGTCCCAATGGAACTACTTAAAACTATATCTTATGACAGATGTCTTTCCTTTAAAAATACACTAATTGCATATTTGTTCCTTTCACTGGGCTGATGTGGTGGCTAGTCATGAGGCATTCTGGCATATCCTTAATTTTACTGGGGCTGTAAGACCCATGAAAATCTATGGGAGTTTTGCCATTGACTTCAATTAGAAGATGGATTGTGTCTGAATCTTCAGTTCAGTAGTGTCATGTGATGTGAAATGGACCCTTTGAAAGTTCATTTTGAGCAGCTGTAACTGCCAGCAGTGGTTTATGGGTGCTGCAGAGGTTCAGTTATTGAAAGGTCAAGCTTGTATTAACGTTGCTCTTAATCACACATGTCCTTTTTGAAATCCCTCTGATTATTTGCATAAAAGCTATCCTAGTTTTTCTTGCCATATCATTCATGGCTCCATAACTTCATGAGCAAGTGTTTAAACCCATGTGTACAGAGCACAGTTGGATGTGGTACTTTTTAGAAGGACATCAGTTTGTGTGTGTAAGTGTAAAATAAAATAACTTCTAAAAAGGAAAAAAAACCAACAAATTTTAAAATCCTAAATTTGCATCTTTACCCCATGCATTTTATCCTGAGGCTGATCATGGCAAACTTCCTCCAAAGAAAATATTTCCTTGTCCTAAGGAAAGAAATTATTAAAAGTAATCTGAATAAAATAGAAACAGACGTTTGGCAGAGACTCTTGTTCTGAGGACTTTTATCAGGTTGAGTTCTAAGGGCACCAACCAGATAAGTCTGTGACAATTGGTTTCAATGGGAAACAGATATGTAAATAGTCACATTTCTTCCATTGATTTCAGTGGGATGGCAGGATCATGCTTTAATATTATGTTTAGTGGGAAAACATCATTTTTTGATCCTTGCCAACAGTAGAGCACTTCATATTCATTCATGTTATCTTATTCTGGTGTTGATGCTAATGCCAAGGACCTCAGCAAAGAAAGGGGCTTACACATAATTTTAGAGGTAATAAAGTATGTTGGAGGAAGTAATGAAGGATGTTAGATAAGAGATTGAATGAGGCTGGAGGGATGAAGTAAGTGGGTCAAAGACAGAAGGTAAAATAAAGTGTCCTATGCACACTTTCTCGAGAGTAAGCACCACTGAATTCAGTGGATAAATAGGTTCAGGCTGCGTGTCAGTGAAGAAGGGATCTGAAGTTGTTGACCAGGTGTAAGCCAAAGACATGGAGGTCTGGACCCTGGAGAGTAGAATGAATACCCTCTAGAGAACAGCATGAGTACCCACACTTTGAAGAAAGTCTTTTAGAATCTAGAGCACCCAATAAACATAGTCATTAGATTATGAGAACAAATAGCTTTGATTCTGTAGCCAGATGCATGGAGGAGGTCTCCTCTGATCAAGACCATTTCAGGAATAACTGGGTTTCACTCTAATTATTTTAGACAAGCATTGTCCTGTTAAAAACAATCCCATATGAAATACCTGCAACGAAACTGTAATTTTTTAAACATTTATACTGTATTCTTATTCATTTCCCCACCCACCCCTTCTATCAAGTTAATCACAGTGTTCACATCCTGATTATGGTCACAATGACCATTGATTCTTAAACACTTGCTCAGTCTGGTTGAGATCTGCAATTTTCTGTCCTATTTAATCTGTACTGAGCTTAGGAATTTCCTATATAAAACCTCATAATGATCATTTGGTACTGTCTATATATACATTTTAAAAAATAAGCTTGATACATGTTTAGAATAAGAAAGTAAATTATGTACTGAAACTCAGCTGAAAGGGAAAAAAGGTAGCATTTCAGTGCTGTGGTTTTATAGGGTTGCCATACTTCAAAAAGTGAAAAGTTGTTGAGCAACCCTAGGTTTTAGAACCACCCACCCCTTATACTGTATAATATCACATTCTGCATGTGTTTCAAAAATGGCTTACCATGTGAAATTTGGAGAAGGGGGCTGCTATTGAAGAAATATAAGCCTAAAGCCTCTTGGCTAAGGGAATTAGCTGTGTGGTCCTGGGGGTCCTGGGCTGTGTTTCTAAAGTCAATAGCTTTATATTCACATGACACAACTGAACGGAAGATTTCCATCTGAGCTCAAATCAGACTAAAATTGTCTTCCACCGACCCAATACTGGCACTATACCTTGGCAGAACAGCATAGTAGAAATCCAGCTTTGTTAGCCATGTCAATGTTGGGAAAGTTGCCCCTATTGAATGTCTGCCTGTTCCACTGCTGTCAGATGAGCAAAAAAAAAAGTCACCCTAAATGTTTTTCCAAAATTTAAACTACTCATCCAAACAGATGTTGGAAACTTACATTTACTATACATTTGACCTGCTGGTGAAGAAGGTAAATAAAGACCAGATCTCACCCTAAAATCTTGACTTCTTCCTGTTCTTCTGCCATTCCCACACCTATTTGCTGTCTTCATTACTCTTGAAGAGCTGGTGTTCATCACCTTGTCCTTATGAAATTGATGGCAAAACCCCCGTATAGGATCAGCCTTTGTGCCTTTTAACTGCTGCTGAAGAGGCATCAGTTTCAGCCAGTTATTGGTACAGAGGACTTGGCAAGCACCTTAACAAGGGCAGAACCTCAAAACTTGGTTGCTGGCATCCCTTGTCACCAGCTGCATGTTACCTCCAGGAGTAGCAGTTGAGAAAGACATGCCAAAATCCTGGTTCTTCATTTCTGAAGATAACACTAGACAGTTGCCCAAATTTCGTTTTATGTGTGAGTGCTAACACTTCCGCAGAAAGCCGTGGGGCCGACCTATCAGATAGAGAACGTCAAAGCTAATTGATTTAATTTTAGTTCTGGGGCAAATGCACTTGACCTGGAACTGAAAGCAGAGCAATTCAATTTATGACTGATTCTTCCACTTCTCCTTTAACTTACCAGGAAGGCGATAGAACTGGCAGGCCTGAGCGGGAGTCCTATGTACCTGTATGGTGGTGGCCACAGATTATGTCGGTTTCATTTGTGTCTGATTAAAATAGGGAGATTAACACTTTCTCTAATCTTGTGTTTACATCTTTTTGCCTCTGTCATGTCACATTAAATGCCTTTTACCACTATAGCAGCTCTTGAACAAATCAAGGTGGTTTATTTGAAGAGCTGAAACACATTGGGGGGTGGGGGGCAGGGAGTGCAAATTCAATGAGTTTTGCATGTGGGAATTATCACACAAATGCCCAGATCCGCTTTGAATCTGACAATTCAAAGATATTGAAAGCTGCATCTTGAATGTGATAATTTAATCTGGAACATTAGGAGTTAATTTTGGGGTGGATTTCATTATGTTGAGTCTATATAGCTTAATATTCAAATTTTGGAAATAAGACTTTTGACATCCCCCTCCCCACCCTAAAAAAAATCACAAATATTGAATATCTCTGTTTTTTAAATGTCATTTATGAGAAAGAGAGTGATGTTAGCGATTTCTGTTTTGATTCACTGGGTACTCTTTATTTTCGTTGCTGCAGAAATCAATTTTGGGAGGGGGCATCTCACCAGAATAGGGCTTCTTTAAGTTTGCAGCTCTACAGCCCTGTGACACACCATGATGTCTGGTTGTGATGGGGAAACTACACCTCAAAGCTCTGAAAGGGCTGGAAGACCCGATCCATTTAAAATGTGGACATCACCTCTTACTACCACTTAGTCTTACAAGCTGTAGGTGAAATTTATTCCCACCATCTATGCTTCATTGTCAGTGAATCATGATTTACATGGTAATTGAACTTTTGCAAAGAAAGAGAGACTTCTGAAAACACCTGTATTCCAAACAGTGGCTTCAAAGAGTAGATTTCCTGCTTGGCAGGGGGTTGGACTCGATGGCCCTTGTGGTCTATTCCAACTCTATGATTCTATGATTCTAGATGAGTTTGGAGCCTCTCCTTCCTTCTTTCCCCATGTCCTTAAGAATTCAAACTGTTTCATGTCTCCAAAGGAACGTTAGAAAGTCCATTTTTCTAAGTAAAAACTGGATTAGGTCACTTACTTACCTTTTCCTCCAATGCCGCTTTCTGTCCCCATCTCTGCAACATGTCCAAGAGGTTCTGACACCTTAACACAGAGATGGGGAACCAGTGTTGTTGGACTGCAGCTCTCATAATCCCTGAACACTGGCTACGTTGGCTAGAGTTGATGGAAGTTTGAGTCTTACAACATCTGGAGGGCCACAGTTTTCCCATCCCTGCCTAAAACCAACACACTTAGAAAAAATTATATTGGCTTCAATGGGATATTCTTGCAGGTGTGCTCGGGGAAGGGGGGTAGTCCCAGTGTTAGATTCCTTCTAGAGATGTTGCCCTCCTACGGGGGTCAAAAATTATGGCAGTGTTTCACTCTGAGCAATGGGGCCTGGCTTCCTACTTCGTGCCCCATTAAAATTAGCATCGTATCTTTGACTACAACCTTAAACATGCTACAGTAAGTTGCGTGATACCGTCCTCTGGTGATACTGTATAACTGGGTGACTTTATTATGTGAGCACTTGCACCTTTCGATTGTTTCTGCTGGTTTGGTGCCTTAGCAGTGCACACAAAGAAATGCAGACAGCGGTTAGCAGGAAAAATAAGTATTTTACTGGCACAATTTTGCAGGTCTTCCCACCATTTTTCAATTATACTTGAGCACTTGGCCTTCGAAAAGGCTCCCAGGGTAGTGGCATTCCTTTCACAATGAGTGTAAAATGATGATGATGATGATGATGATAAATACTTTAACAGCTCACAAGTTGTTGCCCTTTAATGATACCCGAAATCAGCTGCTTGAAGCAGCCGCCTCACTCTGCCTAATGGCAGTGTCAGCCCTAAACAAGTACTTATCCCATAATATTACTGCTTCCACTCTGAAGACTATTGCGAGCTCAGCCTGAGCTCAAAATATGCCCTGTGTAGTTTATATTGACCAGATTCGTGACACCATCCATGCCCCAGGCTTAGTTTTTAAAAATGCTAGAACAGGTTTTTAATGTTTTTAATATGCTGAGAAGTGGAGCACTAGAGTTTCATCATGTTCCTGTGATGCTAAAGGCAAACGGGGCTATTGCATCATGTCCTGCCAGTGAGCTTCCCCGAGGGATTTTCCTGGCTAACACCAGAGACAGATTGGTGGATTAGAAGGACTCTTGGTTAGATCCAGCAAGACAGTTCTTACGATGCAGGAGAAGAAGGGGGGGGGAGCTAAGGGGGTAATCTTTCAAAGCTGCAGAAATGTAACCAATTTCTTAAGCTCGTAGAACAGTACAAATTTTGGGAAGGAGAAAAGGTTCAATGGTTGAGTGTGCGATAGCTGAATTCAGAAAACAGAAATTCAAGCTATTTTTTTCCTCTCAGATCACCTGGATCTAGTTCCCATCTGTGAAACGGGAGCCTCATAGCCATGTTCTGAGAATAAAACAGGATCTAGAGTTCTTATGGTAAACACAAAAACCTCCTTACTGCAGAGCAAATTCCAAAGTCTAATGATAAAATGTTAACCTGCTCTTTGTCTACATCCTATAAACACTGTAATTTAAAACACCTGTATAATGTCTGCATTGTTTTTGCTGTCACTAGCAGTTCAGGAAAGCCATCTTAACATTCTCATCCTGGCAATTCAGTGATCAGTCCCAAGAATGGTGTTCAAAAATACCAACTACATAGTGCTCTCCTGTGTTAAGCCGAAGGAAAGGTGCTTAAAATAATAACTTCTGTGTGTGTTTGTGTATGTGGGTGTGCATTCACATTTGTAAATATGTTACAATAATGAGAGGATGCAAGCATTTTTTTTAAAACTTCAACCATTTAAAAGTTGTGACTAGCTGTAATGCTCCTGAATGAATGGCTGGGAGAGTGTTGCAATGGCATTGTTTATGGGATAGGCCAGGGGCAGCCAATGTAGTGCTCTCCAGATGTTGCAGGATTGCAGCTCCCATGATTCCTGTCCATTGGCCATAGTGACTCCAGTTCATGGGAGTTGTGGGCCAAAACATCTGGAAAGCACTGTGTTGGCTTGGCTACCCCTGGGATCAGTTGAGTTCTAACTTCTTTTTTATTTGTATAGGGAAAATTTACAGCATGGACTCAGGGACAAAACAAACAATGGTTGTTACCTTAAAAACACATGTTTTAGAACTGTTTGATTTGGATGGGTATTTTGTCGTTGTATGTATGAGTCTGTTGATACAAATTTGCATGTCCTAAAGAAATTTACGAACTTGATAGAACTGCTGTTTTGTTTTTCTTAAAAAAGAAAGAAAAATATACCTTAGCATAATTTGTGAAACATACTCTGCAACTAACTGCTGCCTTTTGGTCAAGGAAAAAGGACTTGATTGCCACTGGCTTGGCTATATAACAGAATTAAAGCCAGTCTTTGGGATGTGACCGTTTTTAACAATGGCACGACCATATTGCGGTACTCCCGCACGGCAACGTGTGGATGACAAGTTGGAAAAGTGAGAGTGGCCATTTGTAACTCACTTCCTCTTTTAGACCTGCTCTCTTGTAAATACTGTTACATACGTACAATTATATAATATAAATATATTTAAGCAATATTTTTTGTCAAAGTCCCCAAGTGTTTTGAGGGACACTGAGGAGGCAAAGAGAGCCAAGGCCTGTGCTCTGGAGAAAACCATAGCCAAGCCTATCACTGAGCTACAAACCATGAGGGAGCTCTTGCCCACCACTGGAAGTCAATGGGAATGAGGTAGAATTTCACTGGCAGAGAATACTCTGGGATATTTGCAATAAATGGCATAGGGAAGGGACACCTCAACATTCATTTGATTTGTTTAGTAATAATGTAATTAGTCAGTTGCACTTAAAAGCAAAAAGAAAAGCAAGGAAGGCTAAAGCGCTCGATGGCAATCATACATCATGACAGAGATTTATTTTCCCAGTCACATTTAAATGAGTTTTGTTTTTGTGTACTGCTAGCAGCTGTAGACCCTTCCTGACTAGGCAGTAAAGAAGAAACTGAAGTCAGATGCCTAAACACACTAACTAGAAAATAAGTCTCATTTAACTGAGAGAAATTTGTTTCTGTTTGGAATGGATGGTCAAGGCCATCTCAAACATTAAAGGGGGGGAAATAGGTCTCCACAGTGTTTCATTGATGTCTTTGCTGTACGATTTCAGAGACATGAGTAAGCCCCAATTTAAATAATAGGAAGAAAAGTTTAGTTTGATAGGCCAAACTACATATAATGGAAACCTCAGTTCTATTGATGTTCTACATATAATGTAAACATCAGTTCTATTGACACAGTAAGCGGCCATCTTTACTGTGAGGATACACAGTAGGATAACTAAATTTAAATATGTGGTTTTGTTATATCCATACATCTTTATTTCAAAATATACAATTGGTGATGCCTTTTAATAATCCAACGGAGTTCAAAATTCCTACCTCAGAAAACCTTTTCTGTATTGATTTGTTTGATGCAGAACACGTGAGTGTTGCAGAAGATTCTGGAACACATTCTAGGGCCCACAATGGATGCCAGAGAAGCCTGTTGGGCCAGTCAACCTATGCAAACTAAGAGTAAATTCTAGACTATATCCAGTAATCCCCACCTGTAGTTAAACATTGCAGAGAAAGTTTGGTAACCTTGTCACAGAGCTCATAAGAAGCCTTCTGAAAAGAACAATCTTTATTTGACCATAATGTCACATAAACCATGACAACTGCTCTGTATGGTCATTTGTTTCGTGCCCCCCCCCTTTAGAAACAAAATCATGTTAATTTGCAGCCAGATGCACTAAATAGAAAAATGTAATGTCCCCTTTCACTCTTATTTTCTGGCAGTTCCTAAATTCTTACAGAAGGGTGAATCTTACGTACTGTGGACAACCAGCCAATATCCAATTGCTGATTTCAGCACTAATTTGTAGGACACAAAAAAGCTAGAACAGGTGGCTAGTGATACCATTCTTTTGATTACTTAAAGCGTAATACCCATTCATTCCAGGACAGATCCAAGAGAAGTGGATTGTGCTCATTTCAGCTCATGCATAGCTCAAGAGCAAATTGATAGAATACAAAGTAAAGCCACAGCAATAAAACACACACACAGCCCTTTCCCATTTGTTGGAATAATTGGCTGGTTTTTGCTAGTGACATGATGCATGCTTCCATCTTGTTTTTCAGTCCTCTTCTTTCCTTTGTTTTTAAGAGAAGGTGATTTATTTTATTTTATTTTATTTTAGTTCTCACTTTACATTATCCAGGTCTCCATTTTGAACTGAATTTTATCCTCAAAATTGGTCATGGTCATGATATATATATTTAAAAATACTATCCACATAATTTTTCGTATCGCCCCTTTTACTATTTTTAAAGTGACATCTCACTGAAACTAAGAAATAAATCTTAATGTAAATAATAGACTAGAGATGGGAAATGGGGCGCATTGGACATTGTTGGACAACAACACCCATCATCCCTAGCCACTGGTCATGCTGATTGCAGGATGGTGGGAATTAGAGTTCAAAAATATCTGGTTCCTTATCCTTGTAACAGTCTAAGGTGGATTGCACATGGCAAATCTCCAGCTACTAATTTTGCAGGGAAATCTTACACACCTGATTGAAACGGTTATGCTAGAGGAATGTGCCCAGAGTGTCCATAGTGTTGACATTATAGCACCTTTTGTGATATGCGATTATCATCACAATTGCTGTACCATGTGTAAACATGTAGCTGCATATAACATGCTTTTGGATAAAGCATTCAGAGATTCAGAACCACCATTGCCATTAAAAACAAAAGCCCTAACCCAGCTCCCTTGTTAGCTTTGTGTCCTGTATGGTGAGGACACCTATGGCCTCCGAGATGCTGTTAGACTCCAACTCTCATTATATCTATTCAATGGCCATGTTCTCTGAGGCTGGTGGAAGTTGGGAACCCAACAGTTGCAGAGCCACAAGTTTCCTATCCTTGCTGTATGGACATCCACATCAAAACACATTTTCATACTTCGTCTCTGATCTGGAACTAACAGTACGCACTTCTGACACTGCATATGTCTTTGACAGTGTTGGGGATGCACACTTCCATCTTGAAGTGCAAGGAAACAAACTTCCTTAGCAATATACTGCATTTCTGATGCCAGTTGGAATGGATGTTTCAGATTCATTAATGTTAACGGGGGTAGGGTGGATGCCTGACCTGGAGGCAAGGCCAAAGAAAGGTGGAGAAGGTACCCAGAGGACTCAAAAGGGTATTCTAGTCTAGGCCCTTTTCCTGAATTTACTAGGGAAATGGCACTACTTTCCACATTTGGATTGTGGCTCCAGGTCTCCCAACTGCATTTTAACTCCTTCCTCAGTTGTTCTTCCTTATGATGAAAATATAGTTTATTCTCCTAACAACCACATTCCTAGTCTTTTCCTATTATAGCCTAATTTGAACTGTCAAGTAGCATTTCAGTGGTACGATATTTCCTTATAATCAGCCCTGCTTTCTACTCATATTGCTTCACTTCTGCATTATACATCTTCACACTGTATTTATTATAGATTTGTGCATCTGTCTTTCATACGCCCCTCGCCCACTTTCACATGATTTGGCTTCACTATTCTCTAAGGAACATATACATCAAAGAAAAGACACAAATTGTTTCAGGCCACCATAGTTAATGTCCTACTACACAAAGATGGCTGCAGATTAAATGCTACAAATGTATGTATGGTGGTTTTAAAATTGCAGGCTATTTTAAAGCATACTAAGGGCTTGATTTGATAAATACTGTATTTTACCAAGCTAAGGGCCTTTGGGCAAGTTGCAGTTTTGTTCCTTTGTTCTCAGTATAAGTAATTTTCAGGATGAGAGTCACAAACACGAAATACAACACAACACAACAATACAATACACGGCCAACCTTTGAACATGAGGTCATCTATACCTTTAGCAAGTACATAGGTGGGGAAATTTCAACAAGCGCAGGTTTTTAGACCCCTTCAGCACTGTGACATGACAATAAACTATACCTGCTGGAATTCCACTTCTACATGACCATGGAACAGACATAAACCCAGATGCTGAAAGGTTAGGCCTCCTCCATTTGTACCCATGTTTTAATCATGCTTCCAGACAAAAGCACACTGTGAAACCAGGAATCTCTCTGCAGATTCCTGCATCAGTCACAGAAGAACATTGTGATTTTGGTCACAAAAATGAGTCATTTGAATGCTTAAAACAAAACAAAATGTAGAAAGCAGCCACCGCTGATTTCCGCAACCTGTCAGTGGAGCTAGGGACATATCTGCAGCATAGAACCATAGAGAATATGGATCCAGCCAACTTTCCCATGGAAAATCTTTGCTACATTCTCAAATTCTCACATTCTTACACCAAGCCAGGCTGTTGGGTCCACCTTGCTCAGTATAGTTTACACTGACGGCTCTCCGGGATTTCAGGTGGGGGTTTCTCCCATCCCTACCTGGAGCTGCTGAGGATTAACAGAGGGCCTTCTGTGTGCAAAGCAGAGGCTGTACCACTGAGCTACAGCCTTTCCCTACCACCAGCATTTTGTCAAAACCGTATTAGGGTAGCCAGCTTTTGTTTCTTTTCCGAAGGCTTTTCGAACCAAAAAGTGCTGTTTTGGTTTAAGTCTTAAAAACCCATTAAAAATGTATTAAAATGTATTAGAGCATTTATTTTATTTTAGACACATAAACACACTTACCCCCTTCTCTGCTGTTATAATGCCACTTCCAAAGGTGGGAGGGGGAACCTTTGCATTTCGAATGCACATGCTAGAGAGGCAAATTCATTTCTGGTCATTCTCTCTGTTCTGTTCTGCTGACAGGGAAGCGGGGGCATGGTTTTTAAGCAAGGATCCTTATTGTATGCCTTACAATAGAGGGTTTGACTAGATGGAAGTCTGCCCACCAACCTTTTCCGCATCACTTATACCCTAGAAGAAATACCTTGTTTAAACAAAATGTGTCCTTATGTGTTTGTTACCTGCTGAAGAAGTATATGGAAGGAGGAAGCCCATTGCTTGTAGGGTACTGTTTAGGCATTTGCAAGGAGTTGACAGAGCAAAGGACACAACTGCCTCAAAGTGTTCTGTGGTGTGCCTGTGTGTATGTAATATGGTTTTGATTGTTAGACTGTAATGGTGTCCTCTTTTTGGGGGGTAGGGGTGGGACAAGAAATAAAAAATATATTTAAACCATAACCGATGTGTTTACTGGATTTCTTAAAATACAAGACACAGTGATATAAGGCTTCTAATTAGTCAAATGCCCCACTTAAGAAAATTTGTTTAATAAAGCCTCCATTCTATCAGTGCTTATAGCAAACTCTCAAGATATCTGAAACCCTACATGAATGAGACGTTATGTGGTTTTATAAACGGGATAAACTTGAGGAAACACTTCAGTACAAGCCAATTTAGTCCTAGTGGCTACAGCTGGAATAAACCAGCTGACATTTCTCTTGTTGGTTTGGCAATTGGGCCATTTGGCAATTGAGACCCAGGAAGAGAAAGCAGATACATACTGGTTAATTTGCACAGGATTTCACATGCCAACCAAATAGAGATCAAAATGAAATGAACCTTTCTGAATGGGTGGGCTACGGATCTAAAAATAATGGAACCTGAGCTAAAGCTTTGTCTGCATATTTACATGGCCAAGTCCTTGCACACCATTCTACTTCCACATTGCCTCCATGCTCCTTCCATTTGCATATGGGCCTCTGTTGCTTTGCTATCTTTTCCCATGTGTTGTGAGCTGCCTTGCCACGGAACAAAAGAGTACTTTACCATGTGCTAAGCATGAAAATATTCATGAACATTCCTTGATAGTAGCAGATATATGCTAAGATTTCACTTTTTCCTTTTTAAATACACTTCTATTCACAGTTTTAAGAATGCTTTGGGTGGGGAAGAGAGACTTTTTAACTTGCAATGATCACTGCTCAGCAGATGCTTACAACAACCACACACTTGAGTAGTACACATATACCGTATTTTTCGCACCATAGGACGCACTTTTCCCCCTCCAAAAATGAAGGGGAAATGTGTGTGCGTCCTATGGTGCGAATGCAGGCTTTCGCTGAAGCCTGGAGAGTGAGAGGGGTCGGTGCGCACCGACCCCTCACGCTCTCCAGGCTTCGCATACCTCTCCACAAGCAGCGGGAGCGCTCCCGCTGCTTGCGGAGAGTTGCCTGCATGCTGAAGCCTGCGCGCGCTGAGCTCAGCGCGTCCAGGCTTCGCGGACCTCTCCGCAAGCAGCAGGAGCGCTCCCGCTGTTTGCGGAGACTTGCCTGCATGCTGAAGCCTGCGCGCGCTCAGCTCAGCACGTCAAGGCTTCGCACACCTCTCAGCAAGCAGTGGGAGCGCTCCCACGGCTTGCAGAGAGCTGCTTGTTTGGGGGCTGGGGTCGGGGGAAGCTCGAGCTTCCCCCGCCCCAGCCCCGCGCCTGGGGGGGAAATAATTTTTTTCCCTTTATTTCCCCCCAAAAAACTGGGTGCACCCTATGGTCCGGTGCGCCCTATGGTGCGAAAAATACGGTACATTTCAAAAATGCTAGTTCTACTTCAAGGAATTTATTTCAGTTTCCCCTAGGAATTGCTTGAAGCACTACAAAATCCAGCAAAATGGGGGTTGACCCAACTGGGACAAGAGACAAGCAAAATTAATGTGACCGTGATAATCTACAATTCTGTTTCCAACTCTTGCAGAAGATATTATTTGTATAGAGTAAAGCAATAAAGCATAACACATCTACTGTGAGAGTTTAATTTTGTTACATGCATGAGGACAGGAAGATCAGTGAGAGGAGCAGAGGCACATAGTCCTGAAGTGTACTTTTAAGGCATGGTGAGCTAATGTGATGCCCTCTAGACTTTGTTGCACTATTTCTGACTACTGGCAATGCTGGCTGAGAATGATGGGTGTTGTAGTCCAACAACATGTGGAGAGTTCCACATTGGTTACTACTGCTTTAAATGTTCCCAGAAAGCAAGCATTCCTGAGAAGCAGCCTCCACTCTCAAAACACAGGATATAGCTCAGCTAGTGTTCCAACACTCAACAACCAACAGAAAATGGTCACGTATACAGAGAAGACCACAGGTCTTGCTAGCTAGGGATACTCTGAAGACCACAGGTCTTGCTAGCTAGGGATGATGGGAGCTGTAGTCCAAAAACAACTGGAGACCCAAGTTTGGGAAACATTGCTCTAGACCTATATCCTTGGTTCCACACATCACAAGCCTGGCTGGAAGTGAACCAAGTAAAGGAAGGAGTAACAAAGACAGTGAAGGACGAGAGATTTGAATAGATCTGCCCTATGATACCAAGGAGTTTGGCTGCTTCATATTTTTAAAAAACATGGCTTAACAAGTTATTGAGGTTCCAGAACTAGAAAGCACTTCTCTTACTGATGTTATCCCTGAACTCCCCAGTAACCCATACCCAATGTAAAAGGATGCTGGTGTTAAATAACATACAATACAAATATAGATCGATGACATTTATTTAGAGCACTAGGTAATCCACATTTCACAAACTCTCTCATTTTTTTCCACTGGTCCTTTTCTACAACAAATACATCAAGCCTACTATATAATAAAACTATTTACATTTCCAAGATTGGGCCATATATAACCCTTTTAACTGCTATTCACATACAGTACTTGACCAACAGCACAATACATCATTTTTATATCTAAAAAAAACATGACAACCCTGTACTCTAGTTTCTCCTATGAAAAGTGAAAACGTAGGTAAAAATTTACAATTATCTCCTCAGATTCTTTACAACACGCTAAATCTAGTGTGCTATGTATAGACTTTATAAAACCAGAGAATTTAACAAATAACCTGATTCCCCCAACTCATCATTTAGTCTTCAGGAAAAAAGAAACTTTGCATTTACTGGGAACAGGATCATAGTAAAATTAATTACTGTACAGAATTTTAGAGTTTTTGTTTAGTTTTTGTTTTTGTTTTGTTTGTTTTTATATATAGTGAGAAATCACAGCTCAGAACTGCTATCGGTAAAAAAATTCACACATTTACAAGCCTTGAATATCCACTCAGTACTTCATTTGGATTTTCTTCTTTTTGACTGCATAACACTTGCATTTGTTTCTGTTGGGGGGTGAAAGCAGATTGGAAGATTATTAATTAAACAAATAAAAAATAAACTAGAGGGAGAAGGGGATCATGCTGTATTAACCATACTAATATTTTCTGTTTTAAGGTTTGTCCAGTCAGTCTACTAAGTTCTCAGAAAATGGTCTTACACCTTGCCTCACAGGTGGACCGGCCCTGTCTGGAGGGCACCAGGCTGGGGAACACCTGATGCAACAGCACAGTTTGCTTTCATGTATACTGATGTCTACAGACAAGCATGAACAGTATAAGTAAATTCATTCATCTGCAAAACCAATTTTGCAGAGAGAGGCAAGGTTTTGTCTTCTGCCTTTCATATTTTAGAGTGAAAATATCTTCTAATCCTTAAATATTCCATCTATTTAAGATTTGCAAAGTGACTTTTCAAGCTATATGCTGTGTTAATGGGCACTGCATATAATATTTTAGACGACCTTCAGAATGGAGAAGAGAAAGGTAAAAAAATAAAACTGGATGCAATAAAATTGTTTCCTTTTCATTCCTAGTTCTATAATTTTGACACCTCATTAAATTAATTCTAAGCCAAAGGGAACATACTGGGTGAAAAGAACTGAGTATCTTACCTTTTGCAGTGCTGGATGCTGATGCTGGTCTGGAGGACCTCTTGCGCTGCCCATTCTCTACAGTCTCCTGCACTGCTGAAGATTCCTCCGTCCTTGAATTTCTTCTGCTCGGAGTTTTAGCCTTTTCGCAGCTCTCCTTCGGCTCATTTCTGATAAAAGTGATACAAGAGCTGTGTATTTACATACAATTCATGCTACAAGAAAAACAGGAAGATAGCCTTGCAACATCAGCACTAAAGTTTCTTGCTTTGTATGCTTCAAGAAATATTAGTAGGTGACAATACAATGAACCAAGAACAGAGTTACGTTTATAAATAAAAACATAGGTCCGGTCATTTGAACATATGGAACACAGTGCTAGGACTGGTGTCCAGAAACTACATTCCTCTTTAAAATGAAGGGATGTCAAGTATCATTATTTGGAAGCAAAATACTCTTGCCACAGAAAAGCCAAGCAAGATGCATTTTGGTCTTTTGAGAAAGGAACCAAAGGGGGAACGTTCAGTCCTTAGTCCTAGATGTTTTAGTCCAGTCTAGGGGAAAACTTATAGTTCAGTACATTTGACTGAAAGGTATAATTATGAGTGTTAGGCTATTTAACAGAATGGGTTCTATCTAGCTAAATTTTACTCGTAGACCTACTGAAATTAATGAACCTAAAAAAGGAATGCTTATTAACTTGAATGGATCTGCTCTGCGTAGGACTAACATTGGATACAATTAGCACACCCTGGGAAGATGCCTTCTTGTTTTCATAGCAGCCCTAACCTATGTCACTAACTGAAATAAATGCAGGATGCTAAATTAGGTTCACATGCAAGTCTTTGCAGGAATCAGCCACCAGTTTGCACTTTTCCTCTGTGTTAGGCAGATTTCTACAAGGCCAAGGAGAGAGAAATTACATAACACTTTAAAGTTATGTAATACACATTTCTACATAAACCAAGAACAGAAATTACTTCTCTTTTACTATCATTCCATAGTGAATTACTTACGTAACCAGGCCAGAAATAATTGCAGAATTTGATTCCAGTTCTGAAACAGATAAATGGAGGGGTTACTCTACTGCTGAAGCATATGGAAAAGAAAAGAAAATGGGTATCATTAAGAAATCTAACTGCTACTCTGAGAATAAGTGATAGGTATAATACTAGCAATATTTCATCATGACAAATCTAAGTAGATATTAGTAGCCTCATCATGTATCACATAAGTCTTGATCTAAGGAAATAGAGGTCACTTCAGACTTCAATGGGCCTGATATGCACAATTCACCAGATCATCTTTGCAACACTTCTGCCCCTACCAACTCCCATTCCCTGTCTAAGTAAGTGCTATAAACTAAGCAGAGATCAGATGAAGTGCAACCCTGTCAACTTTTAATCAAAGTGTAGTACAGTAAGCCTGCAACTTATGCAGGGGTTACGTTCCAGGGATCATACCTAAAGCCAAAATCATGTATAGTATAGTCAAAACCCATTGGGTTCAAGGGGAGGTGGGACTGCCAAAGTCATTTTTCCTGAAACCCCACTCCCTGATTTTTTTAATTTTTATTTTTGCCCCGCACTTAAAGCTGAATGTGCACTAGTTAAATGTGTGTTAAGCTGACTAGAATACATTTACCTACTTTTAAAGAAAAGAAAGCATGCTTTCAACTTGTAATGATTTATCACTGTTACATTTAGCTTTGAATTTTGAGTATAACTGTGATGTCCATATTGCTGGATGCTGCCAGTTTTATTATGGAGCTTGATCACTTGAGATGAGATCAGATAGTGTTCCCCAGATCATCCTCTGAAGAACAGAATGCCTATCGCTCCTCACCCCAAACAGCAGACATAACCAGCTTAATTCAGGTTTCTCATCCCCATAACTCCTAAATTTATTGCTCATTTTAAAATAATTTGCGCATAAACAATCCAAAACTAATACAGTTGCAAACTATTGCAGTACACTTCCTTTGCTCTGACCAGTGTCAAAACTGTCCATGTGATGCATTATTTTTGAACTCTTCAGTGTAATACTGTGACTACATACAGTATTTCTTCCAATATAAATTAAAACTCCATCTTGCAGATAACATAAAATACAGGGAAGAGTTTTATGCACATATATATTTCCCTATAAACATATATGCTATTTAGTCTAAGGGAAAACATACCTGTTCTTTGAACACTACTTTCTGGTGTTGCAATTGGAGTCTGGGATAAAGAGGCTGAAACAAGATAGATAAGAAGCTACCAATGCACTTTTCAGTCTTAAGAAATACAAACAAGGAATACAAGTATCTGGAAAATACAGACTGCTCTGTATCACACTGCAAGATATGAATGTCCCCAAAGTGGAAAACCATATGCTAAGCAGAAAACTAAAGGTATATCATTGATAGCCCGAAGGTATGCCATAAGTCAAGGAGACAAAAGTATCTGAAAACAATGAAACAACGCCCCCCCCCAAGCATTTAAGGCCTTCTTAGCTTGCCGATCGAAAGGTCGGCGGTTCGAATCCCCGCGGCGGGGTGCGCTTCCATTGCTCGGTCCCAGCGCCTGCCAACCTAGCAGTTCGAAAGCACCTTCGAGTGCAAATAGATAAATAGGGACTGCTTACTAGCGGGAAGGTAAACGGCGTTTCCGTGTGCGGCTCTGGCTCGCCAGAGCAGCGATGTCACGCTGGCCACGTGACCCGGAAGTGTCTCCGGACAGCGCTGGCCCCCGGCCTCTTGAGTGAGATGGGCGCACAACCCTAGAGTCTGTCAAGACTGGCCCGTACGGGCAGGGGTACCTTTACCTTTAGTATCTTGTTTAAGCAATGGGGGGGGGGAACTATTGTATAAACATGGATGCTATGGAATGCCAATTCTATGCACTGATTTCACTTTGATCCATTATTATAGTGTTTGGTTTATTTACAAAATTTAGTATAAAAGCAGACGTTTCCAATATCCCCAGTATATATGGAACATTTGGATTAGCTTTCTTCATACGTTACTTTGTTCATCAGAGGTATGTATTTTCAAATACTCATCACATTATTTTACTTGTTACAGAGGACAAATGAACCTGAGACAAGTGAGAAACCAGAGGAGTCAGAGGCATTATATAAAGATCTTTCCACTATGCTGCACAAGCAATAAATTTGGAAGGCTCTCAGATTACACTCTAGAACAGAATTCATCATTTGAATAGTGTTGTTCAATAAGTTATTCAAATGCTATTGCACTGCTACCATTACTAACCCTCAATCTTTGATCAGAGGGATTTGCAATACTTTGACTAAAACACTTTTTAAAGCAATGTTTTAATATTGTAGGTATTGTTACATTTAACTTGAGAAACAGAGCTTACTGTAAGAGATTCCTTCTTCCAATTGTTCCAGTTCTACTGTTCTAGGCCTCAACACACACACACACACACACACACACACACACATGTCCATACACAACTCCCTCCTCGTCACCATGACCCATCCTTAATTCATATTTGCAGAATTGGATTTTTGGCGACAGAGTGAATGGAATAACAGCCCAATATGTTTATGAGTACATACCCTTATTCTGTGGCGATTCATGATGGTCTTCTGTTTTCTCATCTTCTGGTCCAATCCCAACCTGCTCCGCAGGTAAACTGAAGGTGTTACCATTAGTGCTTGGAATTGTGGTTAGGATGTCAGAGATCACTGGAGTGGTTACAACTGAAAGAACGTTAGTGGAAGGAGTGCTACCTGGTAAGCTTAGAGATACAGAGGCAGAAACAGCGGCAGTAGTACTAGCACTTAAATGGCCAGTTCCGGAAGTGCTTTGTTTCGAAAGAGTGGGACCCGGAGAGGCCACCATATTGTCTTCTAGTTCTACTGGTAACTGTTCCATTTCCAGACTGTTGGTGATTGAAATGTCTTGTCCTTGACCTTCCACTTCTCCTTCCACACCGTATTGATCATCCCCTTTGTCAACCGAGTCTGTGACTTTCTTGCATGCTTTTGTCAGCAAAAACTGACCAATTCTGTCCACCTTCCCTTTTCCCTTTGTAGATGAAACTGGACTTCGTCTGTTGACGGAAGATCCAGGGCTCTGGTCACCAGATGGGGAGACCACAGCTCCAGGCTGTGAGGTTGCTTCAGCATTAGAGTCAGATGTTGACGTCTGAGAACTTAACTCCTCTGGGTTGAAATCTTTGACTTGCTGAATGGAAGGATGCGGAGAAGTGCTTGAAGGAGCCATTAATGAGGGAGAAGGAAGCTGAATAGGAGATGGCAATGAATTAATAACCACTGGCCGACTTGTTGGTATACTTGAGATAGGAGTATTAGAAGACGAGCAAGGAGGAGCAGGCCCTGATGAGAATTTTATATTCTGGGACAAATGCAAAGGGCCAACAACTGCAACAGACTGTGGTATTAAACTAGAATTAGAAGTCATTGGGGTTGCAGGAATTGTACTTGGCTGGGATCCTTTCATAACCTGAATTATTGAGGATGAATTTATAAAAACTGGCGTAATGAACTGAGGCCGAGCATTGGACTGAACTGTGGTTTGTCCTTCAGAAGCAATAACTTTATTGCCAACACTAGGCATGGTGACAACAGCAGGCATTAATGTAGACTGTAGATGAGAGGGCAATGATGCAGGCGTGTTAGATGATGATGTAATAGGGTTGGAAGTTACAAATACTGTTATCTGATTGGGTGGGAGTGATGTAGAAATAGAAGCAGAGCTAACAGGCCTCTGTATTACTGGAGAAATATTCTGGGAAACACTTGAATTTATGTCACCCAGATCTTGTTGCACTTGAGTTGAACAGGCTTCAGTATTTGCAGGTAAACTTAGGGAACAGACAGAGTCTTTACTAGGAGGATCCTGTTGGGGAGGAGGAATGGCAGCAATCTTTTTGAATTCCTCTGCATAAGTCACTGGTGGAGGCACTTCAAGGCTAGGGAGACCAGGAGGTTTAATGGTAACATTAGGAGCCCCAGAATTGTCAAGAAGTTGACTTAAGGATGTTGGTGCCTCCCGCATAGCTGGAGAGATAAGATTCTTGTTTTCTTCCAGACTGGGAAGCTTGTTAGATTCTATGGGAGGGACCTCCCTCTTCTGTTGCTCTTCATGGACCAGTATTTTAATTTCTTGGCTGGGAACGCCTTTCAGCTCAATGTTGCGCTGATCTTTGTTCACTGGGGCAACCTGCATATTCTGGCACACACTCTCTTGAGGGGTGCTAAAGCCATCTTTATTATCCTCAGGAATACCACTCATGACTGATACAGGGATTGCAGGATTCTGGGCAGCTATCATACCATTATTCTGAAAACTTCCAGGCGTAGGCATTTGCAAAGAGGCTGGACCGACCATCATACTTCTTTGTAAATCTATGTTTTGCATGAGCCCTGGATTCTGCTGAGATGTCAAACCTAACTTAGTTGCTTTTGAGTTCTGCCTCCCAGGGCTTGGTGTTGTTTTCCTACTGGATCCAGGGCTGGACCTTCTGCTGTTACTTGGACTGGCTCGCTTTGCTCCACAAGCATTGGTTTGCTTTCCTGAATTAATAGCCATGGAGTCCAACTTATGTGCTTGTGGTGAAACAAAACTCGATTGGCTATTCATTGCAAGATTTGAGGGTGCTTGCCCAATAGCCTTCAAAGTGGTTGGATTAAGACCCTGCTGATCAAATCCTCTATTAAGATGGGGCCTGGGAGGCAAAGGAATATTAATCTGAGGAGGAAAGAGGCCTGCAATAGAAGCATTGAGCCTCTCTGGAGATAAACTTATTTCTGATGGCTCTGTGCTTGGTGGACGGTTATTGGGAGTCTGTGGATAGTATGGTCTTGGACTTGCCCTGTTTGGAGTTTTGGGTCTTGATGTTTGTGATGTGGTAGGAACATTCTGAAAATGATGCGGGTGAGGGCCAGTAAGAGAATTAGACTGCTGCTGAGGGCTTGTACCTTGAGGAGCTGACATTGGAGAAGGTCCAGGTTTTGGCCCTGCCATCATTAACTGGTTCTGTGAAACTACTAAGTGGGGTGCTATATTATTTTGAGGCCCAGATGCTAAAGGGACTTCAGGCCCATTTCCTTCTGAAACAGAGGGCACTGATGAAACTTCTCCCAGTGGAGAGCTGGTTGGATTCTGTGCATTATCTGGGTAAACCATCTTTCGTGCACTGTTCACAAGAGGCTGGTTGTTTGGCATTGGGATCCTTTGCTTGTCAGGAGATGGAGGCACTGAACCAGGACCTTGAAGATTAACCATCACCGACATGTTGCCCCCCTGCTGCATTGACATTCTTTGTGAGTCTACATTCAGAGGGCCTCTAGGTTGATGGACACCTTGGGAAACAGGAAGCCTGACAGATTTAGGGTCTTGCTGCATCATGAGCATCATCATCATCTGTTGCTGCTGGGACTGTGTCTGTTGAGATGTGGGTGGCTGCTGCTGCTGCTGCTGCTGTTGTCCATGCTGCAAAAGCTGAGGAGGTATTTGCTGAAGAGCTCTTTGTTCCATTGGCTGGGCTGTGTAGCCTATAGAGATAAATAGAAACATTCTTGTATCAAAAATCTGCAAGATGTCACTAAAACGGGCCTCTTTTGTATTGTCTAGTTATGGCAAATATGGAATGCAAGTTGTGATACCGGATAACAATGTAATGTTTGTTTTGTGGGGAAAAACAATAAAATAAGTTTGAAGTGGGTGAAGGTATGCTACATGGACCCGATTAACTAACATGTGATGCAGTCTCTGTCAGTGTACCTACAAGTAGTAGGAATACCAAATTTAGGTTCAGTCTTAATAAGCAATGAATGAAGCACAGTAAACGATGAGTACATTAAAAATAATGAAAACATGTTCATCACCTGGTGGCCTGTTTGTGAAGTCCGAAAGCTTATGTCCAGTGTTATCCAAATTTATACCTTGCTCTCCTGGTAATGGTGGCTGATCTGACTCTTCAAGGCCTGCTGGGCGTGGTTCTGAAGCACTAAAGACAGAAATGCATATGACTAATGCAGTTTGAGTTCTTTTTTAAAAAAAGAAAAGAAAGCAAGCTGAAATTCATTACATTACACAACGGGGGAAGTATAGCACATTCATGGCATTTCTCTTATACCATACTTTTGATATTATAGCCAGCTGTGTGTAACCAGGGGCGGACTTTGGCTGAATATTTATTTGGTGCCTTCCCCACTCTTTCCTTCCATTCTGTGCATGTTCTCAAGTGCACTGCACATAGTGGGAACTCAAGTGCCGCCTCGCCTCAGTGCCCCGTGTAGAGGAGTCACCTGCAGCACCCTAAATATGTTGCTGGTGTAACATACAACCACCTCTGGACACAATTAGTATTAACAAACAAGGTCACTGCTTGTTTTGTTCATTAGTTTAAGGCAGAGTTGTTTTTCAGCCCTAGATCTCAAAATACTTATATCAGGTAAGAAGCAAAAAGGACTGTTTATCTACCTTGTAGCAACCTTTGCTCAGGATTCCCTTCAAGCCTCAACCATGTCTCCCGTTTTTAGGCCAAAGCACAAAAAATGTAATGCAGAATATGGCAAAAGCCTGCCCATGTTTATTCAGAAGCAACTTCCAACATGTTCAATGGTGCTTACGCCCTGGTAAATGTGTTTAGGATTGCAGCCATAGTTGCTCAGGTGAAGCAGGGAGGCTGATGCCCCTTCAAATTAGAATTACTGAAAGCTGGTTATCTTTAAGAACCTTCCATCATGAGACAAATGGCAATGATAAAAATATTTGGTTATCAAATATGACTGAAGCAGACTCTGGACTAGAATCACCAAGTTTAGTCAGTCTTGAATCAGAAAATGGTCCATCTCGGCTAATATTGCCTATGAAGCCAGCAGCTGTCCAGTTTCAGGCAGAAATGTTTGGTGTTTTCCAGTTCTGCAACCCATGAGTATTTAAGATAGCTTTAAGCAATCCTTGGGTCCCTAGATGATGTTGGGACTACCATTCCGATCGTCTCTGCCCCTTGGCAACGCTGACTGGATTTGACAGGCATTTAGTTAAACATATGGGGACTCAAGGTTAGATAAGGCTGCTTTTAAGAGATGTCAGATAAAGATAATAGACCTGGCACCTTGAAAAAACACAAGCTCTATCCACTGAGCTGTGGATCTTCCCTTTGAAGGCCACTCACCACATATGAAGCTGTTATTTTTAGATTTGGGAGTGAAGTAACAATACACACAACAGAATGACTGTAAGGCAGCCATCTCCTGCCTTGTTCACTACAGCAATACAGTTTCCAACCCAGTGTGATACAGCCTGCATAGGACATGATTAGTTTTTCCCAATTAGACTTTAAAAGCCAGTGAGACAGAACCACTGATATAGCCTTTGATCCAGGGGAAGGGTGAGGCCTGAGAATTCCCCACCTCTCACCACCAAATTTCCAGTTCACTCTAATCACTACCTATTTCTCTGCAAATAAAATAGCTGCTGTTGAGCCCTGCCTCTCCGCAAACTGATCACAAGCCCTTTGATGTGGCAACAGGGATGTTGACTCGCATGTCAATGTTACATGTTACAAGCTTTCTGTAAATTTCAATTTTAGCGCGTCTAATAAGAGAGGTAGCTCATGTATCCCCAACTTTCTACATCCTTTGTATCTCTGCTTTAGAACTAGGAAATTGGATAAAGAAGTTACCCAGGGAAGTTACAATTGAGAAGTCTTATCTCTATGGACAACTTCCCTCCTCATTTCATGCAAAATACAAAAAAGTGGGAAAAAAAACCAGGAAATTTGTTATAGCAAGAAAAATGCTGAGCAGTTCTAGAGTAAACACAATTACTGAGAGTGGTATATACTCTATGTCTTTTATACTCCTGCAACCTTGGAAATCAGTGGTAGAGATTAGCACTGCAATCCCTGCTTGATACTAGCCCCAAAATTTCACATAAATGACTACCCCAAGGCATGTGGAGGGACAGAGGAAGTGGTTTCAAAAGGAAAACCAGCTGAACCCCATTGAGAATGAACAGAGTTATCAGGCACTCTGTGACATCCAAACACAATTGCATAGAAATCTGCCCCATTTCCATTTCCACCACAGATTCTTCCAGAGTGCCGCTATTTTCAATCACATCCTGACTGGGAAATTTAGGTTGCACAATTAAAGTGGATATGGAGTTCTGCACAACAAACCTGCTTTCTCACCCCCAAAACTGAACTTTCTGCAATAAGGAAAGTGATGGGAAAATGCACTGGGAATTGCGCGATCACATTTGCTTGACATAACAGTATCTAACCTCCCTACCTGGGCTGGCCCAGGATGTTTTGCTCCTTGAGGCAAAACTGAATATGCCACCTGGCTCTTCCTCCTCCTCTGCCACCCCCTACGCTGAATGCAGTGGGGGAGTAAAAGGAGGCTGGAGAGGAATAGGTGGTGGCACACTGCAGTGGCACGCTCCTTGGAGGTCAGAACTGCTGCCTGAGGCAACTGCTTCACCTCATCTCATGGGTGGGTCGACCCTGCTCCCTGCAAACAAATCAGAATGAATGCTCAGTAGACAATTCTGAAACATGGGATAATCCAGGGCTAGCAAATGCAGTGACCACTAGATGCTGTGGGCTAAAACACCTATCAGCCTTAGCCAATTGTTGCAGTCCAAAATGAGTACCATGTAGGCTATCCATGCATTAATAAATGTAACAGAAATGTACTGCCAGTTCTACATGAATTTATTGGATATAGTATCTTCCAAGTTTAAACCTGAACAAAATAAAGTATTTGTCTCAAAGGAAGGTTCCAGGAGACTAACCATATTAGTCTGCTGTAGCAGAGATTATAAACAGCCTTACTACACCAAGAGAGAGGCTCTTCTATTGCATCATCACAGTATTTTATAAGCTGTTGGGAGCAAGTGTTTCTTCATCATGCCTCTGATGAAGTAATACTCTCGCTTGCGAAAACTCCTGCTGCAATCTATTAGTTTTTTTAAAATGCTTATTCACGTATCATTTCCAGAAGCAAACAAAGCACAATACAAACATGAGATGTTTTAAGGTGTTGTTAGATTTAAAAGCAAGCAATGGGTGCCAATCTCTCAGCACAAGAGACTTGCACTTGTGCAACAGGACTTTTTTGCTCTCCTGCCTCTCGCACTTGGCACCACACTCCCCCAATATTTATTTGAGGATTGAGAGACCTTCCAGAACACATGGGAATGCAGAGCCATGGGGAAGCAGACATGCTGTCATGTGAGTGATGTTAGATGTGACCCAATGGATATTTTGTTTTGTCTTCCCCAAATTCCCTGCCCTAACATTAACTGCAATGCTCACCTGTCCAAATTCCACATGGCTGTCAAGCATGTGCCCTCTGAAAACTGAATCTCAGTACTCTTTGCAACTTTGCATCACACTGGGGCTGGCATTCACTCACGTTTATGCAGAGTTTGAAATTAATACACCTAATTTAGTCATGGTTTAGTTTCAATGAGTCAACTCTGAATGAAAAAATATTTGAGTATCACCCCATATCTTTAAGGCTACTGTGCTGGACAACGTTCCTTGCTTTTTCACATTTAATCTGCCCTAATCTTTATGGGTTGTGTCTAACAATGCTCAAGAAAAAAATTTGCTCACACAATGGGACTTCTCCTTCCTCTCCCCACATGCACATCCTAAATCTGCTCCACAGGGTCCCCTAACCCACTGAATCAGATTTTGAGGGTGTGCAATGGGCTGAAGGAAGGAAAGCAAGGGGAAGTTCTGTTGCACACATGGAAGTCTGTTTCATGAATGGCTATAACCCTATACCTTTAATGAACTCTAGGGTTTTTGCCCATGGATTTCTATACTGTCAGTGTCCTAAAATCACACACTTGCAAAAATACACTTAAGTAACTTATTTGTGGTTAAAACTGGACATCAAACCTGCTCTACTGTTCTATCTCTTACCATCTCAGTAATACATAAATGCATTCTCCTTTCATTATTAGTGGGCTATACATCGGACATTTTTGGTTATGGCTTAGGATTTGTTTAAAAAACGAAAGAAGACATGCCTAATCAGTACATAGCCATGTGATCTTACTGAAACTTAACCTTGCTGGGTTTGAGGTTGCTTTAAAAAACAAAAGTGGAAGAAAGCCCTTTGATTATATGGATTGGCAAAAGGACAGGGATAGAAAAGGTCTAGAAGACAGGGTATGTCCATAATTTTCTTTTCCGAAGTCAGGAGGGAGGAAGAGTTAGTAAAAAGTTAGTGCCTCCATAAAACTCTTTGGCTAACATTTTTTTTGCTGAAGAAATCCTAAGCAGGGTGAAAAGGGAGAAGGGTGCAGAATTAGATAGAAGTGGGTGTGCTGTATTTGCTAGTAAAATTAGTTTCTTCACATGCACACCATCCTATATCAACTGTCATCATACACTGAAACATACTGGTTGAGATATTCTCTCTCTTACTCTTTCACTTTCCTCTAGTGATTCCCCCCCCCCTTCTGCCATACTCACCAAACAGAAAGTTGGCCAGCGGGGTGGGGATGGGGCACTTTCACTTTACATTTACCTATGTATATATCTGCACCATGTTTCCCGTAGTAGAAATCGCAGCCAGTTTTCTGACCAAATGGAAAAGTTTTGTTCTGGTAGTTTTCCTCCACAATCTAAAACACACTATTGACTTCTTAGGAAACATTAAACAAATAAAATAAAAAAGGGATCATATGCTTCAAAATAGGTTTTTTAACTTTAAAACTAATTTAATCTCAATTCTGTGTATGGTAAGAACTCCAGTGAGTGTGCTATCTTCTGTTCAGGTATATTTAAGTGTGGAAAGTACTAGGAACTGGAAACTGTCAGCAGCTTTATACAAATGCTCTGGCTTTCACCTGTATCCACACAATCTCTTTTTCTGCCACCACCAAAATCATTGCCAATGAATTCCAGGGGTGTTTTTTTTGGGGGGGAGGGGATCAAATTAAATTCAGAACAAAGTGTGAAAATTTAACTTTATTCAAGTTTATGACCTCTTCTTTCGTTGCTCAGATCTTGTTGGGGTCACTCTCCGATTCTCTGTTGTCTCCCTCTCAGCCATTGTTCCCAGAAGCAGTAGAACCAATTCTGGACTGAAACCCATTAGGAGAGTAGGTGTAAGCTGCATGGCTGGAAGTAGAGGCTGTGTGTGCCTATATAAACGTGTGGTAACAGAATGTGGAGCAACTTGCTTGCTTATTTTTTTCAGTAATGTTTTACTTCGCTTCAAGTGTGAGTGTTATATTTATTTATCTTATAGTATTTCATCTGAAGCAGGTACAGTGGTGGTGGGAGAAATTTCATTCCCCAAACAGCTATATATTTTTTGCCACTAATAGTCACTGTGCTACCCTCTCCAAAATCCAGAATACATGAAGGCTCCTTTTAGGGGAAGAACAGGATATATATTTAATAAACAAACAAACTTATCTTAAAAACTCAAAGAGACCTCTGACTGTTTTCTCATTCTGATTATGCTTATGTTGAAAGGGCAACATACAACCTCTGAGATAATTGTTCAAATGTTGTCAAACTTGCTTATTTCAGGGAAACATTTGTGCATCTACAAAAGCAAACCTATCCAATAAGCTTCAGCAAGCAATCTCATCTACTGTTGCCATTACCAGTTTGCAAAGAGAGGCACAAAGCACTACAGCTGTTAACACCCACAAATATATGCTCTAATGCTCTCATGATATATCGAAAATTCCAGTGTACCAGTGAAATAAGAAAGCAGAATTAGGAGACCCAGAATGTTAACAATCAGTTATAAGGGGATGGGTTTCTTGGTTTAATGCATATTAATCAATAAATGAACTGCACAGAAGTCTCAACTAGAAGGAGAAATCACTCTGGAAGTTTCTTACTCCATCAACTGTACTTCTTTACCTCCAACAACATCATATCTCTGATGCCTGCCACAGATTATTGCTCTTTATCAAGTTATTTTAATAATCTCAATTACTTGTACCAGATTTTCCTTTTGTCTCAGAATCTACAAACTGCTAATCAATTCCCTCCAGATAACTGTTTTGCTATGTTCTGCTTCAAACAAGTTTCCTAAAGGAGTGAAAAAGCTTGATAAGCTACTTTTGTATTTCCACCCAGAGAGAAAGAACTTACACGACTGTTACATATATGCTACGCTAATTTCATTAGCACAGCGTATTAGCAATTAGCAACAGGATATTAAAACTACACAATTTCCGTATTGTTTACTATAAGCTTGATCCAGTACTTTCACATTGGCACTCACCTACGCTAGACTGCTACATGAAATAGGAGGCCTGTGCATACCTTTCATATCTTTAGTGACTAAAACACCTGCTTTTGCAGCTCATCTGCGATTGGGGTTTTTCTTGAGTGCAGTGATACCCATAAAATACTGAGATTGGCCTGTGGACTGAAGGTTCCTCACCTCTGCCTTAAGTCTATTCTTCTGCTGTGCTCCTATTCAGTCAAGGAACATGAGCTGCAAGTTTGCATTCTGTGATTAAGCAGAAGGGATGGATAGGGGATACAGAGGTCTCTGAGTGATATCTTAACATAGCTATGTAAGAAGAAGTGCAACTTATATTGTTCTTGTGATGTCATTCTTGAGAAAGCAATAGAACAATTCCTTCCTGTGCTATAAGGTTTAGAAAGGCCTACAGTCATCCAAAACCATACTGTACAATACAAGCCTCTAAGTTTAACACATCACTGACTTTAGACTCTCTTTTCAAAAGCTACAGAGAATAAATGTCAGGAACATCATTAGTTGCATAAGGAAACTTTACAAAATCAAGCTCTTTGCACAACAAAGACAGCTCTCCCCTCCATGTTCTTCAGCTTATTCCCTTTCCTGACCCCCAACTAAACACAATCTACACTAGAGGCTAACTTGAAAAATATTTGTAATCTATTTGGAAGTTTAAGTTGTACTGACATCACATAGCTGGGGACCCGTCTTGGTCAAGTACCTAATTTCTCATTGTTTGCCCCATAGTTTGCACAGTAAGAGCAATAATACTAGTGTATCTTACAAGTGCACCAAGGTTTAGCAATACACAAAGCACTTCAAACACTGGAAGTTGCTGAGTGTTAGGGTGTTTCAGAAGGAGTCTGAAGGCGACAGAAGTTTGTAAAAGCCACAGTCAACTTAAAAGTCAGACAGCAGACAACAGTGTTATGATCACATGAATGGCTGTATTCATTGCCTATATTGCAACAGACTAAGCTAGCCTACGCCAACCAAGTCCCTTTCAACTGTTTTGGCTTACAGACTATGCCGGCTTGGACTAATGGCAGCTGTAATCCAATACAGTTGTAGAGTACAAAGTTGGGGAAGGCTTGACTGTTTGACTATGGTCAAAATCTCAGAGGTCCATGTGGCCTTGTGGACTTAAAAGATACATTTAAAGATTGGTGCTGTGCATTTCTCTGCCACCCATGAAAAAGCCACGTGACCATCACCCATTTATAAAAACAGGCAACCTTGCTGTTTTTTCAAGTCATAACAACAGAATTCAGAAAATAGTATCTTTTCTTATAATTGTGTCTTTTCCTATTAATGTGTTATAATGAAAAGCCATACACTGCAATCTATTATTATATTCTGAAAATCTAAATGTATGTTCTCAATTTTTAATGACTGATACTTTCTATCACAACATTTTTCATTACATGTAATAAGGTAGAAAAGTGAACTATGGAACTGTGGCCTACTAAACACTGCACGCAGGAAATCATGTGACTAGGGCATCCACAGATACAGAGGAAAAATGCTGTTGAAATTAGGAAATTTGTGAAAATCCTGACTCACAAATTCACTCCTTTGTGCAGAGGCAGGTAGCACAATCCTGAGACCCACTTAAATGCCCTATGGCCTATTGTAAGTAGAATATTTCTGGGACAGCTACCATACAATTCAACACATTGTATGGAATGAGCATTTTGTTGTAGGAATTACTCTAATACTGGAATACTGTCTCCACTGAACAAATCCACTCATGAACATGTTAGTGTTATGTAACCAATTGTGAAAATGAGGTTTCATTATTTGTGTTACAGTCTAGACACTTTGTTTTTATATAGTTCTACCTATTGTAGTAACAGGACAACAGTCATTTCTCCCATCAATGACCCAGCAAGTGTCATCAAGTGGTAGGCAAGGCTCAAGGCCTCCTTCCCATTAGCACTGTGGCTTTCATGTGGCCTGGTCAGGCAATTTTTTTCCAGGTCAAATAGACAAGGAAATAGTATACTATTTATCAATACAAGCATATTTTCTGGCCTGCAAAAATGGTGTGAAACACCATGGTAAGTGACGGGGAAAGGAGAGCTGGTATGTGCACTTAAGGAGAGAGGAGTGGGAGCAAAGTTAAGAGAGAGTACTATATGGCTGTGATCCAATTCCGTCTGGGGCATTTTGGCAGCAATGTCCATAGGCACAGCCCCATACAAAAACTCCTCTTCCTATAGCCAGCCCTGATTTCTCATCATTCTGTAGACTGCACTGAAAGCCTCAGCAGTGACAAGCACACTATGTAGTAGCATGTCTGAAAGTGCTCTTCAATCATTTATTGTGCCTATAATTCAACTAAAAAACTGTCACTGAGGTTTCTTTCTGGTGCTGCTTTTCTGAGTTACTTCTACATCAGCCCTATTTTTTAAAAAAGAGTTTTCACCTGAAGAGTGACAACACTTGGGGTTCTAACTTAACAACTAACACAAACACAGAATGAATTGTTGGTAAAGTTACTTCTTTAATTATCTTCTCTTTATTTCTGCATGGGATGGAGGTGTAAATTGCAAAACTGGCATTGCTTTGTGAATTAAAAATATTTACTTAAAAGAACTGCTAGCAAATGCAAACCTTATGTTCAAATGAAATAGAAACAAACTTGGTTCGGTTGTGTAGGAAACAAAAATGTTAAACCTACTTAATTTGTTCTACTTGCTGATTATTTTTCTTCTTCCTTGGAGGTTTCTTCTTCTTGGGTTTATTGGCATTTTGATTGTTCGGTTTGCTGTTCACACCAAAATGTCCTGCAGATATATCACTTTGCAGCAAGTTTACCAACAAAGGGCTTGTTATTGTGACATCCTTGTTGACAGGAAAACCTGGGTTTTGTCCACAGGAAATCTGATTCCCATTTTGAGCTCCACTAAAAGGAGTACTAAAAGGCATCCCATGCCCAGCAAAATGGCTCCCTGGTGTATTGTTGTTTCCCTGCATCCCTTGCAAGTGGGGAGGCACCATGTTTCCTTGTTGCATAGAAACATCAGGTAGCATTTGTGTCAAGTTCACATCACTGTTTGTAGTAGTGGTGGTATCACCCAGTTGCTGAGACATGTGAGGGTTAGTTCCTGTGGGTCTCAGAACTTGTCCTTGAATCCCCATAACCTGAGAAGGATTGCTGTTCACAGGGCCTTGCTGGGCCATCATCTGTCCTGTGAATTGCACCATGTTTCCCTGCATATTGGGGGTTGGTCCTCTCATTATTTGAGCTGGCCCCGTCATAACATTGGACTGGCTTTGAGCACCGAATGGCTGCTTATTTCCTTGCATCTGATTGGTCATCATCTGCTCCATCATTGAATTTTGCTGCAGCAACACCTGGCCTTGCGGTCCCATCATCTGATTATGTGCAGCCATCATCTGTTGGCCTTGCTGGGGAATCATCTGCTTGGGTGGTGTCATCCTTTGTTGTGATGGACCAAGATTTTGGTTCTGAGATGCGACCATCATCTGGCCCTGTGGCATGAGCTGAGCTCGAGAAAGTATCATCTGGTTTTGAGGATTTAGAGATCCCTGAGGCTGAATGTTCACCATCTGTCCTTGGGAGGACACTATTTGTTGGTGCATCCCCATTAGCTGAGATTGTGGTCCTTGTGGAGGCTGTCCCTGCATGTTGCCCATATTAACTTGTGGAACTCCACTGGTACCTGTCTGCTGGTTGCTCATATTTCCATGAAGACCCATTAAGTTGGTCTGCATCATATTTGATGGGCCATGTTGAACTTGCATCTGATTCTGAGGAGGACCATTTCCTTGACCACCTTAAAAATTTTAATAGTTCAGGTTAGACAATTGTAAACTGAATTGGTATAAGAGCATGTAAATAAACTAGTCCAGAAAATTTTCTCTGTGTTTAACATTTACAATACTGTACTATCAAAATTCCAATATTTGAAACATGGTCTGAAAGTATTTGTGAATGTTGGAAATCCTAAGAATTATTCTCTAACAGCATTTCTGCCAATCATACATGATCAGAACATGCAAAAGAAAGAGGTAACAGATCAGTGGCGGACTAGGACAGGGGGGCAAAGCAAATAGAAGTTAACAGCATAATATATTATTCAACAGAGTCATATTTAGAATCTTTTACTGAAAGGCAAATAGGGTTTCTTAATGTTTCTATGGCATTGTCTATGAACAAAAATCTTTTTTACAAAAGGGTGAAAGGTTCTAATTGGTCTTCCCAGTGTTTCTCTCTCTAAACCCAAGGCCTCTATTGCACCTACTTTACCTAAGACAGCTGTTTACTGTCTCCACAACAGCAAATAGAAGAAGGTAATTTTTCAAAATGGCACTAAATTCATTGCACTATCCTTTCAGATAAACTTAACTTTTGATGTTGACAGTTCTGTGTCATTTAACACAGCAGTCACGTTTCTACACATACAAAAATTACTACTATTGAAAATACAACATCATTTGCCAAGTAATGTGGAATGTATCTAATGATGGCTTTGTACTTCCCCACTACCACGCCCAAAAAATTTCCCTTGAAGGTTAGGGGCCACTCAAGATTGGATATGGCATAAAGTGCTATAATTAGTATGGAGGATTGGCAAAAACTGAGTGTGTCACCTTGTACTAGGGGAAGCAGTTCAGCTACTCCTAAACCACCGCTGGATACAACACTGTATTGTCATTTAGAGTGAGCTTCCATAAATGAGAAAAGCAGACCAATAATCTATTAAAATTCAGCTACCAGACCTGTGTGCTGCACGCTCTGACTTGTTTGCAATTGGGGTGTTCCACTATTTGCAGGTGTCCCTGGTGCTGTAGAAGGCACCTGACTTTGCATGAAGTTCTGATTTGCCTGTCCTGCAGGAAAGCCAGGTGGGAGACGCTTGGGCATTCCTGGACAGAAAAATAACTTTGTTTATTAATTGCATTGTATATTAACATTGATTAATATATTCTTATCATGATACAGTTAAGAGGATAATAAAGCAGGAAAAATGGGGGGGGGCTATGTTCCACCCTCCAGCCCCAGCAGCCTTAATAAGTGAGCAGCAGCCAGAAGAAATGGAGTGGGGTGGTCTTGTCTTTTGACTCTATGTATGCAAAGGTTTTTTTGGATAAGGGTGTTAATAGTTACTACTATTACAGTGGAACCTTGACTTGCGGACGTAATCCGTCCCGGAGGCCCACCCACAACTTGAAGCGTTTGTATCCAGAAGCGTGCAATTTAGCGCTTCTGCACATGCATGAGCGGTGAAACTTGGAAGTAACCATTCCGGTACTTCCGGGTTGCCACAGGACGCAACTTGAAAAGACATAACCTGAAGCGGACGCAACATGAGGTATGACTCTATTAGCTTTAGAGATTCTATGGAATATTATTTAGTCTGTTAGTAAACTTTGTGCTAATTTAATTTAATTTGATAAATTTTAATAAATTAACTGCTGAAACACAATAGGAATATTGTAATTTTAGTTATATATTGTAATTATTGTATTATTCCATTCCGACTGATTTTCGGCAAACCACTCTAAGCACAAATCTGTGAAAATTGTGATGTATAAATAAACTGACTATGGACTCAATGACTATGTCAAGTCATGAGAGGCTTGTTTGCCCAACCTAGAAAAAAAGAGATTAGAAATGATAATAATGTTTTTCACTATCAGAGAAAGAATAACCATGTTTGAACAATCATATCACTGCTTAATAACAAGCTTTTTAACTACACATGCACCCTTAGGCATGAGCAAGAAAATAAACCAGGAAGACTTCAAAAGACTATTTTTCCATTTTGTCCAAATAGGGAAATTATGGTTAACAACTTTAGAACAAGCTAGGATATTGTGTCAAAATTAGGCCCAGGGCTAAATATCCTGGCTTGTTCATTTGAAACAGAAAACTAGTTAACAAAAAACTTCCTGGTTTGTTTGCTCTCAGTATGAAGGGAGGAGTAAAGCGGCTGCATACACAGCCAAAACACTACATATCTAACCCAGAAATGATAATCAAACTCTTCTACTGGGTAATTGTTTATTACTAATTATTAATTGAGGATACATGAGCAATAGATTTACATTACAAGAGATTTAAAATCAAACTGTCAGGGAAAGTTCCCATTTATAAAATTATTTCAGCAACTGTACAATTGGCTGAAGAATGTTGTGGTATCTCCCCCCTTGGAAGATTTCAAGCAAAACATGGCCTGTTAGGAAAGCAATAGAGAATTACAGCATTTTGTCTCAAAGCACTGGTTTGGGCAAGGAGATATTTCTTCCAACTCTTATGCTTTTTTAGTAATAGCAAGGCAACATACAAAACATATAAACATGTGAAACCTGTCCAGGAAAAACAATGACAAATATTATTCAGCAGTTCAATTCTTTAATATATCAACAGGAAATTCACGTGGTGTTGCATATTAATTCAGTGTTCATAGGTAACTTATTAATTTGCTATAAAGTCTAGGAACAAATATTTTGCAATAAAATGATTACTTACCTCCTAGCCCGGGATGTAAGCCCTGTGGACCCTGGTTTTGCTGTTGCATTACCATGAAGTTTGGAGGTACATTCCCCTGCTGTACCATAGGATTACGGCTAGGAGAATTAATAGGCTGTTGGAACCCCTGGGGGAGAGTATTATTCTGGGGAGGCCTTGGTCCCATCTGCTGCTGTGCTTGGTTAACTGTTGGGGAAGATGCAGGAGATCCTTGCTGAAAAGAGGAGGGAGAGGAGGCAGGAGATTTGTTGGTCAGGTGGGGTTGTTGTAGTGGTGTAGGGACCCGTGAAGGCCCTCCCTGAAGATTCTTCATCTGAGGAGCAGTAAATTGGCCAGAGTTGTTCATCTGAGGAAAGTTTGTGTGTGCCTGAGAAGCTTGTTGGCTTCCAAAAGGGTATGGGGGTGGAGGATGGGAGGGTGTTTGTACCGTTGCCAAAGATGGTCTGACTTGGAGTTGCTGCTGCATTTGTCCAGGCAAAGGGCCCTTTTTCCAGCCCTGGTTAACTGTCAATGTGCCCATTGTGCCTTGTGACGGAGGAGGCTGAACTATTCCAGAAGGCACCTGGTTCCAACCAGGAGAAACTGGAACCTGAGTTGGGGTTGTGAACGAAGGACGAATACCCTGTTGTGGTTGCTGGTGCTGTTGAGGAGGGCGTGGCTGCAATTGTTGCTGTGGTTGCATCTGCTGAAAGTTGGCTGGGTTTATTTGCCTATTAACAGAAACTGGCTGTACTGAATGGAGCTGAGGCACTACAGATCCAGATGGATGATTTTGCTGTTGGATAGCTAGCCCTGACAAAAGTGGATCCACTGAATCTATAAAAAGAAATGGAGAAGAAAAAGAAATATCATCTGTAGTTAGTCTAGTAATATTCAGAGAAACAAGCATTCTCTTTGTGTCCCAAGCAAGCAAGCAAGCGCGCACGCACGCACACAGCTCAGGATATTTCTCAATAATTTTTTACCACACTTCACATATTTTTGTGAAAATTGTTTTGTGAGAGATGGGGACTAGGCAACAACATGAAATCCACAATAATATTTGAATATTTAAAAAATGCAGCTCATTCCATGCAAAGAACTAGTTAAGAGCTTGGGTAAATATTTTAGAATGCGTTTCCAGATTAATAAGCAGAAGCCAGGGGAAATAAAACACAAATTCACATTTCTCCAGATATATTCATCCAAGTAATATCTAAGCCGATTACCTGACTGAGATGTTGGACAAGGTGTTCTAGGTTGCAACTCTGTGTTAGCTGCACTCGTCATCATAGATGATGATACATTCCCACTTTGCTGCATCATCACAGTTGCAGGATTGTTTATTCTTATTAACCCTAGAAACATAACCATATTTTTCATTGTGCAAAGATGCAAATTGTCAAATTGCAAAGTACAGCATTGCACAGAATGAGAAAAGCTTCAAATCCTGCACTGAAATTTTGAAGTTGTTTTTGTGTGGTATATTTATTTATTCAATTTTTGAAAATATATACAAGAAAGCAGAAATTCTAACAAAACTGTTGTCTCTGTGGCAAAAGCCACTCCAGTGTGGATCGATAAAGGAGAATGAATTGCAAAGGAAACCATAATTGTAGATATCTAGTGTGTTGTAGGGGCCAGAGGCTTGGAACAGAAGCTGGGAGACCAGTGTTCTAATCCCTAGGCTGCCATGTAGCTTGATAGGTAACCCTGGGCCAATCACTTTCTCAAAGGGTTGTTGGGAGAATAATATGGGGGTGGGGGAACAATGTATGCCACACTGAACTCCTTGGAAGGGTGCGATAGAAATGTAATGATAAAAAAAAAAATATGAATGCTAGATCATACAAATAGGAACACATTACAAATAAGAGTATCAGATACATATGTTAAGATATGTATGGCCTTCATTGTTCTCTAAAAAGGGAGCATGGCCAACCTTGTTCCAGAACACCAATAAGCAATTTAAGAACCAAACCAAAAACATCAACAAATCCACAAGTACTGATCCTTTGTCTTCTTCCATTTCTCTTCATGGCTTGTTAAGTTAGTATCATAAAAAAATTCTCCTAACAAGTGTTTCTTTGTCTATATTATCTGCTTTGTCTTCCTGACTCTACTTTTAATTTTTCCATTGAATTTTACATATTATTTAGCTTTCTTTTTGTGTTTGTCATTATCACTATTATCAGCGGCAAAACAAAACCAATTTGTTTACTTTTTTAACTGAGTCCAATGGGTGAAATCCGACTTTGTGCAAACAGATTTCTTCTCAAGCAATGGGACATTCTCTTTCCCTATTTCAAAACATTCCTGTTTTTAAATAAAAATCAGGACCCTCAAGAAAGACACTTACACAGGCTTCTAAACACTGATTACAAAACTTCCTCGTTAGAAGTTAAATTATGTATTATCTCTGAATGGTTTTAAGAACAGCATCTATCCTTGAAGGGAACTTTGGAAAATCTGCCATGTAGGATCTTAGAGCAGGCTTCCTCAACCTTGGCCCTCCAAATGTTTTTGGCCTACAACTCTCATGATCTCTAACTAGCAGGACCAGTGGTCAGGGATGATGGGGATTGTAGTCTCAAAACATCTGGAGGGCCAAGGTTGAGGAAGCCTGTCTTAGAGGATAAAACATTAAAACAGGCTTAAAAAAAACCATTCTTCTATACTTAGTTATAGTAAGAAAATTTGCACATGGCAGTAAATTGTTAGCAGTCTATAAATGTTCCAAAAAAAACCAAAAAAAAAACCCAAACATGCCACAAACATGAAAAATCAAGAAGTGAAAAGTCTTTGGAGTTGTATGAAAGAACAGTTGCATATTTCACAAAGTAACGTATCACTAACTTTTACAAAGCTGAACTTGCCTTGGTTTCCTGGTATGGGAAAGCCTGTCTCCATTCGTACTGAGTTGTTTTGTCCAATAGGCCCATTAATCCTCACATCTTGGCCTCGGTTTTGAGCCAATGACAAATTGATGGCACCTTCACCTGAAAGCAATCATTAACATTCAAGTCAGAGCATAAATATTGCTTCAATATGGCAGGGCAGGAAACTACAAAGTAGCATTTAAAAAGGGCTGTTGAAAAGTGGTATATTGGATTCAGATCAACAAGGTGCATTTAAAACAAACAAATAAGAGGGAATAGAGCTTGCACACTTCTTGGCTTTCCTTAAAAAGTCACTTGAAAATTTAATATTGAGAGTTCATCTGCCACCCTCGGCTCCTTTGGGAAGAAGTGTTGGATAAAAATTAAATAAATTAAAAACAAACAAATAAGGTTGTTTATTCTAGTTGCTCCAATCCAGCAATTGTTTGTGGGTGTAGATGCTATGATATGTATGTTGAGTTTTCCTATTCATTTTAAATGGAGAAAACAATCCATGCATGTATTTCTTCTGTGCAAGGATTTTCTTTCCTTGCAGCCAAGAATGAGACAGCTAGAAAGCAGAAATATTCTTATATTACCAAAGCAAAGCAGCTGTTATTCAAGTACAGCTTCATCTTATCATTCTTATCAATGAAGCAGTGGGAAAATATGCCAAATGTAAGCAATAATAATTTGGATCTGCCAGCAGACTGGCATTTTCAAGCGCATGTGAAAATGAGAGGCAGTATGTAAAAAGTCATAGGCTGCCATCATTTAATACCATTTATCAGACGAATTCTGGTTCTTATATAGCAGGCTTTACCCACTCTCTCTAGCAACCACAGATGACATGGAGCAGGGGCACGGAAGCTGGCTATTTGATGGCCAGAATTCACGAGGCATGTGCTGCTAAAGGAAACAGCTGGGAGAAGGGTACACACATGAAGGGTACACATACAAAAGTGTAACATGTAGTCTATCCCTGAGGCAGAATATCAGGATGCCAGTGAGGTATACTATTATTTAGTACTCAAAAAGCTAATGGAAATATTTATTTTTCAAACACTGTGTTTCTTAAGTATACTATACAGTTCAGGAACAACTGCAAAAGTATTTTCAGCTACCTTCAATTTGAACTGAGAGGATTCCCAAGTCTCTAAGTTGTTGGTTGTTGTTCTGAGCCAGCAATCGTAGTCGCTCAGCTGCTTCACGAGGAATATTGAAAGTAACACGTACACTGTTCCAGGGTTCCACCTTCTTCAGTTTTAACTTTTCAGATTCTTGTTAAAAGGAGAAAAAAGAAGACAAACTTGTTGAACTACTACAGAGAATGTACATGGTTACTTAAGTACAATAACTGATATCAATATGTAATAGTAACTCTGAGCTACTTCACACAAGACATTTCAACTAGCAATTCAAATGTACACTGCACACTTCAGGAAGTAGAGTGGGATATATATATTTTCGCTAAAAATAACTAGTAAAAAGTCTGGAATATTCTAGAGCAATTTAACTTTAAATAAATGAATTTAACTTTAAATAAATCTAATATTTAAAAGTTAATTAAGCAATCTTTGACTAAAAAAATACAAAAGAGTGAAATACCCAGGTGTAAAAGGCCAGGAACATTGTTCAAAATGATGTCCAATTTCTGTTTGAAGTCATCATCATCAAGATTGCCTTTAAAAGCTACAAAGATTGTGGAATCTTCATAAGGGCTCTCATGTTTAATGTCATCTTCCTCTAGTTCAGAGTCAAGATCCACATCCAGGTCTTCCATGGTTGAAGAATACGATGAAGTGTGGTTATCTTTTAATTTAGGCATATCACCCCAAACCATGGCTATGTAATTTGCTGCAGTGGAAGCTAATCAGGTATTAAGACAAACCTATAAAAGAAAATAAGTTTTAAAATATATTATTTATATATTTAAAATATATTGTATATATATTCATGCACAGCTTATTGTTAATACTGTTTCTATTTTGTTCTTACCTTGTTTAGATCTCAAAAAGTATTATGTTCATAAGCTGCTTACATGCAAACTGAGGCTGAAATGAACCCCCCACCCCCTAAAATAATAATAATCAAAATCACCACCTCAAAACTCTCCCAAAGGAGTCTGTGAGAGAGTCCCAATGACTTTCTCAAAACCCATTTCATCACTCTGCCCCCCAAGGAATGGAAATTATTTAGCAATTTTTAATGGTGCTGGGAAAGCATACTGTGGGGGGAACTGACACAGGATTTGTCTTCTTATTTTTAATAATTCTAAAATTCTAAAAAAAAGCCCCATCAGAATGAAACCACAAGGGTTCTTTTAGCAAAGTCACTCCCCATTTTTCTTTTAGAAAATAATTATGGAATGCATGATAAAGTGATCTATTTATCCAGTTAAGAGTGTAGTTTTGGTCTAGTACCTGGAAGACCAGGGTTCAATCACCACTCAGTCATAAAGTTCACTGGGTGATCTTGGGCCACTCACTGCCTCTCAGCCTACCCTACGTCACAGGGCTGTTGTGGGGATTAAAAGAGCAAGGAGAGAATCATGTATGCTACCTTGAGCTCCTTGGAGATTAAGGTAAAATGAAAATGCAATAACTAACAAATGAACTGAATAAATAAATAAATAAATAAATAAATAAAGTGTATTTGGCATTTATATACTGCTTGATTGTAAAAACAAAAACAAACAACTCCTCTAAGTGGTTTACAAAAATATGAAGTAAAACATTAAAAAATATCCATTAAAAACAGTTACAGCTGAGTATATAAAATCTTTCAACGGTTTAATTAAAATCAACACTTCCTAAAAAAAAAAAGATAAAACACACATAACTTCTACATGTAAGGATAGGCTTGCCTAAACAGAAATGTTTTAAATAGGCACCAAAAAGAGTACAGCAAAGGTGCTTGCCTAATGTCAATAGGCAGGGAGTTCCACAGCTCTGACACAGCTTTAGCTAGTAGTCACTGGCACATCGTCTGGAGCTCCTACAGCTGCTGTGAATCACTGCTCTCCAGTAATGGGGCGCAATTGCTGAGAAACTTCTACCTTTACCACAATAAAAACAACTACTATACAGCTATACAATACTGAGCAACTACTGTACAATTATTATACAATAATACAACTATAAGGGAAAGCAGTGACATGAGCATCTACTGGATGGTACCCACGACATCGCTGACATACATACCAAAGCTTTTCTACTTTCTTCAGACGCTGTGCATTTACTAATATAGTACTAAAGTAACAGGTTTTCCTCCCCAGAGAAGGCACCCTATCTAGAAAGGCCTAAGCAGATATAAAGTAAATCCAAAAAAACTAATGTTTTCATTTATCACGTATTAATATATATTTCTAATAAAAAAATAGCTTACCTGGAGATCCTGTATCAGAAGCTGCATGACAATTTAAGCAGACCCAGAAAAATTGAGCCATAGGAGCATTCAGGTTGCTGGTCTGCTTTTGCAGACAGTGGGAGTCCAATCCTCTGAAAACTTCAGCTGTGACAAATCTGCAGATGTATCCAGTTAAAATTAATTAAGGGGTGAGGTTTTTTTTTTGCTCTGAACCAAATCAAGCATGGACCTCATTATATTAGTTCCTAAGTGTTTCACCAAAAGTCAACATAATCCTTCAAATATTTTTTATCAGTGATAAAAAGTAAAACCATCTTTTTAAAAAAAGGATATCCATTCATTGATTTAGTTGGATACAACCCTACATCTGGTAGGTAGAGTGTAAAATGCAAGGAGTGATTTTTAAAAAGTTCTTCATTTACACAGGAAAGTCTCCATTAAATTTGCATATATGGTAGAGGCATTTTTCCGTTTAGGGATTAACCACAGGGCTAACATACTTACATCTGTATTGTTTAATGTTAACTTAGTTATTAAGAAACATAGTAACAAATAATTTTAGAATGTTAAAAAATATAATAAATAAATGTTTGTTTGTTTGATCTGCGCTGAGGAAGTCAGCATGTCATGTTTTATTTCCCTAATCCAGGGAGAGTTTGCAGAGGCAGAAGTTTACAGAAGGGGTTCTAGAAATCTATTAAATGCAATGCACTCTACGTGGGGCTACCTTTGAAGGTGACTCGGAAACTACAACTAATCCAGAATGCGGCAGCTAGACTGGTGACTGGGGGCGGCCGCTGAGACCATATAACACTGGTCTTGAAGGACCTACATTGGCTCCCAGTACGTTTCCGAGCACAATTCAAAGTGTTGGTGCTGACCTTTAAAGCCCTAAACGGCCTTGGTCCAGTATACCTGAAGGAGCGTCTCCACCCCCATCATTCTGCCCGGATGCTGAGGTCCAGCGCCGAGGGCCTTCTGGCGGTTCCCTCATTGCGAGAAGCAAAGCTACAGGGAACCAGGCAGAGGGCCTTTTCGGTAGTGGCGCCCGCCCTGTGGAACGCCCTTCCAGCAGATGTCAAAGCGATAAACAACTACCTGACATTCAGAAGACATCTTAAGGCAGCCCTGTTCAGGGAAGTTTTTAACGTGTGATATTTTACTGTATTTGTGGTTTTTATGGAAGCCGCCCAGAGTGGCTGGGGAGGCCCAGCCAGATGGGTGGGGTATAAATAATAAATTATTATTATTATATATTATTATAAATAAATAAATAAATAAAGCTAACCAAAATCTTTTTCTGATAATAAAGTAGTCTCTCCACCCATACCAAGATAAGACTTGGCAAATTATATATGAAATTGGTATACATGTATTTATGCAGCATAGGAATTTTAAATATCTGAGGCCACTCACACATACTGAACACACAACATTACAGTTGAGTTTTTCCTCCTTTATGCTGATGACTTTATAGCTCACTTAGAACATGAGCCTATGCATGACTATTCACAAGTTAGTTCCACTGAGTTCAATAGGGCATATATGCTTAATGTTTCTTTATTAAATATTATAATTATTTTATAAGGTTTTATCCTATACAAACATACATGGCAGTAGGTTATACTTAGCTAAATGAGACTTATTTGCAAATTAATATGACTGGATTAGGCTGCATATCTATTAAATTCTGAACATTTGACAATCTGCAACTGGCATTTGATAATTTCTGAAATACTAAAACCATTTCATTAGTGAATAATTTTATTTGTACATAGGTGATCTGCATTATTCTCTGCTATATCTGCATAGCAAAAGCTCACACTGCAGACATCAATGGCTTGCTAACATTCTAATACTTGTTTTTCTAAGAGGTTGGATACCTGTTAGTCATAACTCCACAATTATCTTAAGTTGAATGACGATCACGTTATCCACAAAATCATACAACATGGTGCTGATCTGGATTAGATTCTGGATGAGGTCCTGTTGCCCTTCCTAGATAACAATAAACATGAAAGATTTTTTTCAAGAAGAGGGGGAAAATAATTAACTCTCCACAAGCCTCTATTTCTTAAAAAAGAAAAAGAAAATACATTAGCAAACTATGTCAGCTGTTTGTTGTATGCTATCACACTCTAGCTACTGGTAAACAAACAAGAGAATTGTGGAAAGCATTGAATTTAGACCTGTGAAACTTTGATTTGAATCCATGGGGGGGGGGATTCACGCCTACTTGCACAATGGGGCTTTCCCCCTCTCCTCTCTGTCACATGCCCCCTAAACTTGGCTAGAGCAGGTGAGCCCCCAGAACAATGCACAGGGGAGAAGAAGGGGGATTGTTCCATCTGGCAATGCTTACACAGACAAGATGTTTGCAAGACCTAGGGTTGACATTTCCAGAATATTGTAGTGTCCAGGCGGAAATTGGCAGAGTTGTTTTTTTCTGATTTTTCCTCAGAAATAGCTCAACAACTTTGCCCTCCCAAAAAAGCTCAACAACTTTTTCGAATCCCACCCTATGTTCATGTGCTATCTACTCATTAAACTCCAATATATATAATTTGTTTAAAGAAAGTAAAACCACTTTAGTTTTAGAGTAGAGGAGCAAGATTTCCCCATCCATAATTTCCACGCTCCAAATTCTCTTCTAGTGGCTTTCCCTGTAAAGTTTCTAAAAAGTACTTGCCTAAAATACACCTGTCAGTTTGGCATATAGCTATAGGAATTTTCAAACGAACCCTCTCACACGTTCAAGAAGTAACAAGTGCATGACTGTAAGCCTTATCACAACTAATATGCTCACTGGCCATACCAACCAGCAGACCCTAGACTTTTTCCATACTAAAGAAAATGTCACTGAATTTGTGATGGGGTACTTCAACACCTCTTATAATAAAATTACCAACTCCAACAGCTAGACCAACAGGGTCACCAAAACTATGGAACATAAAGTAAGGCATAAAGAAAAGTACATATGATTAGCAGTACATTAAACCAAAAGATCTCTATTCCCTTTTTACTTACCAAGATGAACTTTCAGAGGCTCTTCATTCTATGTTGTTTAAAATGGCATTCATTAATCTCAACCTAACAAGCATTTTAGATGATCGTGTCTCAGCACACTTTGAATTTAACCCTAAGAAGAAAAACACACACATGTATAATGTTGCTTATGAAAGTAACTTGCACAGTCAGACTACTTGATCAATCTAACCCTCTGACAGGCAGCAGCTCTCCAAGTCCTGCTATCTGAGATGAAAGGGGCCGAATCTGGAATATTACGCATGCAATGCATCCTATGTATTGCTGAGCTATGGCATCTACCCTTTACAAGCTATTTGTCCAGAAACTGAGTAAAATGTCCCAATTACACGTGAAGTGTAATCTAATATGTTTGCCCTTTTTTGGATCCATATAAGGCCAGACGAACACACAAGCAGCTTGATATAATTTTATATAAGGTCATTTGTGTCATAAGCATATCAGACTATAATACTTCTGCCAACTACAAAAATAAAATAAAAGGGGTGCCCAAGTTTTCCCATAGGTGTACAGTTCAATCCAAATGCTCTGCAACAGATGTCTAACTACCCCTTATCCAAGAAACATTATTCTCCTCCCCTTATATTTATTACCAGGAAAGCCCAGTTCAGCTTACCAACTTTCCTTTATTAGAAAGGCCTGACAAACATACAGAATTTCTTGCATTCCGTGCCTTTGCATTAAAGTGGTGGTGTGGTCAGACAGGCATTGTGCCCAGCTCAAAACCACTACAGATGGACTTGGGCCACTGTCAGAACCATTGTGTCTGGTCCTATGAGATCCTAAGCTGAGATACATAGCACCTCATAGGTTCAGGCAACCTCCACCATTTATTTTGAAAGTGTCAATCTGCTAAGGGGGTCCAATATGATTTCATTTCAAAAGAACTCCAAGCTAACATAAACTGTCTCTCTCTCTCTCTCTCTCTCTCTCTCTCTCACACACACACACACACACACACAAACCTATTAGCGTACTTTGGACCTCTGTGACAGAGAATGACCTCCAACCATTCTTTTTTATTTTTATTTTAATAAATAAGCTTTTATTGTTAAAATAATTCATCATTAATACACATATATTACAAATATACAAGCACGCAAACATACGTTTCATACAATCCTTAAAAGTGATCGAACATGGTGGATGGTGATGGGAAAAGGAATTATTTGTGGGATTGAGTGTAAGTATGTTTGACCTCCAACCATTCTGTCTCTTTATGAATTCCCAACTATGCCCTAAGACTCTTTCTTCCATGATAGTAAAACAACCCAATATGTTCCATACATGTTAAGTTGGCAACTACAAACAGGAAACAAACAGAGCAGCTTTCTCCTACTATCACTCCCTAACTCTAACGGGCATTCAGAGACAGTATATATCTGGTCCTCCAGATATTGCTGAACTTCAACTCCCATCAGCCTTAGAAAACATGGCCAATTACCAGGGGTGGTGTGAGTTTCATTCAGCAACATATGGAGAGCCAAATGTTCCCCGCACCTGGCATGTAGCCATCAAGACATAAGGAACACAAATGATGTAACTCTAAGCAACATGCACAGAATTTCTAGACAGACTCCCTTCCAAATGCTTACCAGATCTAGATCTGCTTAGCTTCCACAAAACTGCTACAACATGCGCCTTCACATCATGGGCTGGGACCAACATAGAATGCTTTCATGCTTATAGTTAACTAGAACTGGCAGATCCTTAAAAACCTGTCTATATAGCTGTGTTACCTGCCAAAACAGGTAGATGTAGGTGAGAATACTGTCTTGAGGTTCAGCTAAAAGTGGCAATACAGTAATGTTATAACTGCATCTGATTTATTTATTTTTACTTTTCTGCTTTGTAAATATGAAAGATTGTTTCATTAGACTGATAAGACAGTAATGAGCATTGAAACTGTAACACTATTCTTGTCAGTGTTAGAAACTCAGATATACAGTCACAGGAAAAGAAAGCACACCCTCTTTGAATTCTGTGGTTTTACATATCAAGACATAATAATAATAATCTATTCCTCACCAGGTCTTAAAATTGGGCAAATGCAACCTCAAATGAACAACAGCACATGACATCACCCTCATAACTCAAAAATGGGAGATAAAAAAATAAAATGTTGGATTTAAACTTAGTTTTGATTGTTCAATAAGTGCACAAAATTTTAAGAAAAATGGATAACATGAAGTAAAAAAAAATCATTTAAAATTTGATCACTTGATATGGAATGACCCAGTAATATAACTGAGGCACCCAGCACTGTTAGTCAGGACTGCTTGATCACACTTCTCCAGTGGTGCAACAGTAAAACTGCTAGCACATTTTCAAAGCTCAGCAGGGTTAAGGATGATTTCAAATTGGATGTCGGATGGCGTGTACTAAATGACTCTCAGAGTCCCATCCAACTCTCTAATTCTATGATTCTATGTGTCTATGTATGGGGGTTGCATTTTAAATAATTAAAAAGGTTTAAAGTAATTTTTAATTAAACTAGTAGCCAAAATCTAATGCATGTTGACTTTAACATGTGAATCCCTGCTAAGTCTGAAAATAGTTGTTTTGCCCAATTTTTGGAGTACATTAATGTATATTAAGTGTTGATATTCAGTGATGTTTGTCTCAAGTTTTGACATGCACAATGTTTGTCTACCATTGTTGACACTTGCCAAATCTTAGACATCCATTGTAACACATGCCACAGTGCCAGACAAGTACATTAAATTTCAGGCTAATTTACTTAACTAGATCCTCATTTTAAGGATACAACAAATAAAAATATTCAGGATTTGTTCAGGAGGAGACTTTAAAAGTATGCAGGTCACAACCCATTTACAGTGCTGGATTAAACCCTGTGGAGGCCCCCAGGCACTCAAAATTGGGGGGTGGGGGCTCACAAATTATTTCCAATACGTTTTTGTAATTTTCTCTCAAGATCAAATCAATTTTATTTTGATCCATTGTCATGGGGCCCCTAAAAGGAAAGGCCCATAGTCTGGTGCCTACTCTGCCCATTTGGTAATCCTGCACTGACCACGTAGGGCACAGGTGAACAACCTGCATCATAGGGGAAATTTGACCAGACACATAGAAAGTAAGAAAAGGAAAGAAGGAAAACTTATAACAGGTAAGTGTGCAGAACATGAGAATGTGGGGGGTTGGGAACTGAACAGCCTTAGCTCTAAGGACCAGGACACTGAACCTGGTGTAGCAAAAGACAAGAAGTCAGTGCATGTAGCATTTCTTTCTAGAGACCACAAAGCAAGTCTGGAGCAAGAGTAGCAAGATGGAACTGCTGTAATATAAGATGTGGGTGAACAAATGTTTGGTCGAAGATGCAAGAAGTGAAAGGGACAGATCCTTTAGATATGCAAAGCAGCAACCAGGATTTGGCAAAGACAGGCAAAAGGTTAGGGAAAAGAGAAAAGATGATAAGTAATCCCACTTTGTGTCTAAAATTTATTTGTTCTAGGCTAACAGTGGGGAATTATTGCAAACTACTTCAGACAGGTTTTTCTACACAAATTAGTACACAAAAATCCAAGCACTCAACAGGTAGACTGAACCATGCTACACCAACTTTTTCTAAACATGCAAGTGTGGCCAATTACAGCTAGGCTATATATATGGAGATGTGGAATCACTCCCAAATGAGCAGTATAAACATTAATGCTTTCCCTATAGGAAAACTTTAATATCTGAAGTGGCCCTACCAGGACCACTTCAGATGTTGTATTAAAGAATGCAAACTAGATCTGTGAGTGACCTATACAGATAGCACATATTTTACAAAGAAATTTTTACTTCAGACTCAAGAGAGAAGGAAGAACAGAAGGTAGAAAGTTGGTTGCAAAAAGTGATTTGGAATTTCCAGCAGAACACAGAGACAACATAAGGAGCGGCATCAATCACTTTTAAAGCCATCTTTTCGCCAGTTGGCTTTTTGGTCTCCTATTAGTATTATTGTTAGTTTATTCCTTGACTAAATTTTACCTTGTTTTGGTATACGGTTTTGTCATACTGTAAACTGCCTCAGGTGAGCCCACCACAAAGGTGGGCTATACATTGAAGAAGGTCTTTTCTTTGATATATAAAGTCCTAAATGGTATGGATCCAACATACATGAAAGATCAACTTGTCCCAAACAGACCAAACTAAGAGGTGTTTTCACTGTGGGAGGCCTTGTTAGCATTTCTGTTGCCCTAGAAGATTCAAGACATGGCAGCACATTGAAGAGACTTCTTTCTAGTGGCCTCCAAGGTCTGGAACTCCCTCTCCCAATGTGCCCTGGCACCTATTTTGCACACATTTCAGCACCATGCCAGCACCTTTTTACCTGAACTTTTGGGGATGGCTGAATCTGGTTTCCCTTTTGTAACTGATACTGTACTTTTTTTTTTTACTGTGAATTGGTGTTTTATACTTTTTTGTTTAGATCTTATCATATTTTTTGTTGTAGCCCAACCCACAATGGGACACATTGTGTCCCACATTGTGAAGAATATGTAACATATATGTACAAATTACAGTGTAATAAATAATATTAGCAAAAAGATGTGTGCATCTGCCAAGCCAAAACAAGGATCCTAGCAGTTTTACTCTTTCTCAGTTCAGCTGCTTGCATAATATGTCATAGGATTCTCACCTTTTGAACTTTAAAAAACCTCTCATATACAGTAGCAGAGATACATAATAGCAACAAGGGCATTTAAAATAAATTTATTTGGTATATTTGTATACCACCCTTTAGGCAAACATCTCCCATGATGGTTTACAACAAAATGTTTACAATATAGAAGAGTTACACCCATCATAACAGAACCAGAAAGAAGTCAGGAGTTGGATTAATTCATAGAAATGAAAAAACATTCTGTTGCAAAAATTTAAAACTTAACATATTAGGAATGTATGAGTGGTGGAATATTTCACAACAAATAAATGGAAAACAGAGGCCAGGCTGAGAAGCACCAACAAAAAGTACTCTGATGCCCAGTCAATTAGTGTACTATGAAAAAAGTGCAATGAACAGTACAGCACCACACATGACTAAGGTAAAGGTAAAGGGACCCCTGACCATTAGGTCCAGTCATGACAGACTCTGGGGTTGCGGCGCTCATCTCGCTTTATTGACCGAGGGAGCCGGCATACAGTTTCCGAGTCATGTGGCCAGCATGACAAAGCCACTTCTGGCGAACCAGAGCAGCGCACGGAAACGCCGTTTACCTTCCCGCTGGAGTGGTACCTATTTATCTACTTGCACTTTGACATGCTTTCGAACTGCTAGGTTGGCAGGAGCAGGGACTGAGCAACAGGAGCTCACCCCGTTGCAGGGATTCGAACCACTGACCTTCTAATCAGTAAGTCCTAGGCTCTGTGGTTTAACCCACGGCACCACCCGCGTCCCAATACATGACTACTCAGAAGTAAATCCCATGGAATTCAGTGAGTCTTATACCATGTGTGTATAGATTGCAGCCCAATACTTTTTTCGATTAGATTATGAAAAACAAAAGCTTGCCCAGTAAGAAGATAACTGCTAGATAAAGTACCATATTTTATGTAGAAGACCAAAGGCTGCAATTCACAGTGATTTGTTATTCCAAAATATTTTGCTGTGTAATAAGTTACAATTCTTTTGTTTAAGAGCTAAGGCTACAACTCAGAAAGGTTATTGTGTTGGTACATTCATTTATCATTTGTAGCCACACAGTTGCATTTCTCCAAGTTCCTACCCACTCACAATTATTTACCAGTGAATGGTAATTTTCAACTATCTCCAGAAGCTTATAGATTCAACATATTTAAATACTGTATTAAATATTAAGCTCTACATTACATGCCTGTTACATTTTATCCAAGATTGTTTAACAAAAATTTGTATTTCCCATTCATTGTTTGGCTACAGTTGATGTTATTTTAACTTTGTACACTGCTATGAAATTTTATGTGAACAGTAGCATACGCACACACACACACACACACACACATATACTGAAGCACTGTAATACTAAAGTATATTCCAACAAAGTCAATCACTTGTCTGTAAATAATACTACTTTCCGCATCATATTCATTGGGAACTCCACTTAGAAAGGTTCTTTCAGTTCCCGGTCAAACCCATATATTTTGCATCTTAACCCACAAAATACATCCAAGTACTTATGTGGGGGCATTGTTTTGTATTGTTGTAACTATTTATTTGTGTTTTTATCTTGTATTTTTATCTTGTGAACCACCCTGAGATCTTCAGATTAAGGGCGGTATATAAATATAATAATAATAATAATGAGCCTCTGGATTAATTAGAGAGAATGAGGGACCCTTTCTACCCTCCATTTTCCTTTAAAAAAAAGAGTGCCAATAAAACAATTGCTCATATTAAACCAGTATTTTGCTCAAATTGTTATTAGGGGTTGTATTTGCCCCTATAAGGTAATTTCTTTAGACAAAGAGAAGGCATATCAAATTTAAATGCAAACAAAGTCCAAAGCTAGAATTCTCTTTCCTGTGTTAAATTTGGCAGCCATTTAAGTTACACTTTGCCACCTGCAAAACAACCCTCAAGAGTTAAGACTACAGGAACAAGGGCTGAACAAGCAGAATAATTAGCCAAACTTTAAACCACCAATGAATCTCAAACCCCCAACAGTCCCAAGCAATTTGCAGAAGTTACCACTATTCACAGGTTACATCATTTGTTATTTCAGTGACATTTCCAGCCAGTAGTGATATGACTGAATTTTCTTGCATTTTAAATGGTAATGTGAGCACCCTATGACCAAAACAAATGTTTACAATATGCATTGCTGATAGTTTTTGATCATTTGTTTTCAAACAAATATATAGACCCAAAGGAGTAAAATGTGCCATTCAAAATATTTTATAAAGAAGGAACCAATAAGCTTTAAAAACAAAAGTGCTCATGTTCTTAGGGTTCTGGGTCCCTTAACTTAGGCCACAGGGTCACCCTCAAACAATGTTCTTTCCCGGGGTTATTCTAGGATAACTTTGCTGTGTGAACAGCCTCTAAGACCAAGTTGTTAAGTGCTACCAATTCCCATGCTTAACAGTATACTCTCCAGTTTTTAAGATTTCAAAAGGTTTCTTGGGATAAGGACCTCTTACTTGGAGCATCAGGTAAGAGCCATAATCAAACAGGATACTAAAACTTCCATGGATACATCACATGTTATTTCATATCCAACTATCATATCAGCAGAGCTTATGTGACACCAGCAGGACCATTTGAGATTAGTAATTTTTGTCTACATATCATGTCAAAAAAGTATTGTGGTTCTAATGAGATTTGTTAACCCCAATGGGCAGCCCACCTACACACAATAAGCCCATCCATATCAACTTTTTCCATTATCCCAATCAATCCAAGTTATAAACCAGCAGCATGACTCTTTGTCTATCTGATAATTCTGAAATAGACGTGTGTGAATAATTTAGTGAAAAAGTCAGGCTACAGATAAATTATTCAGCCTGGGCTCCTCAGGGCTTGAAGAGAAGCATAAAGCCCGACTACACATACCACTCCGGGCATCTTGAAAAGAGGCGAATCCCACCTCAAAGAGCCTGGCACATTTGACAAGCGATTTAAAAACAAAACAATTGCTGGAAAAGTAGTTTGGAGGCCCAGTCCTTCTGGACTCAGGGGCGAACCCCTGCTGCCAACTCCACGTGTGCACTACCAATGACCAAGGCTTGAAACCAAACGAAGCAAGAGTTTTGTACCAAAAAAACAGGACTGCCTAAGAGATTGGGCGCTGCGAGGCAAAGGGGCGGCCATTGTGTTTTGTCCTGGAGGTCCCCCCACCTTGTGTCTAAACCTGGCCCATTCTCTCGTAGTCAAAGGGCATCTAGTAAGCCGGGGGGGGGGTTGCGGGTCGAGAGACCAGGCCCGAGTAGGAGGACCCCCCCCCAAACACACACACTTCCCTCCTCCCAAGTCCGGGCTCAGCCAATACGCTGCTTTTCCTGAAGCACATCCTCCCCCTGCTCCCAAAAACCTGGCACCGTCCGTCACTCGCCCTCGGTAGTGCCAGGCCTCCCCGGTCGCCACGCACGGCCCTTGGGAGGCCCCCGCCCCGCCCCCCCACCCTTTCGTCCCGGGCGACCCTGACCAGGCCCGTCCCTCTCAACGGCTGTCACCAGAGCCCCTCCCACAGCCGGGCCCTGCTCCCCTCGCGCCTGCTGGGGCTGCCGGGCAACTGCTCCTCCGCTCGGCCCTCCCGCCCCCCCCGCCGGGAACCCACCCGCTCGGCCCCGCCTCGCACGCACACACCGCACGGAATCCGGTCGCGCGCGTTCACCTGGTGGCGCTGCTGCTCCCTCTTAACGCGCCCGCTCCCGGCCCCCGAAAGAAAGCAGCGGCTTCGGGCAACAACGCCGCCACGCTCCTTCCGCCGCCGCCGCCGGTGGCCCTGGCGGGAAAGGAGAAGCGGGCGGGGTGGTGGGGGGCGGAGGCTGAGGGTGGGGAGAGGTCAGCGCGAGCCCGAACCTCCAGGACACCGACCCTCGAGCCCGGCCGCGGCTCCGCCTCCTCCTCTCCTCCTCAGGGAGGCCACGTGACGGCCCGGCTGCGCGCGCGTCGCCTTGGACCGGGAACGCGCCTCCGGTTTGGGCGGCGGCGGCGGCGGGAGCGCGCTGTTCTATTTTCTTTCCCTCTCTCCCCCCCGCTTTCTCCTGGGAGGGGGGGCGGTTGGCGCGCGCGGCCGTAGTATCTTCTCTCGAGCGGCTCGGTTAACTTTACAAATCTCAGCGGCTCGGAAAAACAGCACAGAAATGGACTTGTTTCTCCTCTCGCGCGCTCTTCAAGCCAACTTCCTTGCTTGCCGCCTCGGAGAGCTAGGAAGCCTCCGTGTAAAAAACGAGGTTCCTCAAAAGAAGTGTGCATGCACACGAAAGCTCATACCAAGAACTAACTTAGTTGGTCTTTAAGGTGCTACTGGAAGGAATTTTTTTTGTTTTGACTATGGCAGGCCAACACGGCTACCTATCTGTAGCCTCAAAAAAGATGCTGAGGAGAGCTCTATCCATCTCCGCTTGCCTCAGTTATGCTACAGTCCTGGTTCTCTTCAGGGGATCCATGGCTCAGTCCCCTCGGAGCTGTTGTCTTTCAGGATCCCCCACCCTTGGTTCAGCCAATCTAACCCACATTAATCCTAGAGGGAAACTTTGTCACAGGCTATTAAACCGCTTTCTCTGTCTGGCAGTAGTCCAATACATACTTACCTGTGTTGCTGTTGTGTATGCAGCACCATCATGCATACCCTCCAATATTTCTCCCATGAAAATAGAGACGTCCTATTCCATTATTATTATTATTATTATTATTATTATTATTATTTATTATTATTATTTATTATTATTACTATGGTTGGCTTCCAATATATATAGAAAACATAATAAAACATTTAGCTTTTAAAAACTTCCCTATACACGGCTGCCTTCAGATGTTTTCTAAAGGTATGATTACTTATCTCCTTGACTCGGGGGCTCGCATGACTCCATACTTTCCAGCATTTCTCCAATGAAAATAGGGACATTCTAAGGAAAAGCAGGACGTTCCCGGATCAAATCAGAAACCAGGATGGCTTCTGTAAATCTGGGACCGTCCCTGGAAAATAGGGACACTTAGAGGGTCTGCATCATGGGCTCCATGCGTTGTTTATGGGCATCAAGCATTATAGCGTAACAACAATTTTGCCTTTCATAAGGCGTTTGCTGTTTATATAGTTGCTTGAAATAGGGGAGGCAACAGAAAAAGTAGAGGAAGTGGGTGCAAATGGGGAGAACGTGTGCAGTCAGTACTTGGGAGTAAGCCCTGGTTGAACTCTGCGGAAATCACACCAGCAAACATGCATAAACATGCACAAGGCGAGACAGGCTCCTATTTTCTGATCCTTCCATAAAATCCCCATCTCAGCAGCCTTTTCCATTCTCATAATCATAGCATGAGGAAACATGAGCCTCTATACAACATTTCCGGTATAAGCCGTCATTTGCTTCCTTCCAACTGGCCGCTATTGGAACCAGTATCCTGGACTAGACCAACCTTGGCTGATCCAGTAATGAGCCAGTGTGGTGTAGTGGTTAAAGTGTTGGACTAGGACCTGGTCTCTGCTCAGGCATGAAACGCGCTAGGTGACTTCAGTCCAGTCTTTCGGCCTAACCTACCTCACAGGGTTGTTGTGAGGATAAAATGTAATTATTGGGTTACAATAATATGTAATATGGGCTACTGTAATAGAGGGTCAGAGCCAAAAGGGACCCACTCCCAGTATCTAGTTCCCAGTGTAGATAATCTACCAGGGGGACTGAAGCCATTTCCAGTTCCAGCCAAGCTGTGGATTTTAAATCAACTGTGAGCCACCTAGTCTACGGCCATACTACCCTGAACACGCCCAATCTCGTCTGAACCTAGTAGATTTTTCAGATCAAAAAACAGGCTATGAATATACAAAATAAATATTTAAACAATGGTTCAGACCTTGACATGCATAGGCCTCAACCTGCTTGTTTCTATGCTACATAATATCCTTGGGTGGGTGGTGATTTTGGAAAACTCTGAAATAAAAAAGGGAATCAGTCTTGATATTGACTCTGCTCTTGGTGGTGATAAGCAGGCCTCATTACCTCACATGCTAAAGTGGTGACCGCAACCCAAGTGATTTACTAGTATTAGCCTTGCTCCTGTTCTTATGTGCCAAATGACTGAGACTGGAGTAGCAAAGCTGCAAAACTTGAATCAGAACTACAGTATCTTGAATGGTGCAGTTCAAGACCTGCCCTCATGTTCAGCACCTACAGCATAGAAATAAGGTTCAGTGGTACCTCGGGTTAAGTACTTAATTCGTTCTGTAGGTCTGTTCTTAGCCTGAAACTGTTCTTAACCTGAAGCACCACTTTAGCTAATGGGGCCTCCTGCTGCTGCCGCTGCGCCACCGCTATACGATTTCTGTTCTCATCCTGAAGCAAAATTCTTAACCCGAGGTAATATTTATGGATTAGTGGAGTCTGTAACCTGAAGCATATGTAACCTGAAGCGTATGTAACCCGAGGTACCACTGTATTTGGAATGTATTCTGTTGCATCCCATTACAGCGATGACCTGTATTCAGTCTTTTCAGATCCAGAATGCACTTTCAACCCAAACATGCTTTTGGGGACCTATCTCTTAATCTTTTACCATATATTTGCATGGTGGTAGTGCTCCTGTTGTGACCCACTTTGGATCAGGCCATGACCCACTAGTGGGTCCCGACCCACTGGCTGAACACCAATTTCCTAGATCCACAAGCACAAGGATTCCCACTTGTGCAATGGATCTTACTCTTCCTCTCCTTTCCCCACATGCCCCACACACCCTCCCCCAATCAAGTCCAAATGGTTGAGGGAACCCTTAGAACATATTTAGTCTTTAAAATTATCACACACAGGTAACGCCAATGAATTATAGTAGCTTAATCATGTGAGCAATGGGTTTCAAAACTATAGCTGTAGTAAGAGAAAAGCTAAAGAGGATGCAATACCTTTGAGCGTATAATACAAAAAGAAAAGTGTTTTTATTTCTGCCTTTTTGTTATTGGTGGGAAAATGCATGAACATATTTCTTGTCTGTACAACCAAAGTCACAGTTGTGATAACAATGCATTTTGTGTTACTTGTTTCAAAATAAAAATGATGCTATACAGTAAACATGTCAACTTTACAATTTGTATTCATGAACTCTGTTTTTCAAAGTATACATTGTGTTTTTTTAAAAATCCCTCTTCTTGCAATTTACCTTCTGGTAAAATTAAACTTTAAGCATTTTGGTTCCCAGCAACAAAGTAAGTTTAGATGGTGCTTCAGACATTTTGCTCAGTGCCTAGAAGATAGGTGGGGTAGTCCACTGAGTATTTTGCTCTTTACAATCCATATGTTGATCAATCTAACACATCACACTACAATTTGCTTAGAAAGACACTAAAACAATATGCAGTCAGTCACAGATTAGAAAAGGAGAGGCCAGTTCTTTAGTGCCCTCCTGCAGTAGGTGATCTAGAAAGGGATCCCTATTGCTGGAACAGAGCTACAGTAGAGTGACTGCACACAACTGAGGACCTGTGTCTGAAAGGATAACATTCACTATTTTATATCTTATATATGATATCACATCCTTCCCCCCACTGATTAAGTTAAATAACTGCCATATCCCAGTGCTATAGCATACACACCATAATGAATTCAGTTTTGAATCCTTGTTTCACCCTTAAGCAGGCACTGAGCAGATCATTAAATACTCTCTCTTCACTTGGGAAAGTTGTGGTCTTCTAGATGTTACTGAACTTAAAACTTCCATCATTCCTGTCCATTGGCCAACTTAGTTGAGACTGATGGAAGGTGGAGCAGAACATCTGGAGGGTCACTTGTTTTGCACCCTTGTTCTAACCTCTCCAATTTACAGTGCAGTCCTATGCATGCTTACTCAGAAGTAAGCCCTCATTAAATTCAGTGCCCCTTACTGCCAGGTAAATGTATATAAGGAACAAGCATTGACCAAAAATTCAGAAGAACCCCAATCTGATACTTAAGAAAACTGTCCAGTTAGATCCAAAGCACTTTGGAGGTGGCCTGATTCAGTTTGGCTCCAAATCTCAGTTTGGAAAGAGTCAGCTTAAGACAAGCCCTGAATCTGTCCAAAGTATTCCACTTCAGTTCAAGATATAGGATTCATCTAAATCATCTGCACACCCCTAGCTTGTATAGGGTTGCAGCTCTGTGAGCTCATCTTGACTTGGGGTCACCAACCCACAGGTGCACAAGTACCAAGTGAGGCCTTCCTCAGCACCCACAGCTTTCTCCCCCCACCCCCGCACCATCACCTTTCTCTTGTAGGAAAAGAAGGCTGTCTTCAAACCTAATTTGGGTGCAGGGGTGATGACAGCATTTGGAGGTGCCACAGCTACAAGAGAAGGCTCCTTTCAAGTCTAATTCAATGAAGGAAACTGATTGTCACAGCTGGGAAGGGGACAGTTAACACAAGGAACCATACTTGGCCAGAAAGCTGGATCAGATTGTGCCACATTTGACAGGTGGGCAGAGATACCAACCTGATGTAATAGGATGTCAGGTAGATCCAACCCCAGCAGAAAACAGCTCAGCTTACATTTGGTACCAAATTTAGTGCCGAATGCAAACTGTGCTTGCTAAGAAACAATTGAAATGCATTCTAAGGCTATGATTTCTCCTTTGCAAGCACAGCTCATCCTACTTTCTGAACCTTGTAGTGTTATGGTAAACCCCTGTGTGAGTGTAAGTGTGTGTCTCAGTGTGTACATGTGCACTCTGTGTGCAGTATGTTGCCTCCTCAGAGCAAAAATATGGATATATCCCTTCAGTTCATCTTATCTTCCCTCGCTGCAGAAATCCACATAAGTGTTAACACGTATATGTGGAAATAGCTCTAAGGGATCCATTGTAAAACTTCTGACTATCTTCTATGGCTTTGTATTCATGGACAAGTTTCTAATTTTTCTCTTCTTAGCCCCCCCCCCCAATCCACTTCTGTTACCATGAGGAAGAACAAATATGCCAGTTGCTCAGTCCAGTTTAATAAGAGATTTAACAAAATGTCTTGTCATTAGGACAGGCAAGTGTATATGGAGGAAGGATCCCTATATCAGGGATCTCTAAAAATCTGTACAAAATCAGTTTCTGTGTACTCTATACACTAAGATGCACTGAACCTTGCTCTCCTGATATTGGAGGCTCGGCCCTCAGTTTTGCCCTCACCAGACAGTTGTTCCCAAATGGAGCCCTACCCTTTCCCTGAAGAAAAGTGAACGACACTCGGGGACAGTAGCCGGGTGAAGACTCCATTATCTATGTCCAATACTGACTCTCACTTTGTACAGCCCCACTGCTTCATCTGAATCACTCTATCCTAGCACCTGAAGAGGACCCCAAAATGGCAGATCTGCCCTCCCCACCAGGGATGAAGGGGTGAGGAAAGATCTACATCAGGAACAAGGGGAGGGGGGAGACTGACATTGGGATCTGCTGCCTCTGTGAATCCTGCAGCCTCACTTTGCCTCATTCATGGACTGGCCCTGGACTTTGATACGTAAGGCAGACTGTAAGCATATGTTGGTACATGCAGCTAGTGGTGTAGCGTGTGGGTGCCACAGGGGCTGTTGCCCCATGAGCAAAATTCTTAGGGGTGCAAAATTTCTGCTCCTCCCTCGCCTGAGACCTTGAAGCTGCTGAATTGCAGTGCCTGCATGGTGTTTAAGGTGGTGTGGAAGGAATCCCCTCATTTTATTATTTCCTCTTCTTGCACCTTCTTGTGGAGGCAGGTCACCGCTTGTCCCCAACCTCTCCTCTCCCCGCACCCTCCAGCCACCCCCCTTTACTATGGCTAGAAAAGGCCGCATGCGCTTTTGCTGGAGAAGCACCACAACTCTTGAACTTCACGTGGGGTATGTGTTTATGTGTTCTGGGTTTTTTCCCCTCTTTCTGAGGAGGGGGCACAATGCTTGCCTTGCCCCGGAAGCTGGCAACCTACACTACACCACTGCTTGCAGCTTGATTGATGTTGTCATACAAACATTCAAAAATCTCACGTAGGCCATTTAGCGACTTATAACAGAACAACTGAATGAGCCCTTAACTAGTGAATGATTGTAAACTACATTGAGGTCATCAAAGGACAGTTAACATTCAAGCATAAAGCATGAGCAGTGATGGCTTCTGCAGTGTGTTTGTTCATTTATACCTCCAACATTAGGAGGGGCCATTCTTCGTATTAAGTTGGTTTTCTGTCATGTAAATGTGCACATGAACAAGACAGTATTCATTCAATTCTAGTTCATGGGATATAAGATCTGGAGCACCAGCACAGCTATTAGCAGATATACATACAGAATATGTACAGTAGCCATAGGTACAATAATATGATGGGGGAAAGCAATAAAAGTTATGCACTTTAATTTAATGTGAAATCAGTATAGGGGAGATATTTTTGTGGGTGTGCATTTAATACGTCAAGTGCTGTGAAATTGCATTTTGTTAGGGAGGGAAGTTGTTCAAAAGCTTAGTGGAAGGATTCTGTACGCTGATATAATTTTTATTTATTAATGGAGTCAGAAGCAGAGTTTTTTCTGTGATTTATATGGTGTAGAACTGTGAATTTGCTTTCACATTCAGACGAGGCCTTCATGCAATCAGTGAATACATGGTGGTAGGTGGGATCATTTATTCCGTTCACTCCACCAATGTGCACATTTTTTAGTTGAAGCTGTGCCTGCAGCTGTACACACATTGGCTCTGTCAGCACACTCAGGGGTCCAGTCTCCCACATCAGGCAAATAGAACCCACACAAATTCAGCTCCCAACATGTAGGGCTCCCTGTGCATACCTTCCACTGAACATGTGGAAGCTGAGGGCAGAATGCGCTGCTGTGGCATGCGCCCTGCCTCCATGCATTCACTGACTGAATATTTCACATCAAGAGAGTTGTTCTGATGTACCCACTATCATCTACACAGAGAACTGAAATATTTGTACATATCTCAAAGTGCTCCCGATGTGAGGTCCTCTTGATTGATTTCTGACATAAGAAACTGAGTGTGTCAGCACCCGTGTCTAGAAATAATCTGGAACACTTGCCCATGTCTGTTTGTGTATTTGCCTCTAGTTTTGATAAGCAGCAGTTGTTCTTCTGCTTCACAAATCAGCCTAAGACAGACTGATTTAGAGCATGTGTGAAAGTAACTTTGGGTACATCCTCCTTGACACCAACGGAATCACTTGGGTAGGAGACTTTCAGTGTTATGCATAAACTACATTTCTATTGATGGTGTGCCTTTTTATTGCCTAGAACTTTGTTTTTGTCCTGGATTCTATTACATTTCAGTAAAACACTTTCTTTGTATCTCTTTAGCACTTTGTAGGCAATGTTGTTGGCAATTCAGATGAACAGGGTAAACTTTGCAAGAGCTGAGCAGCTGGGTCATATCTGTTTACAAAAAAACTCCACTTCGAATTTATGAAGGGAAGTGAGATAAACTTGGCAAGAAGTCAGCTACAAGTCGATTAAGATTAGAATTTACAATATTTTTCCTGCCCCATTAGTATTTACAGCCAAGCCTCAAAATGCATTAATATAAACTGTCTTAATATTTTTGTTTTTAGTTTACATTTGAGAACGACAATGGGGTGTGTGTGAGAGTAATATGCAATGTCTTGATTTAGTTTTATTATCTGTATTTTCAGCATAGATTAAGAAAGAAACAGGTATACTGGGCCAAGGTAGAGAGAGTGAATATGAATGCATATGAGCCTAAATCTTCTTCTCCTCACCCCCATGTTTTGCCAGCTGTTTTTCAAAGTTAATGATTTGAAAATTACAGTTAGCATAACATTTAGGTGAGAAAGGATGGCCTTTTTGTTTATTTTGGTTATGTTGGGCCTTGCTTTATGATTGGATTGCCGTGGTTTTGCCCAAGAAATGCAACAATAAGCTGAAATGGAACTGCAGCACTATGGAAAGCCAAGATTTTAGTTAAATTATTCAGTAGACGGTTACACTGAATCTGCCTGAGTTCTTTCTGCATTAAAATTTGCAATGTTATTACGCTGGTAGAGCTACTTTGGACAGTAGCACGAGAAAACTGAAGCTCAGCTTTTCCCCCAGTATAGATGTACATAGCATTATAATCCAGATCCAAAGTTGAACTACATAAATGTATTGTGTCAAAACACAACAGGGGGAACCTGCAACTTGTTGAAATAACTGGCAAGATACCATAGCACTGATGCCACCAAGAGGACACCATTGGGGCAGAGAGGCAAAATCAGAATTATAAAATCTTTCATTAATATGTGCAGAGGAGCCAATATCATATTAGAACATGTATGCTGGTACAAATCATTTGACTCACGGGGAACATCTGAGAATGCCCAGGGCTAACTTAACCCATTGTTCTTATTCTGTATTCATCTACTTGAGAAGGAATCATTCAGAGTTGACTAGTACAGTATCAGAAATAAATGCACTGGACACAGAAACATCTTTGCCTCATCTTCTCAGGTGAATACAAAGGTACCATTTCAAGAGCCCTCAAACCAGTATGTGTGGCCCTAGCACACAGTGAAGCTGAAACATCCATGACAAATATACATATTGGGAGGTGAAATGCTAGATCAGCCACTGTTTAGCCTTTTTTAAATGAGTCAGGCAGCCTATCCACTTTTTTAAAAAAAGCAGCCTGTACACACACACACACACACACACACACACACACTCTCTTATAGCTCTCTGTGTTTATCCTTGCCTTACAAGGGGGAGAGGGGGACAGAAAACATTATTTTAAACTGCAGAACTGTTCCAGAGATTGGAGGAGACGGAGCTAATGATGTCACATATATTAGCCAATAGGCACCCGCCGCAGATAAGATTTTTCTCATTCATCCCATTCAGACTCAAACCTGTGAAACTGCGATTCTTTCTTTGCCTTTTTAGAGAACTTGTCTCAAAACAGAAGTATGTGTATTTACAGAGGAAGGAACCTGCCACCACTGCTCTCAGAACAGCACATTTGTACACAGCCAGTGGTTTGCTTCCTGAATGTTCCCAGTGCTTAGTTTAGAAATATCTCTCTGTGCATTAAATGGCTGGAATCAACCATTGACAGGGTGCTGCTGAAATTAAACCTATTCCCTGTGCTCATATTATAATAATGCCTGAGATTCTTTTAACTCAAGTTCATAATAACAAAACAACAAAAAAACTAAGGTCTGTATTGTGCCTTTGTCAGCCTTCATTGCTGCATTGGTTTTAGCATAGAAGTGCAGAGGGGTCTATTCAGCAATGGAGAAACCAATAACAAACACTGTTTGTTCCGCCTCAGGGGGAATGATAAAGGGATTGTTTGGGTACATGCACAATGTGTTTTGGAAAAAGCCTTATTTCATGAACAAACCCATCTGGGAGTTGCTATAATATTGTGGCTCCTGCTGCATCCTCACTTCTTGGGTCTTTCACACCAATTATGAAATTGTTGGTTCTTCTGGCTCCGTGAACGAGAGAAAGGACCTCAATTTTGCTCACCGGCTGACCGCTGCTTGTAAAGTACTTGATATCTTCTTCAGGAAACTCACCTGGTGGAGAATTTTAGAAAAGATTGGTTTTATTGAAAGGGTTGGCAGCAGTCCCCATCAAGGTGCTGATCCATGTGACAACTGGTACACAAGGAAGGCAGATCCCTGGATCCACCCTTTCCCCCCTTATGCAGAGGAATCATGTGCAGTCTTGTGTATGTAGAACATCTGTGTCAACATGTTCACATTTCCTACCTGTAGGATCAAGGCACAAGTGCTTTAAAAGACTTGTAGGGCTTAGTGTATTAATAAGGGAAGAGAAAAGTTGCTTAGGTACCTAAGCTAAATAATAGGAAAATTGCACGATAAATATGCATTCGACTCCCTTGACCATACAGTTAAAGGTAAAGGTAAAGGGACCTCTAGCCATTAGGTCCAGTCGTGGCAGACTCTGGGGTTGTGGTGCTCATCTCGCTTTATTGGCCAAGGGAGCCGTCGTACAGCTTCTGGGTCATTTGGCCAGCATGACTAAGCTGCTTCTGGTGAACCAGAGCAGCACACAGAAATGCCGTTTACCTTCCTGCCAGAGCAGTACCTATTTATCTACTTGCATTTTGACTTGCTTTTGAACTGCTAGGTTGGCAGGAGCAGGGACCGAGCAACGGGAGCTCACCCCCTCATGGGGATTCGAACCGCCAACCTTCTGATCGGCAAGTCCTAGACTCTGTGGTTTAACCCACAGCACCACCCGCGTCCCTGACCATACAGTTACGGGTGGTCAAACACCAGCCCATGATTCTGATCTGGCCTGTCAAGTTTTTGCAGGGGGAGGGGGCAGTCACAGCCCTATTTACTAGTTGCAACAGAACTGACTAATGAAGCGCATTTTCTTTTCCACCTCCATTTAGCACCCAAGTTCCATGATGGGGAGGAAAATACCTTCCCTTATTCCTCTATTGATTGTACCTGCCTTTCTGCTGTTGGAGAGCAGATCAAAGTGCTTTAAAAACATGAAAGAGAGCTTGGATCTCCCCCAAATTTCTTGCGTCAATGCTCAGGAAAACATGGTAGCAGACTGAAGAGCTCTTTCCCGTTTCCAGCGGAAAGGCCATAGCTCAGTGGCAAAGCATTTGCTTTGCTTGCAGAGGGTCTGAGGCTCAATCCCTGGAATATCCAAGTAGGGCTGGGAGAGTCTTTTGCCTGAAATCCTGGAGAGCCGCTACCAGTAAGTTCCAAGTTAGATGGACCAATGGTCTGACTCTGCATAAGGAAGATTCTGCCCACATTGCAGAAGAGGAAAGGTGGCTAATGTTGCAGGTAACATAAGCAAAAGAGCAGAAGCATTGCTTCCACTTCACCAAAGTACTGGCATACAGTTTCCTTTTCAGCTTCTGCAATGTAGTCAGATACAAAAAGATTCTCCCATCTTACTACAGCCATACAATGAGGTTCAACAAACCATGTCAAGATGAGGAAAAATTACAGAGTAATCTTAGATGTCTCAGGGGGAAACCCTCACCCTGTTTCACTTGTGTCTGAAGTGAAATAATAGAAGTCCAGATTTCAAAGATCAGTGATCCATACTTACTGTCAACTTCCAGGATATTAGACTGAAGTTGAGGATGAAGCCGGCCTAGCGAAAGACTCTCACTCAGGTTCTTGTTGTAGGTCAAAACGTTTACTAAAACCTGTTAAAAGAGCAGACGAAGCAGATGCTAAGGTTTTTGATGAATTGTTCGTGATGGAATCTTGAGTCTTGTTCAGATACTCAAAGTGAAGATGCAGGAGCATGGCTGACACACCTGCCTTCCACCTGTTTGTGGGTATGTCTGCATAGTGGCTTATGCTTCTGGACCTCTACCTATGTACGCATCAGTTATGTGATCTGTACACTAGAAGAAACAGGGTGTATGGATCACAGTATTGGTGTCTGCACCAAATGATCATTCAAGAATATAAGAAGAGCCTGCTGTATCAGACCAATGACCCATCTTGTCCAGCATCCTGTTCTCACAGGGGCCAACCATTCTGCAAACCTGTCCTCCAATGTCTGGGAGTCCAGCTATGCTGAAGGGATGGCATTATAGTCATGATCACACACTCCACTTATGCATCCACTGTGAACTTATTCCCTCTCCCCAAAAAAGATAAGTACTTCTATGCAGTCAAAGCCCTTAAGACCAGTGCTATTTTTCTAAAGAAGGAGGTGCCAGAATTCACCACGAACACCTCCCTTGTTCTCTTATAATGGCAGTGGCACCCATCTGAGAGGTGCCAGAACTGAGTTCCAGCGAATTCCAGCTGGGAAAAAAAGCCCTGCTTAAGACTAATATGGTGGTCACATGCTGACACTGAGTGGCAGTATTAAGTAGCACAGTTCGAACCATTTTTCACAGTTCAAAGCCAGTTTACGACTTCAGTAAAAGCTGGACCCAAAAGAACTGTAGTGCCATCCCAAGGCATTTTACTGTCAAAAGCAGAATCAAGATGGCGCCTATACCACACGCAAACACACAGGTCAGTGTTTTTTAAAAGCGTTTTTGCATCAACTCAGACATTTGTTATTGCCTTCATCTATCCCCTCCCCCACACCTGCCCCTGGCAGGGCTGGTCCTGGAAACCCAGTCCTGTCTCCTGGTAAGAAAGGATATTATATTGCAAGCATCCAGCAGTGCTCAGAAGACTGACCTGTGTTATGCTGCTCAAAGCTTTGTCGCCACCATTGGCTCCCAAACAAAGGTAAGTCCCACACATCCCTTCTGATGGCCGGACAACAGTAGGTAGCAAAAAAGACAGTGGCCTTTTCCCAGGCTGAATAAAGTTCCTCTGCAGGAAAAATAATTTTGCAAAGCACTATTAAATATATCAATAGGAGCCTTTCCCCCTCAAGCTTCTGTTTCCTTGAATCTCTGAGGTAATAAATACCATTACCCAATTACCAGATAGGTTCAAATCAGCTGAATGTCAGAAACCTTTTTTCAAAGAGCTGGGCAAGATAGCACTTTGAAATGGTATTTGGAAGACATCTTCAGAAACCTTTCTCAAAATGCTATTTTGCAAAGCACTTTGAAAGGGCCTTCTGAAGATCTGAATCAGCTGGCTGTTGGATTTTCAGAAGCCCCTTTCAAAGAGCTATTTTGCACAGCTAAGAGGTTTTTACTTGCAGTACACCATGTTTTCAGTTGAGCCATATATGATGTCAGGTATACAGCAAGTGGGAGTGGTTTGGTCAAGATGGCCTCAGGAGCCAAATGGGGAAGCGAAGCAGCCCCAATTAGACTCATGGGCCAGAGTTTCCCCAATCCAGCAACAGGGTATCTTTCACAGCACACACACAGATAATATCACATCACATTTATCTAACAACATTCACTGCAGGAAATCCAAGGCTCTTTATGGAAAAATATTTATAGTAGACACACATTGGAAAATCAAGTGGCTCTGAAAACAGGTTAAGAGCTAAACTTGCCATCCCAGCTCTAAAACCACACATATCGTGGCAAATAAAGGACTCCTAGATCTTAATTATCTGATGGATCCATGCACTTCATCAATCATTGGAGCCATGCTCACATACACTTACTATTCATTTCACTATTCATGTCAGACAAATTCATAATTTATTACCAAGCCAGAAGATGAATGGCCTTCTGTTTCGTTCATCCAAGAAAAATCCAGCATCTGACTGTTTAGAAGGATTCCAGAAGAAGTCATTATTCCACTTCCAAACGGCCGATTCAAGGAACTGGAAACAGACACACACAAAAGTTTGTGAGAATCCAAATCCACTGCTGCCCCAGTGCTTATGGTTCTCAGGCTCCTTGTTCTTCCCAGTTCCCTGATACACCCTTTCTCATGTCTGAAAGACCTTAGGCAATAAAGAGAGTCCTGTGGGATCAGACCAGAGCTCAGACTAGTCTGGCATCTTTTTTTTCACCAAATGCCTATGGAAAATCCAGCAGTAGGGTATGAGGGCAGTAGCTCTCTCCTGCTGTTGCTTCCCAGCAACTGATATTTGATGTCATGTTGCCACTGGAAATTCATCCATCATGACTACGAGCCGTTGACAAACATCCATCATTTTGTCTTACCTCCTTTAAAGCCATCTATGGCTGCATTCACACTGCAGTTTATTCAATTTTCCCAACGCTTCCCTAGCTACTAATTTTCACATCATATCCAAATTTCACATGACATAAAAACCACTTTCTGAAATATAGTGGGATATAGTGCTAGTTTCGTGCACCATGTTATTTGCTTTTTAGAACAGAGCTCTCACTCCCAGGTGCCGAATTTTGCTAAAATCCACCTGATTATAAAGCATTTGTTTAAAAAATCTTACTCCCTCTTTCTAAGGGAATGTCCACAGCAGCATTTCATTCCGAACAGGGAAGCTTAGCTCAATTATTTGTGCCAAAAGAGAAATGGACGTGCAAGATCTAAAAAACAAGTGGAGGAGGAGACAAAATGGTCGCCAACCCTTGAAAAACTATTGAAAAATAATCATGGAACAGACTGTGGACAAATGCACCATTACAAATCCATATTGCCAACAACCAGGGAAAGAGCCCTTAAAATGTGCATGGCTGGAACTTAGCACCTAGACGTCTAGCGTATATAAACTGAACATTTCTCCCATGTATTGGAAAGGATGTATTACTACAGGGACATATCAGAACATGTAGTGGGGGTGTCCAAAAATAGAAAATTTATGGTGGGGGAGTATTTACAAAAATATATTGGATTACAAGGCAGACAGTCCTCATGACCCCAGGACTGGCTCTACTTAGCCTATATAGTCACAATATATTGCAAATTAGAAATGAAATAGTCATAACACATCTATTAACCGCTACAAGATCAACTATTGCCAGGGCATGGAAATCATTAAAATCATTAACTAAGGACCAATGGTATAATGCACTTTGGCAAACAGCATTATTGGAAAAACTGACACAAAAAACTAAAGGTAGCAGGAGGCCAAAAGAAACAAGATAATTTTTATGCAGTCTAGTGTGACTTTATTGATTACACAAATAATGAGGCATGTGATAAAACAGTACCCATAGTTTGCAGCACAGTCTGGTGTATATTTTGTTTTATTTTCCCCCTCCCCTCACTCCCCCTTCCTGTAAATTATAATTGTTGTTGATACAAAATACCTTTTACGTATGGTCACCAATCTAAGCAGTACATCATTTCATATCTGTAATAACTTTAATAGTTTTGGTATATACACTTTGAAACAATTTTGTTAATATGTTCAGAAACATTTATCTGAGTGTTTGTTTTATTTTTCATTTTATGTAATTGTTGCATGCCACATGCTGTGATGTCAACATAGATATATCTCAATGCAAACATGTTAAACTGTGTTGCCCGCCCCAAATGCTTTACCTTACAACTGCAACAATGTAGTCATCAGGTCCCATGACAAGGACCTGACTTGCAGAGGGTCCACTTTCCATGGAGAAATGTGGAATGCCATGATCAGAGGGGAACGACTGAGAGTCAATCTGTTGTCGCAGGAAATTTGCCTTGGATTTACTGCATTGACAAGAGGGAGGGGGGGAGGGAATTTTTTTTAAAAAAAATCATACTGTGATGGGGGAGCAGGGGATTAGAACTAGGGAAAAGAGGTATAAAAATCCATTCCAAAATTTTATTTAACAACAAACCAATGAAACAGAAGAAGTATGTATTCTGCTCTGGTCAGACCTCACCTGGAGTACTGTGTCCAGTTCTGGGCACCACAGTTCAAGAAGGACACTGACAAACTGGAACGTGTCCAGAGGAGGGCAACCAAAATGGTCAAAGGCCTGGAAATGATGCCTTATGAGGAACGGCTAAGGGAGCTGGGCATGTTTAGCCTGGAGAAGAGGAGGTTAAGGGGTGATATGATAGCCATGTTCAAATATATAAAAGGATGTCACATAGAGGAGGGAGAAAGGCTGTTTTCTGCTGCTCCAGAGAAGCGGACACGGAGCAATGGATCCAAACTACAAGAAAGAAGATTCCACCTAAACATTAGGAAGAACTTCCTGACAGTAAGAGCTGTTCGACAGTGGAATTTGCTGCCAAGGAGTGTGGTGGAGTCTCCTTCTTTGGAGGTCTTTAAGCAGAGGCTTGACAACCATATGTCAGAAGTGCTCTGATGTGTTTCCTGCTTGGCAGGGGGTTGGACTCGATGGCCCTTGTGGTCTCTTCCAACTCTATGATTCTATGATTCTATGATGTTTTATTCTGTTGTGCTTTTTGAATTTTAAATGATGTGTTTTGTCCCATCCGCCTCCTTCACAACTGGTGATGCTGTCCAGAGCTAATGGAAACTGTAGTCCAAAACATCTGGTAAGTACCAGTCTGGGAAAGGTTAGCATATAGCAACAACAACCTTCTTCTCCCAAATATGGAGGAGGTAGGTAGCTAAAATGACACCACCACCCCATACAGAAGAGGGAGGCATCAGAAGTGTCGAAGGGACCCCAAAATTTTGCAGAAGTACAAAAAAACATTTTTTGGGGGACCAATAACCCCAAGGGGTGTGAAACTCCCCCCAAAAAATCATGTCAGCATGGTCAGTGGGCTCAGAATACTGGCTGGCAGTTAAGAAGAAAAACAGGGTGGGTGGGATGGAGCAACCTGGAAGATGACATGGCCGACTGGCTGGAATCAGGAACAAGGACCCTCCATATGTCAACATCTTGTGGCAAGCCCCACTTCTCTCTCAGGATGCAGAATTCCTCAGCTTCATCCCCCAGTCAATGGCATCATATCACCTGAGTGCTAGTTTTCTGTATTTGTGAAGCTTCTGTTGCCAGGCAACATCAGCTCTCTTAAAGTCTGGCCACCCACAGCAGGTCAGACAGTCTCGGCCTACTCCCCATTGCCCAGAGGACAGAATGACCCAGAAGAAGTCGGCTGCCTCTAAACTAAATGACACAGAATATGTCAACATAAAAAATTATTGTTCATTATGAATCTAGACTTACCTCATCATGTCTTCTACGCTGTGAGAAATGGACACATCGTAGAAAGGGTCCCCCAAGCTGCTAGCTAGTGCCAAGACGACTTTTAGTGTCTACATTGAATGGAAAGGAAGACAAAAGGAGTCACATTATGAAGTAGCCCACCTATTCCATCTCCATTGAAAGAACGGTGAGAGGTGTGTGCTCTCATGGCAAGATAGTGCCACTTCCTTTCTGTCTAACCTTATCGCTCCGTTCTCTCTATTATACAGTAATGAGTCAGGCTAGATAAGACATTAGCTACCCATTTGGATCCCATGACTGGGATTCTTCCATTCCAGATCATACCCAGCATGGCTTCTGTTAGTTTCGAAAAGAAAGGGGCTGTGATTTGTGTGCTCACATGAACAACATACATTTAAAGCACATGGCTCCCCCCCCCCGTACTTTATGCTTTTAGCATCTTAGGAATTGTAGTTCTTGGAGGGTAAACTGCTATTCATCAGATTCTTTGAAGGAAGCCAGGTGCTTTCATTCATATATATATATACACAAATTATTACAGATCAAACCAAACTACTTTAATTTAATACAAATTCTTAAAATCAGGTTTCCCACTCCTATTGCAAACATATGTCAATCATTTCCTCCCATAGCTGCATCATTTCCTATTTAGTGTCCAGTGTTCATCCTTCACTTACCATTAAACCATTCTTCCAGCTGACTGCCTTTTCCTCCTTACAAACAGTGCCTCTGTTACAACTTATAAATAAAAAATCCAGTTCACATGTGTAGTCCTTCATATACATTTTTATTCCAGACTTGGTGTCCTGAGTTCGTTACTATCTTCCATTGTTCATTTATTTGCAGTGCTTATCTGGATGGTACAAGGTCACATTCCATTCCTTCCGCTGTTTACAGACTAGCATAGGAGCCGCTGCCATAACTAACTAACAGGGTGCACTTCCAGCTTCTGCCATTAAAATTCCCCTCTGGAGTTCTTTCTTGGCACACAGTTAAAAGCAATATCTTTTCTCAAATTCAGCCTCTTTTCCACATCTGTTCGGGTGCAGCTCGTTCTCCCACCCCACCCCCTCCATTCCTCCAACAACACTCCAGTCCAGATAGTCATGGATAAAATCCATTCAGCTTTGATCGGGGCGGGGGGACAGCAAAACCATATTAAATTCTTTATTGCGCCTAAATCAAAAGCCTCCCCCCTCTTTTTTGAAGTTTCAGACAGAGTAACAAAGCAGGGGAGGACAAGAAAATAAAATACAATTTGAAAACCATAAGAAAGCACAAAGCATCTTGTCCTCCCCTTTCCTTTCCCAGCTGTTGTAGGGATTCCCAAGCTTCAGAAAAGCATTAAAATGCCTTCAGAAAGCAAGGCCCAGTCCTTTTGGCAGCTGATTGATTGCAGCTCATTAGCATATGTTGGTCCAGGAGTGCCTCTTAATTAAAGCCAATAGTCCAGATGAAGGAGGAACCATCCACAAATCATGCCAGTAATGGAGGTTTGTCCATGGCAGGGACACACTCCCAGGTCATTCCCACTCTGCCTTTGAAGTTGACAGACATGGGATTGCGTGGCACTGAGGGTTGCAGTGAACTCCCTAGACCCCACTGGGGAGCATTGCGAGGATTTATGCCTCATACCAGTAAATGCTATTTTTCCCCTGCCTGAACTTCCTTGCAGCCCCCAGAGGCTATGAAGAACAACCACCATTGATCATAGGCGTGGCCAGAAACCGTAAGCCAAGTGCTTTTAATGTGCATTTAAATTTGCTTTAAATGTATGGTGTGGGTGTGATTTAATCTTTGCCACAAACCCCTACCCTTAATACTGAAGCTGCTGTTTTCTGCTATTTGTTAAACATAGCAGCTGGGGAGGGTATGTGTGACATTTTCAACAGACATGGTCATACGGAGAAAATGTTTTTTTTTCTAAAAAGCCTCTCATCCCTTCTGGATCAGAGCCACATAACCCAGAAGATTGCAGCCACAGAGATAAGAAAAGAAGAGTCGTTCCATTGTCTGGAGAGGTCACTTCCTGGTTTGCACAGAGAAGCCATTTTCAATGTAGCCCAGCGATGGAAGTGCACGGCTATGTTGAGGTAGCACCGGGTGTTGACATTTTGGCACCCCTAATAATTTTGCACCTGGGGCAAGTGTCCCTGTGGCCCCCGCCACACTGCATCACTGGTTGCAGCAAAAACAAAGGGAGTTTTGTGGCAACTTAAAAGCAGATAGATTTGTTGTGGCATAAGCATAGACCATATGTTAGGGTATTTATTAGTGTATAGCAGACATAGGCAAACTCGCTCCTCCAGATGTTTTGGGACTACAACTCCCATCATCCCTGACCACTGGTCCTGTTAGCTAGGGATGATGGGAGTTGTAGTCTCAAAACATCTGGAGGGCTGAGTTTGCCTATGCCTGGTGTATAGTGAAAAACATGGAAAGCAATGGGCCCAAATGTCCATGAAATGCAAGAAGTCCCATCTGTGACAGTTCTATGTAAAGCTTAAATATAGCGCCTGTCCACAACAGCAGTAATAGTTTACAGTTTTGCTTTCCTAATTTGATGCCTGCTGTATGTAATAGAAGAAACCACTGTCTCAAATAAGGACTGCACCAACAGAATCAAACTTACTGCTAAATTCTAGTTCTGCAGTTTTCAAGTTCCTTTGTTGAAAAATTGTCTGTACGCTATTGGCCTAATTTCCCATGATATGCAAGATGCATGGTTAAAAGATACGCCACAAGGAGGTGCTTTCAGCTAATACATGTCAACTATTTGCTATGTTTGCCTTGAGGAAGAGAGATACCAAAAAAATAGCAAGCAGCTAGTTCATATTCTTTTCTCTTCCAAAAATCTTGTAGTTTGAATCAGCTGACTGAAGACTATACTGTCTTCATGCAAAGACCACTAGTTTAATTATTAGTTTAATAACAGTGCATTAGAATGCAGCAAGCTTCTGGTATTTTTATGTTACTAAATACATTCATGCAAATGTACAAAGCCACATTCACACCATACATTTAAAACACTGTGACATCACTTGAAACAGCCACAGCTTTTCCCAAAGAATTATGGGATTTGTAGTTTGCTAAGGGTGCTGACAATTGTTAGGAAAGGTATATCCTTCCCTGCCTCAAACTACAATCATCAAAGTTTCCTGTGAAGAAGGATTGATTGTTAAACCACTCTGTGGATTGTGAGGGGAATAAGGGTCTCCTAAAAACTCTCTGCACCTTTAACAAATTACAGCTCCCAGAATTCTTTGGGGTAGCCATGGCTGTATATAGTGGCATGATACAGATTTAAATGTATGGTGTGAATGTGGCCGAAGGTGGTGATGACCACATTAAGTGCTAAGTATTGTTTTTACTACGGGAGGCAGGTGGCGCTGTGGGTTAAACCACTGAGCCTTTTGGGCTTGCCGATCAGAAGGTCAGCGGTTTGAATCCCCGCGATTCGAAATCACGTCAAAGTGCAAGTAGATAAATAGGTACTGCTCTGGTGGGAAGGTAAACAGTGTTTCTGTGCGCTGCTCTGGTTCGCCAGAAGCGGCTTAGTCATGCTGGCCACATGACCCGGAAGCTGTACGCCGGCTCCCTCGGCCAATAAAGCGAGATGAGTGCCGCAACCCCAGAGTTGTCTACAACTGGACCTAATGGTCAGGGGTCCCTTTACCTTTTTTGTTTTTACTAGAGATGTTTCCATGGCAGGCTCACTAGAAGAAATTTTAACCAGCAAGTACAAAATAAGGCTTTTAGGACATAACAGATAAAATAAATTGGATTTCAGTTCCAATGAGCATTAACTCAAAACCCATGATGATATAAATTTTGCGTTTCCTCCAATGCTAGTCCTATTCAGAGATGATCCATCAAAATAAATTACCATGACTCGCTTAAGAGTATTAATTTCAATGGGTCTACTTTGAGTAAACCTTCGTTGGATTCAACCCTTTGTCACTACAGAATAACCCATTCAAGTAACTGTGTTGGTTAATGCTGAATTACAACCATTTACAGTTTCTTTTCCAATATAATTATCCCAAAAGTTTTCAGAGAAGGCACAAGACGGCATCACAACATTGCCAGAAACAAAATATTCTGTTAAATGAGTCATACCTCTGTTATCCAGTGGAGAATATTTTCTCTGGCTACCTGACTGGTGATATTGAAACCCTCAAGGATGTTCAGAGCTGTGATCAGGGCAGGACCTACGTGTGGAGGTGATGGACTGAGAACAAGGTGGCCTGTTACAGTAAAGGAAGAAGAAAGGAAGGTATTTCCACCTTTTGTCCAGAATCCATTGAAATGACAGTTCTATGAAGCCAAAGGGCACTTCATGTGCAACATCTACATGTCTACTCAGAAATAAGCCTCACTGGGTTCCGTAAGATGGCAACTTTGGACTTCATTTTCCCAGATTGCAGTGTGACAGTATCTGATGTGTTTTGAAACAAGCGTTTGAAAAGCTGCTTGTGCAGTGGACTGGGATTGGGGCATAGCTGTCAACTTTTCCCTTTTCTTGCGAGGAATCCTATTTGGAATAAGGGAATTTCCCTTAAAAAAAGGAAAATGTTGACAGCTATGGACTGGGGCTTCAGATGAAACACTGTCTGGATCTGCAACATGACCTGCTTCATTCACAAGCAGGACACACAGGTTAAAAAAAACTGCCTGGGTTGCAACCCTAAAATAAACACAATGATAAAGGAATCCATAATGGCCAGGGATGATGGAAGCTGGATTCCAGAAACGTCCAGAGAGCGTACCATCTTGGTCAGCTCTGCGCTAGAGACTTTCATGCTATTCTATTCCTGTGGGATGTAGAAAAGCCAGATTGAATATACAATGGTATGAGGCAGGGGAAAGTGAGATATTCGTGTGAGTTAGCCTAAAACCATGGATTACTTATTTACAATTCGTGGTGCTTCACAGGTCTTTTTGTCTGCCAGAAAGTTGGGCAGGAAGAAAAATTAGTTATAAAACAAAAACACCCCAATCTATGCCAGATGTTTAGAAGGCTTGACTTAGCACAACAATTAGTATTTGCATTACAGCAGCACAGGTCAAGTCAAGCCTTGTTTCCTTTTGTGAGTGTTTCATTAGCTACTGTTTTTGGAGGACTATGGGCAGCGGGGGCAGGGAGGGTTATATAATTTGATTAAACTTGGGGGAATCAGGGATTGGGCTTGTGGATTTCATTAGGGCCTCCTCCTTTTACCCTGTATTCCGAGCATGATACTAATTAGCAATAAAGTGCAGAAAAATGTATCTGCTTCCTAAACATATTTTTTATAAACTTAAAATTGGGGGGGCACTAGGAATCAATCACATGGCATAAAAGATGCCAACCTATGTGTCATAGATGCACCATTTTACCTTGATATACTGTGTGGACTGGATTTTCCACCAAGACAGTGTAGTTACTGAAGTCTTCTTCAGACAAGGTGCCTCCAAAGTTAAGGACCTAGGCATAAAAGGATCACAGCAATGTATTTTCATGCATTATGCTAGCAATATTTGAAATGGACATTTAAGCATGGTTCAGCTTCCTAAAGAATTGCAGCTATTGATGGTTCCCAGTTTTGGGAGGGTCATGGGCAAGATGCCCTCTGTCTCCCCTCTCTGAGAGGGCCAACCTTTCCACCAATTTCACTGCCACTGTCACAAATTCACTTGCCTTTTCCCTCTGACCCCAACCTGCACAACCAGAGGGAATGCAAAGCAAGTGGGAAAAGATACTCTCTCTTCTTGTTACTGCTTGCATGCTTGAAGAAGGCAGGACCATGGGCAGCAACAGGGCAAGGAGGAGAAACAGAATGGACTGTGAAGCTCCAGAAGTCATCTGTGGGCTTCTGTAGAGATGTGGGTCTCAGAAGATTCCCAACAATGCTGACTCCTGGTCCTGGCCCTGATTTTTATTCTAGATCAGTGGTTTTCAAAGTCTCTATGTTCAATGAACTCTTTCCACACCAACCTATTTGTTGAAGAACACTGACTTTGCAGATGATTCTGGGGTCTAATCTACGGTCTATGTGTGGGATAATCAGTCTCATATAACCAACATGCTTTATTTGATTATAATTAATGCATGAAGGGGTTAAGACCATAGAGTAAGCTGTCCTGCCAGGCTTAGCTATGGAACTCATCCCCACATAACAGCCTATATTTCCATGCTTTACTTTGCTGCATATTTTGAGATTTTAAATCTCTGCTGGGGCTTTCTCACCAAAGAGTACTTGCCCAAACCTGCAACTAGGCATCCAGGGAATTCTCATTTTTATTATACCAAGTATTCTATTCTTTGACCAAAACAAAAATCAACAGTGCACACACTAGTTAGCCCTGCATGTTGGACCTTAGAAAGCGTGTTCTCCTTCATGGAGAGCACGTGTTGCGGTGGGGTCTGCTGAGCCACCCCTCGGTTACCAGGCAGGGTCTCTAAAGATGGCCTGGGGCAGTGATTGGTTCACTGGGTTGCTGGGGTAAAAGTTATGTTGCAATTTTGGTGGGAGGGGTAAAATGTTTAAATACTCTGCACGCAGCCTGGAGCTTTCTCTTTGCTGCGTGCAACGGATCACCCGCCCGCCCGCCCTTGAGTAAGGGGTTGTTGCATTGACCTTGCTATGCCTGTCATGGGGTCGTCTGCCGTTGGGGCAGGGGCCTGGTAGGAATTTTGTCCATCTGGCAGATTGGCTGGGCCATTTGGTTTTTGCCTACTGCGTAGCAAATCATCACAACTTGTAAGGTTGCGGTTAGGCATTGGTTATAAATTGGTGGAGGAGGGGTTAGGATAGGGCCTGGGGTTGAGGCCTGCCCCTCCATGGTTGCTGTGGAAAGGGAATTCCGTTAAAGGAATCCTGGGGCTTGCCATCTTTTCGTCCAATCCCTGGAATGGGACTAGGGCTGGCAAGCCTTCGGGGAGCATGTGGATGAGAATTGAGGGTCTGTGACTCAGCTCCATTTCTCCCCGACTTGCTTTCCCCTGCACTGTCTTTCGGTGGTGCCCGGAAGTCAGTTCTGTCCCCAGGCGGGGGGACAGATGGTCTTAACCAATGTCTAAACAAGCACTCACGGTTTTGTATTTAAATAAAGTTGTGGCCAAAATTATGCCAAAAACCTTAAACAAAAATTAAGTGTGCGTTGTGAGTTATTTGGGGGGTGGCTTGGGGACCTCGACACGCAATACAACCAGCATTCCCCACTGCAAGGGAAGATAAGCTGTGACTGTTTTTCCCTAGGAAATTTGGATGTCACCATTACTAATCTGTAATCCTCATGAAGCTTACAAGGAATCCTGGCCAGAACACAGTTTGAAGCCCACCATTTTCAATTCATTTAAACTTGAATAAGAATCAAATCTTCTTGCATTTCCTTACTTACATCAGACTCTCTAGGACATATTCTGTCGACTACCATGAATATGCTTCATTTTCAGGATAGTTAAAACTTTGTAAATATCAATGTGTTTGGCTTTTAAAATCCAAAATGATACTTGAATCCTGTGTTGTTTGGTACCATCCCTGCATTTTGCTTTTGTGTCTGCAAAGCTAATAGCTTGGGGGCTGGGGATTTAGAGCTGAAAAACTGTGCATGGGGGAAGAGGCTAAATATTCTGTTGCCCCTAACCAGAACAAAATCAGAATCTCTCCACAATCGTATCCATTTCAGCCTTTTGCTTCAATAATGCTATGGGATCAAGCGTTCCCACACTATTTACCCTAGTGCAGTGCCACCTGCATGTCTTTGACTCAAATGCCCACCGCTTGGTTTCAATGCCAGGTTTTTTATGACACATTGCCTCATCTCTGTTCCTTGTGTTCTTACAAGCTTTTGATTCCTAGCGTTTCTTTATTCTATGGCAGCCATTTTATACATTTCGAAAAGGACAGAGGTAGTAAAGTGGGGATTAGTGCAGATTAGTTAAATGTAGATATCTGAATCTCTCTCTCTCTTGCAATGTCCTTTCGCCTTCCCAGGAAACAAAGAAGAGAGAGGGGAGGGGGAGATTTCCCCTGGGATTTGGCAACCTTCCAAAAAGCCCCTCTCTATGTTTAGCACTGCTTAGAGTTTTCAGAAGTGCTGGTTAAAAAACCTTATGAGGTGGTGTGTGTGTGTGTGTGTGTGTGTGTGTGTGTGAGAGAGAGAGAGAGAGAGAGAGAGAGAGAGAGAGAGAGAGAGAGAGATGCAATGCACTTTTTTCCGTCGTGATTATTAAAAAAACAGGCTGAGGGGACCTGAAAAGTTGAAATCATGTTGCATCATCTAAATGCAGTATTTATGCCTTTGGTGTTCATAAATGGGACCTACACTGTGAAGTACTCCTGTTCAGTGTCCTGTTACAGGGTACTCCATTCCATCGCCCCTCCTCCCCATTTTCTTTATAACCCCAGTCCAAGTCAGCCAGCCTTCCATGCGTACTGAATATGTTCAGATCTTGTTAAGTAGTTTTGGGATTCACCTTTTTAGGTATCCTTCCCTGTCCACATCCTTTGCAAGGGCACTTCAGGAACACAAGGTATATTGCCTCATACCAAACGATACCTTTGGTCCACCTCACTCTCTTTTCTTTCAATCTTTATAACCAACTAGTATCTACTGATGTTTTTAATTATATTTTGTGGATGTTCATGGACTGAAAGCAGCATGTTGAGGACGAGCGTGAACAATTCTGGACTTAGAAAAAAGTATACAGTGGTACCTTGGGTTAAGAACTTAATTAGTTGCGGAGGTCCGTTCTTAACCTGAAACTGTTCTTAACCTGAGGTACCACTTTAGCTAATGGGGCCTCCCACTGCCGCTGCACAATTTCTGTTCTCATCCTGAAGCAAAGTTCTTAACCCGAGGTACTATTTCTGGGTTAGTGGAGTCTGTAACCTGAAGCGTGTGTAACCCAAGGTACCACTGTATTTCTGTACTACAAATGGGTTAGTGTGTCACTGAGACTAAGCTGGCAGCCAGTGCCACCTCTTGTAAGTAAATAGGCAGGCAGAGGCTGGGCTGAGATTAGTGGGACAGCACCCTATTCACCCGAATGGTGCAGCCCCCACTACTTTCTAGGACGTTCTATAATGAGAACAAAACAAAACAATCTGGTATCAATGCCTCTCTAGCATCAAATGCACATAACAATCCACACAGAGAAAAGAATCGGGTTGACTCACCTCTGAAATAATCTCTTGTGTTACATTTCCGCTGTAGAAAGCTGAGACCCCTGCCGACCCAAGCAAGTCAAGAAGAGCAGCCAGGTCTGGTCTTCTCACAAACATGCCAGGCAACAAGGGCTGGCCATCTGGAAGGAAGGTCTCTCTGAATTTATCTGAGTAGTTTTGCTCTTCCTTCATTTCTTTTATAGCCGTTGCTACAACAATGAGAGAGACAACAGCAGGGTGAGTGGCGATTACTGCAAAAGATGCTCAGATCAACTTTTTTTGGGGGGGAAGGTCTAGGAAGACTGCCCACACAGAAAGGATCTACAGCTTGCATATGTTGAACATACCCATGATTAAGGTCTTCAGCAAATAAGGCCCTTCTTCAAAGGTAAAGACCTTGTTGGTGGTGGTGCCTCATTTGCTGAACGGCTTCTGCACATCTACCCACTAATCACCTACTTTGCCAACATTTATGTGCCAGGTGTTAAGACTGTTCTTTTTGCCAGGTCTTGACTGATAATTGACCAGCTGAACTACCGTACTTTTCTGTCTATAACACACCCCATGTATAAGACGCCCCTTATTTTTGGGGACTCAAATTTAAGAAAATGGGGGAGATGGCACAGAGTTGTTGAGACTACCCAGGGTTGTTGAGCTTCTTTTAGGGGGGTTGCAAAAAATCGCTCACCAACACACATCGCAAAATCCGATTCCCGTCTGTCCCATTGCCCGCCCAACTGCCGGAGCGTCAGCCAATCAACAGCAGCCATTGACGCAGCAACAAATAACACTCACGATGCACAATAGCCGCTGACAGCCACGGCAGCAACCAATCAAACGTCCACCCTATGCACTACCCATGTATAAGACAACCCCCACTTTTTGCCATGATTTTTACAGGAAAAAACATAATCTTTTACATGGAAAAGTACTGCATGTTGCTCTATGCTGCCTTCTGTTTAGCTGCATTTTGTGTGGTGGCAGTGTTTGGGATTCATCATTTTGCTTTATGATGATATTACTTTAAATGAGAAATGAATAGGCTGAAAAGAGTTTAAACAAATATATATTTGTGCACATGCATGAGTGAAAGAGAATGGAAATATGTGTGTGAGAGTGAGAGATTTTAAGTATATGAGGGTCTCTGCTGTATCCTATATTGCAGGCCTACTATGGTATGGTTCATAAATACATTTAGAAATAAGGGCTTTTCCCTGGTCCCAAATGACTGTAAGCAAACATTCCCCATCAGATTTTGCAACCATTGGATCTGGAAAGCAAATCATGGACTGGGTGGAAGACGCTGCCCAGACATTTTTGAGAACTGGACTGGCACAAGCAAATCATGTCTTCAGCCATTTTGTTTCTTAAAGCCCCCATGTAAAAGCACCTGAAAACTACTTCAGTGAGGTGGAGCTTTATGGGGAGAAATGTAATGCTAAAACTTTCCTGTAGCATCCTTTCAGTCCAGTTGTGTGACATGACTTCACACTAGTGGTTGCCAAGGATGCTTCCAGACTGGCTATTTGGGCTTGGATTCAATCACACACTGGCATCTCATGGCACCCTAAATCGCACATCTGGAAAGCTGAGGTCACTACACAAGGAACCAGGGAGGGAAAGAATTGAGAACAAGATTCTTTGGGGCACTTCCACACAGTTGCTATTTTCAGGTGGGATTCAATCACATCCTGGCAAATTCTCAGGTTGCACAATTATGGTTGACTGCGAGGTATTGGGGAACAATCCTGCTTCCACAAAAAATCATCCTTTTGCAATGAGGGAAAGGGCACTGGAAAGTGTGGAATGACACGTGCTTGGACACAATATTGTCTAGCCTTCCCACAGTCAGAATGAATACGCTTTCAGCAGCCAATGTCATCAAATCTCCCAGCAAACAAATCAAGATTAATGTTCATTAAACAGATAACCTGGAAGCACCCTAAGAAAAGATGACATAGAAAAATGTGGAAGGAGGAACACCTAGTACATTCCAGTTCTGAACATCATAGCTGAGAACGAACATTCATATATTTCAATGGCACTTTAAAAAAAGAAAAAGAGGGGAGGAAAGTATACAGGTTTGGACCTGTAGTCTCAGCCTGCAAAGTCTGAGGAATTTTGCATTTTCTAGGATCAAATCATGTGAGACAACGTGTACATACAACCTCACTTTGCACCTTTTGTTCCATAAATGCACTCACCTAAATCATGTGTGACATTGAATCCATCCTGGGCCACATCTGCAGCAAGGCCCAACAACTGTCTCCATGGCAGTCTGGCAAACACAGAAACATGCATGACATGGCAGCTGGCAGATAGCTACATAACAGTTAAAGATTGCTGCATGTGTTGCAGGTGAGCTGTCTTTGAAAACGGAATAAATTGCCGTGTGAATGTAGGCCTTGAGTTCCTTACAGGAAAGGCAGGGTATAAATGTAACAATAAATAGCACACCTTTATTACATGTATGCATCAGTCCTCCAACTGGAGCTGAACAATGGAATGCCTGAGCAGAGAAAGTGTTCATACCTCCCATAAGACTGATGTGCTTCATGGAGTCCTTTGATCATGCCTGGAACACCAACCAGAAGACCTGGCTGGATAAAAGGAGAAACAAAGGGAAGCGTAAAAAGAAAACCAAAAGTGCCAATTGCACTATTGAAGCCGAATCTCTCTTAAATAAATAACATTAAAATAAATAAATCTCCAGATGGAAAGCAAGAACAATGTATTGAGGAGATGAAAGTTTTTTAATAGCCGCAAGCCCTAATGGGCTCTGGAAGAGGAAAGTGGGGTTGAAGATACCAGAACAGGTAAGTTAAGGGAGAAGAAATTGAGACAGTTACCAACCAACTACCCCCCCCCAAAACAACAAAGGCTCTCTCGCACCTTTGTTTCCCAAGCCTTCCTAAGGCTCTCTTCTTGGATGCTGAAAGGGGCCGTCTCTCGGAAATCAATCACCCGGCTCTCATTCTTCCTGATGTCATGGACCAGCATTACTCCTCCGCTGCAACAACAGAGTAATACCAGAGTGAAACACACATTGAAAATTGCTTCCGCAACTATAGAATGACTTCTTCCTAGGCTGTGCTCCAGTACAAACCATTGCTACAGCATCTTAAAGTAAGCACAATTTTAAGCCTCGGCCCAGTATACCTACAGGAGCGTCTGCACCCACATCGTTCAGCCCAGACACTGAAGTCCAGCTCTGAGGGCGGTTCCCTCATTGTGAGAAGTGAAGCTACAGGGAGCCAGGCAGAGGGCCTTCTGATGCACCCCATCAGATGTCAAAGAGTTAAGCAACTACATGACTTTCTGGAGACATCTGAAGACAGCCCTGTATCAGGAAGTTTTTAATATCTGATGTTTTCTTGTATTTTTGCATTCTGTTGGAAACTGCCCACAGTAGCTGGGGCAACCCAGTCAGATGGGCAGGGCACAAACAAACAAACAACTGCTCCATCAGTACATTAAGCAGCTGGACTGGATCCAGCTAAATAGTTCTGCTAGTGCAAAGCCTTTAAGCAGTGCAATGGAACTTCCCCACTGCAAAGCAAGCATCTTTTAAAGCAGTTTTCATTAAGACACAAGACTTGCCCACCTTGGAAGAATGGCAGACGCAAGTGATAGACTATATGGAGTTGGCAGAAATGACTGGCAGAATCCGAGACCTGGGAGAAGAGTTAGTGGAAGAGGACTGGAAGAAGTTTAAAGACTATTTGCAGAAACACTGCAAAGTTTATGAATGTTAAAACGATGTTGGATATGAAAATAATATGGCATTAGTGATACAGTTTAAAAAAAGGATGCAAAAACGTAACAGAAAAGGGTGAAAGACTAAAGTTATATTATGTCGAAAGTAAATAATATTTTAAAGGTGCTTAAGTATAAGGAGGAAAGATTGGAGACATAATAGAATGAATTTAATAATTAGAAATGAGTTTTGAAAGAGGGTAAGGATTTGCTGTATCTGATTGGGTAAAGAGGAACACAAAAAAGGGAGGCGCGAGGAAGTCAAGAAAGAAAGTTAATTAAGTAGGATTTTAAAAGTTGGAGTTTTTATGTTTTTTATTTTGTTGGGTGGAATCTTATTTTTCTGTACTCTGTTGTTTTGATCTGTTTTCTTTTTATATTTGTGGTTGTTATGTGTTTTTTCTCTCTCTGCAAAAGCCTAATAAATATATTTTAAAAAATAAAAAAAATAAAGCAGTTTTCATTAAAATTGGGGAAGAGACGGGGGGCGGGGGCGGAGAGAGATCTGGGTCCCAGCACAAAAGATCTGGGGTTCAGTCCCCTGGCTACCCTCTAGCAACACCCCTCTTAATCTGTTTGTTAATCCTTTGTAATTTTTGTACAAGTGACAAAAAAAAAAATCAAGGACTTATTACACAGGTAAGTGGTGAGGAAGCCAACAATTAGGTGTGGGGAAACTTAGATCAATATTTTTAAAAGAACTATAGAGAGGCTGTTTTGAATGCAACTGCACAAGTCGCATTAGGCAGTTTTGCAGAGAGAGGTACAAAAAGATTGTGCTTTATGCTCGTGCCAAACAATTCAGATATCTTGTTTGCTGGGACCTGTTGGTATAAGCCTGGCAAAGGATAGAATCATTGGGTTGTAGCCAACAAGTTTTACTCAGTAAACCCATTTAAATTAATAGACCTAAGTTAGTCATGTTCATTAATTTCAGTGGGTCTACTCTGAGTAGGACTAGCCGCGAATGCAACCCATTCATTCAACCACAACATGATGTAGAAAGAAGCATTGCTGCTTTTTTAGAGGTGCTGTACCTTTAATAGGTGCAGGACAATGTTATCGGCTTTCCCAGTCTCTTCCTACTGAGAAAGCCCTTCCTCTCTGTGCAGCTGGTGGTGTAAATCAGTGCCTTGGCCTTAGAGGCTTTGTGTTCATCAGCAAGCCCATCACAAAACCAGGTGTGATGCCAACATAGAATTGTAACCAAAGAACTTTGCCCTTCTGAACCATCCAGTTCCTCCCTCCAGCAGTACATATTTGTGTCGTCACTAGTTGTATAACCAAGGCATAAATCAATGATGCGGACATCCATCTCCACACCCAGTCACCAAAACAAAATGCTAACTTTGTGTCTGGGCGTTGTCAACTCAAGTAGACAACTATTTGTTGTGTGCTCATTGCAGCCTGATTTGCGTCAACTGTAGACCTGGGAAGTGACTTATCCCTGTCATTAATTTTAAAAGCTGTTTCTTGATACTGGACCCTGAAATCTAAGGACCTTTTGAAATCTTTGGGCCACCTGGAATCAGATGAAACAAGTGTTTCTGCGAATAGGAAGTGCACTTCCCTTGTTGAGGAATCACCAGAGTTGGCCTGTATACTATAGCCAGAGGGCAGCAATTACAGTTCAGAGACTCTCATTTCCAGACCATCAAGAAGAGCCAAATTTCAATACCTGTTCTTCCACACCTTCCTATAGGGGACTCCTTTGCAAGCTGTCTTGGGGAGGTCTCTTGAATGAAAAGTGGCATAGAAATAAAATGGAAAATCCATGCTTCACTGCTGAATCGGAATGAATGGCAAATGGGACTGTGGATGAGCTTAGTCTTTAAGACCCTCTTCCTTGCAATTGCTTTAATAGACTAACCCTGTTACCCCTCAGAATGTTGTTATACAGGTCAAGTTTTCATCAGAGTACTGTTTCTGGGAAACGTGCCTAACAAGCACTTCTCTACTTAAACTGTTGGTGTTCACCTGATACTTTAATCCCTATTTAAAACAGAGCAACTCTATGCATTAAATCAGCCAGTACTTAACCTTCAACTAGCCTTACCGTTGTGATAATTTTGGTTGCTGTTCTTTTTTGCTTTTGTTTTTTGTCTTGCTCCTGAACATATGTTTTGATTAAGCAGCTTGGGTGGCAAACCAGGGTTTCCAGTTTCAACAAAGGTTTTCTCAAATCCCATCTGATGGGCTGTTATTGAGTGTCTCTGTTTATGTAATATGCTCAAGAACTTCCTGGTGTTCTGGCTATCAAAACACTTGAAATCTCTCTTGCATAAAACCTCTTTAAAACAAACATTCTGATGGTTGAAAGGAGGCCACAGCTATGGGCAGAGGGCCAGGTGTTGAGGAGGTAAAGGTTGATGAAATTTGCAGTTGAATCTGGCCTCTGGAGTGCAGAAACTCCCCTGGCTTAAATAAATGGCAGGGATGAGCAAACTGTATCATGTTCCAGACGGACACATGCTTGTCTTTTGGAGGAAGATGCATGGCAGTCCTTCTATGGTGCTATACCCAACTGACCTCCAAAGCCACCTTCAGATTCACAGAAATCTGTCTCTGATCTGCAGAGCTTAGAATACCAGGAAGTACCAATAAAACCCGACAGTGGAGATTATTTAATATATTATCATCCCAGGCCATTTTCCCAGGTGACCCTATCCTAAACTCAACATACACAGGAAGCCTCTGCCCTACGATCTGTTAGAACAATGGGTTGATCCACACGCCCTTTTCACAAAGGCGTACATAAGATCAGCCTCACTGACGGAAGCAAAGAATAGGTTGCCTCCTTTCAGTATAGAGCAGGAATGAGAAATCTTTTCCAGCCAAGCAGCCACATTCCCTTCTGGGCAACCTTCTAGGAGCCACATGTAAATGATAAGAAGAATCAAAGGCAAAACTGAGCAGAGCAACAGGTGTGCACTTTACCTTTGTAGAGTAAACTAATTTCTGTACATATTCGGACATTCCTCTCAATCCTTCATCCAGGCAAGCAAAGGCACTGTCAACATTCAAGGAACCATTCAAGCCAGGCAAAGACACTCAAGGAAGGTGCAGAGTAGGGGAGGGTATGTGGTGTGGCAAGATTCCTGAGGGCCAGATAGAGTGACTTGGGGGCCACATTTGTTCCTCAGACCTGAAGTTTCCCACCAGTGGCATAGAGTGGCCAGAGGTCACTCCCAGCACTCATTTTCTTCTGCAGTAGAAAGCAAATAGTGAAAGGACCTGGCAGCTGCCATTGCCTTTCACCGGCCATTGGAAGAAGGAATCGTGCTTCCTTTTCCCAGAGGACAATATAAACAACTGTGGGCACGATGTCACACATTTCCTCATTTAAGACGGCAATGTGTGAACCAGCTCTTGAAGCTTGCATTAATTATCATTCATTAGAACAGTTTATATGACACAGTATCATTAGCGTACAGTTATTGGTTCAGTAGGGCACATTTACACAACTTCTTTCCTCCACAATCCACTGCAGAAGAGCTAGTCAAAACTTGCGGAAGGCTTCATTCAACTTTCAGGCTGCCACATGAGCCTGGATTTGCCACATGCAAATCTTAAAACCAGCATGGACTTCCTCACCACCACATCAGACAAATAAGGCCCGTGTGAGAACAACAAGACCAATATCACCGTGGAGCATTTGCAAAGGTCGGTTCCCCAACAGTCGTAGGAGTTTGCCCAGCAATGGCAACAGAACTCTCTTTTCTGATGAGGGCCAGGAGGCTTCCTAGGGTGACACAAAAGGATGACAAATGATAAGCAAAGGAGATCGTGGCGAACACCTACCCACCAATGCCGGCCGTGTGAGGGTTGAGGATTCCTGAGCATAAGGCTGAGGTGATGGCTGCATCCACGGAGGAGCCTTGCTTGTTCAATACCTCGATCCCCAGTGCTGTGCAGCGAGCAGCGTCGGTGACTACGGCACCTTGATGGAATATCTGTGGGAAGACACATTATGAGACAAAAGCTTCATGTGCTGGGGACTAGGTATGTCCAGAAAGGTCCAGCCTCCATCGTGTGTTTATGTTAAAGAAAGGATGGGGCCCTCCAGACATAGCTAGACACCAGTTCCCATCAACCCAAGCCAACATGGCCAGTGATCAGAAATGATGGCCGTTGTGGTCCTACAACAGTTGGAGGGCAGGGCTTTTTCTTTCTTTCTAAAAAATGTTTAGGGGTACTCTCATTTTCCTACTCATATTGAAATACTGCCCCTCAATGAGGCCAAACTTAGATTCACAAAATGTTTAGGGGCATGCGTCCCCCTGCATCCCCCCAGAAAAAAAGCACTGCTGGAAGGTTTTTGTACCTGCCTTAATGCCCAAAGAGAGCAACTTACTTAGGACTTTAGATTGTTTTCACAGGTAATGCTGTTGACTGCTTTTGTCATGAATCATTACTGAGGAATCATTCAGATGGAGGCTGTATGTAGCAGATGGGTCATTCAGGTCATATCATAAACAAGTCACTGGCAACATTTTTTTTGGGGGGGGAGGGGAAGCTTGTCAGTTTTTCCACAAGAAAGGTAAATCCAGATTAAATGGAGAGAGAAAAATAGAGAATGGCATTCTGATGCAGCACGGATCCCACAATAACCACCTGTCTGGAAGAACCCCGAATATTAACTGAGATACAGGAAGCGAAAGAGGTTCTCTTCTGAATTGAATGCATGTTTTGAGCCACGAGGCTTCAGTGAGGAAAGAGAGCCAGTGTGGTGTAATGGATGTTAGACTATGATCAAAGATACCAATCGTATAGTGAAGAGACCATAGCTCAGTGATAGAACACATTAGTTGAATGCAGAAGGTCCAGATTCAGTCCCTAGCATCTCCAGAAGAAAGGATCAGGTGGTAAAGAACACGGAAGATCTCCACCAGGGACCTTGGAGACTTCCTGCCAGTCACTGGCCTAGATGGACAAATTGTCTGACCTGGTATAACACAACTTCCTCTGGTACTAGTTCAGCTCCCTGTTTATCCATGAAGCTCTTTAGCTTTTCTTGGGTCAGTCATAAAGATGGGATAAAAATATAGGTGAAAACGTTTCAGCTCTAGTACAAAAGCATTAGATGTTGCCTCTGCAGGAGCAGGCACAACAGAGTTGCAGTGGGACCATTCCATCTTGCGTAGAATATGCCCGGTTACATTTAGGGCTTATCCACACTTGCCTTTCCTCTATGCTTTCCAGGCACGGTCCACACTTTAAAGCTCTGTGTCCGGGTGCCTTTTTTTCCTTCTTGCTCCAGAGCTTTCCCCACGAAAACACACTCTTTACAGCTGAATTGGCACAAACGGCAATCTGCGAAAAAGCTGTTTGTCATGCTTCAGCTTTACAGGGTGGGTTTTCATGGGGAAAGCTCTGGGATGGGGAGAACACTTGTACACAGAGCTTCAAAGCACAGATCTGTGCCTAGAAAGAGCATGGCAAAAGGTAAGTGCAGATAAGCCCTTACATGCTTAGAGCAGTGCATGACAGAGAGGAACCCACATTGGGAAAGTGAGGTTCCGATGTGCGGCTCACCCTTTGACAAATGGTGCATTCAAAGTGCTTCATGCTCATGGTGAGTTCGCAACACTGAACGCTGCTGGTAACTATAGTAACTATTACATTCACTATTATAAGCAAGTAGTTATGCAATTTGTAGTTGATCTTGAACTGGTGCAGTAAGAGAAGTGTGGCAGTTCCCAAAACAGCACTTTGAATCCCGCTGCTACATGCAAGAATACATCATGATTAACTGTAGCAAGCAAAATTAGAAGCTACCATTATTCGTGAAAGGCAGGTTCTTCCTACTTCAATGCAAGCTTCCCTATCAAGAGAAAAAACAGTCAAATACCTCTTCTTACCTGTGGGTCTCCAAAGTAGATCTGCATGATTAAGGCCACCGTGACTCCTGTAGCAAACGTTAGGCAGGCGGTGATGATCACAGTCAGACTGTCCTGGCGACAGCTGCAGTCCCCAGAGAATGGGTCCTTGCTGGTCTCCCGGAGAGGCGAGACATCCTGGCTGCCCATTTCCGATGAAGATGAAGGCAGGCGCTGAAGGCGAGCTGATTTTAAGAAGGAATCTGGATCTTCATTCACAAAGGAGAGAAAAGTGACGGACACAGGAGTGAGATGCTGAAAAACTCAGAATCAAAATCATACACAAAGACACTCACGGAACACGGAATACCTGTTCCTGCTCCAATGGTATTGCTTTTCTGCTCAGCCTGAGCATTCAGAAAGTTTGCTGGCTCTGGTTCCACTATTATGGGATCACGTTACACATACTCCCCTTTAACTCTTGGAAGTTGAATGGCAGTATTAAATTATGAAGTGGGCCACTCTACATCCTGGAGACGACCAGTTTACCCATGCAGCTATGACTCATGGTCATTACTTCCACCCCACTTGTCATGCCTCCTTATGATACTGGGAGGGTCTACTTAGCATCAGGAAACATAGTAGTAGCTGCAGCGATGCCATTTCCCATTTCATTAAGGAGACAGGGTATTCTCCACAAAATTTAAAATACTGGTCTTTAATAATTACAAGATTAAACTGCGAGGAAGCACTTTGTATTAAGAACATTTGTCTTGGTACCTCATAATAACTCTAGCTATGTTATCAATGCAAGAACGCAGGGGGTGTACACACAGCAGTTGGGAGTGGGTTTGATTCAACCCATGTGTGTATGTTTTTTACATCATCCGCATAACACCATCTTCATCCAAATGGCAAACCAAACTCCCCACTCCCACCCCATTTAATCCAATTTTTCAAATTTGTGGATAATCCAGTAAGGGAAAGATCCAACATAATGTTATGGGCTAGAGGGAAAACAGGGATCCCGCAGATCTCTGGGTGCCAGATTTCTAGAGTCTTGGGTGCTGGGCTGAGCTTATTTTTCTTCCAGACAGGGGCAGAGGCAGATGATGGCTCTGCTGTTAAGGCATCTGCAAGACCAAAAACCCTACAGGTAACCAAGGGGGTGGTTGCCACATAACTTGGGTGTGGTGTCACACAGGAAAATTACCACCTTTTAAAACTAGGCTTGGGAGAAGGGAAGGAGTTGCTTGGCAAGAGGTTTTCTGGGAAGGAGAAGCAGGAAATAAGTCCATGTGGGGCCTAAAGGTCGGAACCATCTTGGCAGGCTGGCTGAAGGCAGGCTGGGACAGAGACAGAGAAGTCTTGGAATCTGATGCTACGCTGCTGTGTGGAAAAAGCCTTCCTTGAAATGCAATGCTCTGAAGTCTCTCCAAAGTAGACCCACGTGTCAATGTGTGTACAATAAACCATATTTCTTAGAAAACACACACACAACAGTCTCTGCTGTGCCTTGACTCCCAGCAGAATCGCCAACCCTAGATGAGCACCTGGAACAGCCTGTAATCTTGCTACCGCTTGGAGAGATTGAGCTGGCATGCAGGCTTGGTAACAATAAAATTATGTGTGGATACACTGAAGTACATTATTTTGTTGGTTTGGCGTTTTGTTTTTTAAAACATTCATGGCAATGTTTCGCTGGGCGCTGTCTATTGCCACACACCATTACTTCCGTTTGCTGATCTCCTGAGCACAACATGGCCATTGTGCTTCCATCAGCCCAAAGGAAAGAATGCAGCATGCCTATTTACCCTGCCTATTGCTAAAAAAAACCTCTCCCCGAAAGGCAGCTCTTTCCACCTTGCCTTGGCTGTGTGTGCTAGTGTGTGAAACATAATGTTTCTATTCTTCTCTAAGCCACACCACAGATTTCTGTGTTGGGTGGAGTGGGGAGTTCTGGAGATCGAAGGCACCTGTGTCTACACCTGCCTTAGAAATACACAGAGGTTTTTATGGCAAGCTTTGATGTTATTGCTCAAAGCTCTTCCCTCCAGAGGGAGTGGCAGAAGGAACTGCAAATCAGCTCGTGAGTTGGGTAATGGCAAAGATGTGAAGCCATGGAAGAAGCAGTCCTTCCATCAATCCACAGAGTGCTCCGGTCCCTGTCCATTCAAGACATTGTCCAGGTCTGAGGCTCTTCCCTTCAAAGAGGAGGAGGCAGAAGGAGCTAGAGATCAGCACTGGATAGCTCAGTTGGTTAGAGTCTAGTGCTGATAAAGCCAAGGTTGCAGATTCAATCCCTGTCTGGGACAGCTGTATATTCCTGCATTGCAGAGGGTTGGACTAGATTGTCGTCAGGGTCTCATCCAACTCAACAACTCTATGATTCTATAGATTCAAAGACAGCAACAACCACAGAAGCATCCCATTTGGAGATCAGCATAGTATTTTGGTCCTTGTCAGTTGATGGTTCCCTCTGACCTTTTCAGTAAAGAAAGTGACAGGAAAATTGCACAGGTTTCTGTCAGATGGACCTGTGAGTTGGATCCGGTCCTTTGTTTCATGTCCCATTTATAATCACATAAAGTCCATAATACAGGGAGATTATTTTGGAAGGTCCTTTTTGGGAGGTCAGACAGCACAAACAAAATGGCAGGCTCATGCTCGTAACCAAATGATAACATTATTATTATCATTATTAAAACATTTAATGAAATGCTTTCCCACTGAGGTATAGATGCTCTTTATCACAGCCTACAGAAACTCATCGTGTGTTTCTTACATGGCTATGGGCTCGCCCACACTTCCTCTTCTCCCACTGCTTTCCCCCAGGAAAACTTGATAGAAATTTGTTCCAATCCAGTAGTAAACAGTGGGTTTTCCCAGGGAAAGTGGTGGGACAAATGAAAATCCTCTCAGACCCCCCCCCCATGCTTTCTAGGCACAGGACAAGTGGAAGCGTGGACACGCCTTAAGAAACACAAAGATTGTTGACAACCATGTGGAATGGAGAACCAAAGCACATATTGGTGGACTGAAAATTTCCTTATCATACATAGTTACCTAGCAGCAAAGAGTATAGAAAGTTCGGCATGTGTTAGGAAGACATCTGTGCTTCACAGAACATGAATTTGTGGGCATGCAATGTGTCTATGCACCTGCTTCCATGCTCTCAGTTTGGCTCTTTTTCAGAAGCATGGGAAATCACCCATGGGAGAAGCCAAATGCCATTTATTCCCGGTTAATCCCATGCTAACACCGCTGAAGTGATTTGGGGCTAAAGAAGACAGACTAATGTCTTCTAAACTCTTAGCTTGAACCTTGTACGTCCTGACACTATATCTTCATGCAAAATAAGGCAAACTTAGGCAATTTACTGCCTCAGGATATTATGCTACTCCCCATTTACACCAAGATTATGTGCTGAGGCGCCGGGTGTATCAGCGGAACACACGTAAGCCCACCCCACCCCGTTCTGCCCCTGTCTTGCCCATTTGCACTGCTGAAAATGGTGTGCTTGTCAGCAGTTGTGTGTGCCAGTCACATACAAATGGGGAGGTGTCAGTACTGCTTTTGGGCATAAAGGACCCCAAAGTGGTGATCAGCAAATTAATACAAAATAACTAAATAATAAAAGTACAATAAGTAATTCAAAACAATATAAAACTACAAAGCACCCACCAGTCACATTGGATATTCATGCTCTCGCCACAGATACAACTTGCCAGCATTGCACCTCTCACTTGGAAGCCAAGTTAACTCCTATCCTCCCACCAGCTGCTCCAATCTTTCACCAAGGAACAAGCACACCCAATTACCTGTGAGGAGACCTTCTCCTTTGTCATGCTCCAAAAGAAAGACTCAAAGGCATTATCTCCCCCTTGGTGTCTCCCCCTTCAGGACCACCCTACCAGGGCTGGCTACTGGCAGTGACCCATCATCAATGGCAGCTGCAATATAAATAGGTTCTCTGCTCCCCACTCCCAACGAACCAGCTGTGGCTGTGGCAAAGTACTTGTTCTTCACGGGCTGGGCCAGATGACCAGGCCTTCTGGCTCCTCCAATATGCTATTTTCCAGATACAGGGGGGAAGATGGCCACATCTTAGCCAGCAGCAGTCTTGCAAGTTCTACCTGCCTCTTCCTGCTGTGATTGCCTAGCTTAGATGGCTTTTACAAAGGGCTTAGGCAAAAACTTCTGTGGAATTGATATATCAATAACAATTTGCAACGGCAGCTAAAATGGAAGCTGTGTATTCAGAGGCAGTATAAATTCCTACACCAGGAAGCTGGCTGTGTTCACTGCATCATCCAAACTGGTTATGCAGTCTCCTTTTTGCTGTGTACAAATTATATATTGACTGCACAATTGGAGCAGTCTTTCCCTCAAAGAATTCTGGGCGCTGTAGTTTAGCCTTCACAGAGTTATAATTCCCAATAGTCCTTAATAAACTACAGTGCCCAGAATTCTTTGAGGGAGGGAACATGCTTCGAATGTGCTTTAAAGGTATAATGTGTCTTATGTTATCCATGTGGACATGGATCCATGAGGGATCGAGACCACAAAGCATGTGGATTGGAGTAATCAAAGGTGAATTGTAGGAGTGCACCTGATCCCTTAAAACTCCCAAGATTCCTGCATTGCAAGGGGTTGGACTAAATGACCCTTGGGTCCCTTCCAACTCTTTTTTGTTGTTGCTGTTTAGTCGTGTCCGACTCTTCGTGACCCCATGGACCACAGCACGCTAGGCACTCCACTGCCTCTTCCACTGCCTCCCGCAGTTTGGTCAAACTCATGTTTGTAGCTTTGAGAACACTGTCCAACCATCTCGTCCTCTGTCGTCCCCTTCTCCTTGTGCCCTCAATCTTTCCCAACATCAGGGTCTTTTCCAGGGAATCTTCTCTTCTCATGAGGTGGCCAAAGTACTGGAGCCTCAGCTTCAGGATCTGTCCTTCCAGTGAGCACTCAGGGCTGATTTCCTTCAGAATGGATAGGTTTGATCTTCTTGCAGTCCATGGGACTCTCAAGAGTCTCCTCCAGCACCATAATTCAAAAGCATCAATTCTTCGGCGATCAGCCTTCTTGATGCTCCAGCTCTCACTTCCATACATCACTACTGGGGAAACCATGGCTTTAACTATACGGACCTTTGTTGGCAAGGTGATGTCTCTGCTTTTGATTCTATTATTCTACTTGCCCAGACATAGTCATGCACAATCAATTCCATCCCTGCACCCGCTTCCTTTTCTTTTAAAGGCTCCCAAAC